ATCCAGCGGAACAAGTGGGAGTATATAATTTCCCCCGGGAGATTCAGCGGTCGAGAAAGGAAATTCGCGAGCTAGGAGCTATTCACGAGGATCTTCGGCGTGCAAATATCCTTTTAAACCGTGAAATCAACCGAGCATTGGTCATCGACTTTCACTGGTCTAACTTGGATCCCGACCAATATCAAGACGATCGCGACCAGCGAAGGGATCGGACAGAGTCACCATATGGAAAGCGTTTACGTGTTCCATGAATAAAATCCTCTTACATGCCCTTATATATAGTAGTTAACAAGGGCATAGTGCATAATCAGGCGTTCTATTTTCCAGCACATTGTCGAACATTGCTTTATATTAGTCCATAGTTGATATTGATGGATGCGCCAACTGGCAACTGGGTCATCATGTATATCACGTGATGACATCGTCACCAGGCTCCTCAACCTCCGATTTCTCCCTGATACAGGCATCAAGAGCTATAACGTTGCGTATGTGATGTCAATCGAAGTCGACTGGGCAGCTGCCACCTCCGGCCCGGACGGAGAAGCCCTGGCAGAGCGAATCCGGTCGTTCGTGCACGACAAGTTTCAGGAGATCACCCTACCGCGCTTTATTCGCTCTGTCCAGGTCCACTCCTTCGATTTCGGGACCATTGCCCCAGATCTCGAGATTAAAGACTTCTGCGAACCGTTCGCAGATTTCTACGAGGAAGACGACGATGATGCCGACACCTCCGTCACCTCAGAGGAGCTCATGTCCGAGCTCCACGAATCCTCATACGAAGACGACATGACCTTCAATCCCACCGCGCATAGCCCCCATAATTTCAGTCACCATCCATACCCTGGCGAAGGCTTCCAGCCATCTGCGCTTCGATCCCCACTAGGCGACCACCTTAATCCGCATTTCATGCCCCGCGCCAGTACACCTGGAATCCCCGGCGGTACGTCAACATTGGGATACCACATGCGGTCTCTGGGCGGTCTATCAGGCACCCAGACACCCCTTGCCGCAGTAGCAGGCGGCACTTCTTTTGCGAGCGGATGGTCGGATTCAGGTATAGGTGCCGGACCCAGGTCCCAAGCAGCCCGCCCTGCTGTCGCACATCACCTTGCAGAGCCCGGCCTGGATACCACTAACTCCGCCTCCCGGCCCTCAACCGCCAACACACTCCCCTCCCATCCTTCCCTTGGCCACACCGGCAGCAGCGGCTCAAATCCGCATATCAGCGACCCAACCGACGCGCCACAACCCTCAATAGAGATACCAGACGACCCCGCCGCCGAGGACCAATCATTCCCCATCCCGCCGCGCATGCGCGAGCGCCGCCCAGAGGACTTCCAGGTACTATGCCATGCTAAGTATGCTGGCGACGTGCGCATGTCCCTCACCGCGGAAATCCTGCTTGACTACCCGATGCCCAGCTTCGTGGGACTGCCGTTGAAGTTGAATGTCACAGGCATCACGTTTGATGGAGTTGCTGTTGTTGCGTATATCCGCAAGCGAGTGCATTTCTGTTTCCTTTCTGCGGAGGACGCAGATGCCCTGCTTGGATCTGAACAGTCTCAGGGTAGTCAAAATCCCAGTGATGATGGTCGGCCTCGGTCTGGAGGCGATCAGAAGGAGAAGGATCTGAAGCGGCAGGGTGGGTTATTGCAGGAGATCCGGGTGGATAGTGAGATTGGTCGCAAGGAAGATGGGAAGCAGGTATTAAAGAATGTTGGAAAGGTCGAGCGGTTTGTGCTCGCGCAGGTTCGACGGATCTTTGAGGAGGAGCTCGTATATCCTAGCTTTTGGACATTCCTGGTTTGAATTTTCAAATCATGCGTTAGGCTGATTCTTATACTATGTACATTTACGAATAACTTATGATCTCTAAACATGACGATTTTTGGTCTGGTCCTTAGGTTTTGCTCCACTCTGAAACACTGGTAGCTACCACGCCTCACAATAGAGCTACGGGAATCAACAGACATGTGAATACGAAAGGGTAAAATTGATTGAATATGACAAGTGCTATAGAATCAGCACCATGGATCCCACCGAAAAATCTTAAAGATATCTGCTAGTACATGGAAAGGAATGCAGCGATAGAGAGCTCGTAGCAACTGCAAATCCCACATTCCCCTCTACATAACAGTAGAGTCCATACATCGAGAAAGGGTAGTTATGCACAATACTTAATCCAGAATGTGTCGAGTGATTGTGTTGCCGAAATGGTTCCAACTCCCGTGACAGGGGACGAGGCCCTCAATCCAAAGCAAAGGTAAAAGGTGCGCAGGTGAAAGTCTATCAAAGCTTGGGCTTCGAAAGTCTGAGTCCGGCGGAATCGAACAGTGCAACCCTTTACAGATCTTTCTTGTCCTTCTTCTCGTTCTTATCGCCCTTTTCGTTGGAAATCTGGTCACCGAGATTGTGATACTCGCGGGTCAGACCCTCGCACTGCTTCTTGAGAGTCTCGATATCCCGGTCCTTGGAAGCAATGATCTCCTTAAGACGACCGATCTCGCCGACTGAGCCAGCCTCTGCGATACGGGCAGAGTCCTTTCCACCGGCCTTCTTATCACCCTCGAAGAGACGGACGCGGTCCTCAAGACGGAGAGTCTCGAGAATCATGGTATAGGTGCGGTTGAGGATCAGGGAGAGGAACAGAGTGAATCCACAAAGATACATGTTGCGCTGCGAATAGAACTTGCGGGCCTGAACCTCCATGCGGTCGGTGCCGAGGTGGGCGGCTCTGTTGATAACAACGGTTAGAAAATTTGCTAGAATATCTGAGGATTGGCTACTTACCCCATGCCGGGACCGTCTTTGGTGAAGGCGGACAATTCCTGCTGCACACGGTACACACGGTTCACGGAGTCGATGAACAAAATGAGGATGAAGATGAAAGTAATCTAGAGGCTAGTTAGCAGTCTGACCGGAAATTTCGGGTTTCATGATAGGCAATATGTACCTTCAATCCATATTGCAGCTTTGCGATGATCGGGCTCTCCGAGATGAAGGCAAACAGCTTGCGCTTGATGGTGTGGGGAAGAGGTATGACGAGGGCCAAAAATACACCCATCTCGAACACCAGAAGGAGGAACACCTATATAACAGCATTGTGTTAGTAGGGGCAGGATCTGGAGACATGACGTTGGCAGCTTGGGCTGGGTGGACAGTTTCAGGCTGCAGGCTGCAGGCTGCAGGCTGCAGCGATTCTTGAGCAGCACCACACGAAGAAACCTGGGAGCTCGTCGGACTTACAAGGGAGTAGTAGAGAGTCATTTTGCCGTGTGTTATCAATCCAACGACACTTAAAATCGACTTTCTGGCCTAATCAAAAGGGGCGGGGTGACAAGAGCTTCAGAAAGCTAGCTTAGGGGGGAAGGTAAACAAAGGCGAGAAGCAGCAAATCTGTAGAAAACAAGCACAAACACAGAAAGACTGAAGCAAGAGAAAATCCTTGGATCAAATAGTTGAGGTAATTGAAGGTCGGGGAGATTAAGAGACGAGGTGGTCTTATGGGGGAAGTTTTTCAGGTTCGGAGGAAGACGTCATGGCCTCGGAGGCTCTGCACGTGATGGCTGTCATCAGCCCTAATCAGGATTCTAGCATCTATTGACTTCGCCCGTTCTTGAGACTATTTGAGTTGCATATGTATGTTGGTGCTTGATTTGATTGAAATGCTCCATTTTGTATCGACATGTTCAACAATAATACTATGTATAACACTGAAGTCTAGTATATGTCGTCATCACCCGTGGACGGGATCTACATTGAATCCATGGTATGTCCGGGTAACTGATAATAAAATTAGATCGGCATAATACAGCTAACATTTCTCCAAATATCCATATTTCTCGGCCAAGTAGAACAGAGTAATATGGAATTAAGTTCCTCGTATTCGGTGAGTCAACGGATTCCCCTCAAGTGGGGAAGTTTCGGGTATTTCATGGGTTAGCCTGGGGAGCTGTCAGCAGTCGATTGTGAATCTATTCCGTTACACAGGCATCACTCAATCCCCTTCACATTGACTGTTTTTGCAATTCCTCTTGAAGACATGGCGCACGACAATATAAGCACCGAAGAGATCGAAAGAGCATCCCAGCTTCGAAGTGCACAAGACAAAGCCGTTGCTCTCTTCGAGGAGATCGAACGCGATTTGATCCGACCAGGAATCACCGAAAAGACCCTAAATGCAGAAATCTACCAACTAGGACTCGATCGCTATGGCATCAAGACCCACTGGCACAAACGAGTCATCCGCAGTGGACCAAACACTTTGAGCCCGTTTAACGATAACCCTCCGGATCGTGTCATCCAGCCTGATGATATCCTGGTTGTTGACCTGGGGCCGGTCTTTGAAGCCTGGGAAGCCGACTTTGGGCGCACTTTCGTCCTAGGAGATGATCCAAATAAGAAGAAGCTGCGGGACGCCCTCGAGCCGATCTGGAATGCAGTCAAGGCAAAATATCGCGAGAACCCAGATATGTCGGGCGACGAGCTATACAATATCTCCTGCCAGGTTGCGAAACAAGAGGGCTGGGATTTCGGCGCGGATATTGCGGGCCATCTCGTTGGGTCGTTCCCTCATGAACGCATTCCGCGGGATAGAATCTCCCTGTATATCGCCAAGGGCAATAATGAGTCGATGGGCCTGTCGGGTCGTGACGGGTTCAAGCGTCATTGGATTTTGGAAATCCACCTTCATGATCGGGCACGCGGGTTTGGTGGTTTCTACGAGCAACTCTTGACGGTTGATTAGGCTGTCTGGGGTGGGCCTACGCGAGTCATACTACCTACCGCGGTGGACGGTGGCTACATACGATCTATGGTTGTCTCGATGGTTGCTTTCCTTTTGGGTATACTATGTCTTTGATGCGGCGGAAATAATCCATCGAGACCTTCTTCTAACGCGTGAAAGAACTGGGCGCCTTTCTAGATATCTAGACAATGCATTCGTGATGATTCTATGTACAATTTTAGGAATATGCGAGATTTATAGACAGGCCTTTATTTTAGCCCTCAGCCTCGTAGGAGTTCGACTTATGCTTGGGCTCGAAGTTGAAGGTGTCAGGTGCAGGACCCAGGAACATTTCACTGTAGTATCGATGGATGGTTAGCTGATGAGTATAAAAAGGTTTGTGAAAGGAAACTTACGTGATCTTGATCCAGTCTTTGTAGTTGCCACTGCCCATTAGTGTCTCCAACTCATTGCGGCCGCGCCAAGCAGGAGGTCTGTCTTGAATGTTGGGAGGGAGGTACTCCAACAGTCCGATTGGGACATAGCGATAGGTAAAGCTCAGCCATTCTAGCAGGAAGCGACGGGTTGTTCCAACACCATGCTCATCAGAACCCCAGGCCTGGAGACCGTACTTGGCGAACTTCTCGATATAAGCCAGACGCTCAGTCGCGGACTTGTCCAAATACTGGCCGCTCTGAATTTCCTCGAAGATCCAAGGCTTGATCAAAGCTCCACGGGCCACCATCACAGAGTCCACACCAGCATTATTGACGTGGTTGTCGTAGTCGGTATGCGAGTAGCAGTCGCCGTTTCCGATGAAATAAGTCTTGCCACCATTGGGCATGTGGCGGGCATCAGGTTCACGGATGGTGTCGCTGAGTGCATCCTGCTTCTTGTTCAGGCGCTTGATGAGGGCTGCACAGTCTGAGATGTATCCCCAGTCTGCCTGTCGGGTGTAGCGCTGCTGTCTACTACGTCCGTGCAGGGTAATGGCTGCGGCTCCCGGGGGGCCGAGGTCCAGAACACTTGACTCGTATCCACCGAGAACCATACGCTCAACCAGCTTTTGGGCGGTAGGCTGGTTGTCCTTGGTTCCCATACGGATCTTGACTGTAATCGGGATCTCCTGCGAGACAGTGTTCATGCCGCGAATCATCTTCTCCAATTTAGAGTGGTGGTCAAGAAGAGCTGAGCCAGCTCCATCACGGAATACAAGCTCAATGGGGCAGCCGCAGTTCAAGTCAATAACGCGCAGGTTGGGCGTAAACTTCGACAACACCTCGGTGGCCTTGAGAGCTTGCCATGGCTTGTTAGCAGCAATTTGTGCGCCGAACCTGGAATCCTTGGAGTTATCGTAGCCCTGAACAATATTGTCGCCCGGGAGGACGGTTGGCGGTGCCATTTCCGACTCGTGCGCCTTTAGCAGGGTCCATTCGGACTTGGAGCCTTGGATCAAAGGCATACTCATAGCCATCTCTGAGTATGTGAACTGCGCGCCCAGATCTCCACAAAGTCTTCGGAATGGCATGTTTCCTTGGGTCGTGAGAGGTGCCAGAACGGGTGTTTCCGGTCCAAAGTAAATGCGACGCTTCTCTGACGGCATGAAGGGAGGCTCAAGGAACTGAGCACGGTTCTCCTGCATGTCGATCTTCGCCTGTTCGTCCGGTTCAACAAGGTCACCCTTCTCGCGGATGGTGGATCGCTGGTGGATCGCCTTCTCCAATTCTGCAGACACTTGGGTGGCCCATTTGGTGTAGGCATCAGCCCGAGGGGTGTCCTCGCGCTTTCTCATAAGTGCTGTTTTGTCCTGGATGGAAATGAGGTTGACAATTCCGTCAGGCGTCGCGTGGGCCACACGAGGCCGAGCTTTCTCTATACGTTCTGCGTCCTCCAGCAAAATCAATTCCTTCTTGCCGTCTTCGGTTTCTCTCTCAGTTGAGTGCGAACCAACCATACGACATTTCCAGCCGGAAGAGCATTTCCCTAGTGCTTCGAAGACGGGGCAAATGTTGTTCAGGGTTGTAAGATCCTCGCGCTTATGGTCTTTCAGATAAACCCGCAAATCGTGCTCAAATCGGCATTTCTCGCCATATTGGCACTCTCCAGCGGCAAACTCGTTGGCAAACATTCTCGTGCTGCAAAGGCCCTTCGCATCTTTAGATGTACCATAACTGCGATTGGTGTTCTGGCCCTTCTTTTTCTTTCCTCTGTCCTTCTTGCCACCATCACGGTCATCACGGGGAGCGGCCTCGGCGGCATCGTCGGGGCTAGTCTCATCTGCAGGGCGAGGCTTCGGTGTGATTTGGATGCGATATCTGAATGGCGAAAGTTAGTATTTTGCGATGATTGAGGGACATCCAGACATACTCTGCTTTGACAGGTGCGATTCCCCTATCGCGCATATCTACCTGGGTGGGTTTGGAAGGTTCATCCAATCGTGCTTTTTTGGCTGGAGGCTCTTCCACGCCCGCCGCGCCAGAATCACTTGCAGCGTCGCGCTTCGGAACCTCCATGTCAGGCGCAGCAACACTGGCCTCTGGGGCTTGGGCCTTTGTAGTTTCAGGCTCCATTGTATTTCAGAGGCAAGAGCGAGCTATGCAGTAAACTTCGCAATCGCTGTCGGTGAGGAACGTTCGGCCAAAATTTCACATCCAGGCAATATGTTTGCACTGTTTGAATTCGATATAATTGGCTCGGCATGCTTGCGGGACCTTCCAAGGTTTTCCTATAATAGACAAGCGCAAACTCAAATATCTCAACCCCGCTCATTCTAAAGTTGCCTCAGGCGGAATTTCACCCAAGATATCGTGCGAATCTAAGGTAGTTGTAACTCAAGATGATGTAGCTACGTACATTTTTAGTAGATGGATCTCCATATTTGATTTTTCTTTATGTAGATTCTACAGTCCTTATGGAAGTATTTCGCGTGTAAAACTTGATTCATGTGAGGGCAACCTTACAACCTCGGAATTAAACACCATTTACCTCACAAGACAAAACGGCCACTGACAAACTCTAATGTCTATCAACAATAAATCTCCTAAGAAAGCCTGTGTTTCCATGGCTCTATATATCTCTATCTTTGACAAGATACTACAAGTGGTTTACGCTAGAGGTTCAAACAGAGTAACTTTGTGTGGTATTGTAGTACTTAAAAAAAAAGAAAGAGCCGACCTCGCATATACTAAATACGGAGGGCTAAGCAAAACGTTATCCAGGCCGGAAAACTTAGATAGACTCTTGCGGCACCGGCGCCATGTGCCATTTTGATAAATGGCAGTATGGTTATTCGAAAAAAAAGAAAAAGATTAAAAAAAGCAATCAAAGTGCGCTGTGTCAAGCGCAGGAGCCTGAGCGAATCCACCACCCCGAATCACCTGGCTGGGACCTCTGTGTCGAGTTGCAATTGCGAAGCCCCGCTCCGGGCCACTACAAAATACAGACCTTCGCTTCCGAATCAGCCAAATCGAGGGAGCCCCTGACCTCATCGGCCCTGTCGTATCTCTGCTGCTGGCTGTCGAGGCGTTGTGGCAACACGTCGGCACTAGTACGAGTTTGCCAGGTTAGCTTCCGGTGGAACATCGGCAAGGTTAGCTTCTTGAGGCGCTGTTGGAGGGGCAACTTCCTGTGGATCCGCTTGGTACGCGGCGGTTGGCCGGGTGCGCGGTTGTCGCGCCGCGTAGCCAGGGCTGGAATAGCCGGCTTGGTTCCAAGGCTTGTCGGAGAGCAACAGCTGACCCGCTTGGTTGGTGCGAGCTTGGTCGCGCGGTGGCTGTTGCTGGCGCTGCTGGTATGATCCCTGGACTTGTTGCTGGGGTGGTGCGTAGGACGCACGTTGGGCCTGAGTTTGGGAAGCATTTGACGGAGGCAGGTAGGCACTCCTCTGAAACTGCTGTTGCCGCTGCGGGTCACGGTTCGGATTCCACGTAAGCTGGGGCGCGTCAGTTCCCGTATGTCGGGGGCGGAAAGGTAGCTGGTATCCTTGGACAGGATTGCCACGACCGTAGGTGTAACGGGCGCCACTGTACTGGGGGTTGCGGGGGAACTGCTGACCTTGATAGCGGACCGGTTGGGGCTGCGTTGGACGTTGCTGCGGTCGAGTGCGTCTCGCCATCTCGTACCATTGTCCGTAGCGCAGATCCAAGTCTGTCATGAATTGCGATATTGTCGTTGCTGCAGTTGGCTCCCGTATGTCACGTTGTAGGGCTGGCTAAATGCGCGTCCATATTAAACGGAGCACTGTTGTAGTACCCGTTATTTCCGCTGCTTGGGCGTCCCGCAGCATATTCTGCGCCCACTCCGACACTTAAGTCCTGCCTCTCTTCCTCTGATAGCTCCGCGCTATACCAACGGGCTGCCGCTTCCCTTAGGCATGACGGTAGGTTGGCGCGAACCACCTCCTCAGACTTCAGTGGAACTAAGGCTTTGAGTTGGTTGACAAAGGCGTAGACGTTCGTGTAGTATGTTGTTCCCCTAAAGGTGCGGACATGCACGTCTGACGTAGGGTCCGGTGTGAAGTGGTTCCTGTTCATTCAAAAAGCTCGACAACTTGTTCATTGTCTTGCTTGAGCGTAAAAGTACGTAGGTACCCCTTGTCTCCTAGTCTGCCTTCTATGATATCACATTAGCATAATTTCAAACGATAGTGGCAGATTTTCACCTACAGCACGATACATCTTAACCAACTGCCGAACATGGCAGTTGGCCTGCAAGTGGCCAACTTGCTGGCAATAGTAACAACTGCGGGTCTCCACCTATTTTCATATAATTAATTAGCTCGCGAATACATGATTACAAGCCCCAGAGGAGACAAAGAGCTCCAAGGGCTCCCATAGCGTTGAGGGTGGAATGGGTATAGCTTGATTGTGTATGACAGCAATTTCAACAGGGAATAGGTACGTACCCGCATATCACAGCCACTGCACGGCTACCACAGCCATCACATCCAGTAGAATATGAACTCCCTTACGGCGCGCGGGAGCCTCCCAGGGCTCATCCATAATGGCCTGAGCGCGGGCGGCGATGGGGCACAGGGTTGGCAGCGACGGGGCAGGGGAGCAAAGCCAATCTATACTTATTAGCAAGGTACCCAGTTAGGATCATCATGCTGCACATACGCCCAACGTGCCATTCTAGAGTATCACATTAGCATAATTCCAAACGATGGTGACAGATTTGCACCTACGGCACGACACGTCTTGACACGTCTCGACCAGCTGCCGAGCATGGCATTCGGCCTGCAAATAGCCAACTTAATGGCAATAAAAGCAAATGTGGGTTTCCCCTATTTTCATATAATCAAATTAGCTCGAGAAGACAGAATTACCCAGGTCGGATAGGTACGTACCCGCACACCACCGCCACGTCCCCCACGCCCACCCAGTAGAACGTGCTATCCCTTCAAGAAGGGCAGGAAAAATTGAGGACAAAGCATTAGAGGCTCGCGGCGGTGGGAGAAGGGAGTAAAGCCCGGGAGAGGGAAAGGTGGAGGAAAGATCGAGGAAGGAAAGATCGAAGGGTGCTTAAATAGGCTAGTACCCCTCTGAAAAGACTTTCAAAAAGACATCCAAAAAGACATCCAAAAAGACATCCAAAAGGACATCCAAAATGACATCCAAAAAAGATTTTCTAAAAATACATCCAGCAAAAAGACTACCAATTAAATTTCCAATATCGAAGGGTGCTTTACTCGCTCTGTATAGAGTGAGGTAAGATACCATCAATTCAATGACAATAATCCACTTACTTCACATGTTACATGTATACCGTCTCCTCTCCTTTACGTTTACCCTCGTTTCTCTTTAGGATTTCACCCAAGATATCTAGACATCTCATCACGAAAACACAACTTCTTGCGCGAATCTAAGATAGCTAAAGTACCAAAACGGCCACTGAGTTAAAATAATACTCTATAAACATAGCCTTAATTGGCATTTAGAAAATTATATATTAGATAGAACAAGGAGTGTAATCTTCTAGCATTAATTTTATATTTTTAGTGAATTAGGTGGTGGTAGGAAATAGGGCTAATTATAGGCGTTAACTCAGTGGTATTTTCACCAACCCTGACTTTTGAAGTTCTTCATAGGTCACCTGATCCCTAGTATTAAGACTACTATTATTACTCCGTATGTTGTACAGTCCTTTCCTTTCCTTCCCTTTTCATAGGAGAGATATTATCTGCACACTACTAGAACACTAACTACACACCTATCTAAACTACTTCGGGTGTGTGTGGCCTGGCTTGTTGGCGTGTTGTAGAGAGAGGGGCTGGTGACGATGAATATAGTGAGGATGGCGCTTCAAAAAGAGAGGCGCTTGGAGGCATGAGGTTGAGAGAGAGGCCTATGGAGCGTAGAGAGGAAGGTTGAATGGAGCTTCCGGGGGTTCATAACCTGATAGGAGAGCGGTCGGTCTATGGAGACTTCTAGGTGCATGGTGGTGTCAGGAGAGAACTACGTCGAAGTGCATGGTGCAATATGAGATTATTAAATTGTTGAGATAGCTAGGTTCTAGCTGACACCCCCACGAAAATGCAAACCTAGGTAGTGAGTAGGTTGTTGTAGCACACAATGGGGTAGCCGGAGACGGCATTGGCTGTAGTGGGGTTGTTGGTGGTGGTAGCCGGAACTGAGGCCGGAATGTTGACCGCGTTAGCCGATTTGGCGTTGGCGTTGGCGTTGGCGTTGGCGTTGGCGTTGGCGGTATTCAGATTTGAATTGGCGTCGTATAAGACGTTGTCAGAAGTGTGGTCAGGGTGAGGTTGACCACGATGCGAAGTTGGATTCTCCGGTGAGGATCTCGAAAAGGTGAGGATCCCGGGTGTCGAGAGCGCACTAGAGTGCGGTCGACCACGAGGGGAATTTGGATTCGCCGGTAATAATTGAGACGAGCTCTGAGAGCTTGGGCTCTGCGAAACTGGAGGCGTTGTTGGAAGAAATGTTGATGAAGTTGATGAGTGCGTTGATGAAGAGGCACTGTGGTGGTGTACGTTGAAAGGAGAGGAGCACTGACGAAAATGAGGTGCGTCGAAGAGAGAGGCACTGTGGGATGACAGCGCTTGATAAGGGCTGAAATCTCTGCGCGTAGAGGTGCCCACCGAGAGAAAGAAGGGGGGGCACGTTTGTTGACACCGTTTGTAGGTGATTGTGTGTGGCTTGGCCGGTTGGCGCGTCGTCGAGAGAGGCGCTGATGACGACGGCGTCGATGGTGACAATGATGGGTTCGAACAGAGAGGCCGATGGAGGATGTCGATAGCGTCGCGAGAGAGAGAGAATGGCCTGAGGAGCGTGGAGAGGAATGTTGGATAGAGCTTCCAATGGCTCACAACCTGTTCAGGAGAGGACGAAGTGCATGATGCAGTGTGAAATTGTTGAATTGTCGAGAAAGCTAAGTTGCGAGACTATGGAATCTGACAGGCGTAATGTGAGAAAAATGAAGCTAAGCTAGACCATGTAAGTTTGATACTCCCACTTCGGATTCAGATACCTCTTCATTTAGATATCCACTAATGTAGAGATCTCTAATTATAATTCGCTGGAAGAGATATGTCAGGAGAGGACTACGTCGAAGTGTATGGTGCAATGTGAGATACGGATTCAAAGTTGTAGAGCTAGGTTCTAGACTATGGAATCTGACAAGATAGTCGAAATATGTCTTAGTGTATAGATATGTCGACTAACAAACTCTATGGTCTGGGAACAATAATCTCCTAAGAAAACATGCGTTCCATGGCTCTATATATCTCCATCTTTGACAAGATTCTACAAGTGGTTTACAGTAGAGGTTTAAACAGAGTAACTTTCAATTTATTGTGATCCTTAGGATAAAAAAAAGCGCCGACCTAACAAACTACATAGTTTGAAGGGCTAAACGAAGGATTCTTGGCCGCGGAAAACTACACTGACTATATTATATAAAACGTTAGTAGGCTGTAATAATAACTCTAAGAATTGAACGAATCATAGGGAAAGAGTTTCATTGCTATAAGTGCGGTGACCTGCTACTCTGCATTTAATTACTCGGTATGTCTATAGCCCGGCGGATCATACGTGAGCTGCACGCAGAACACAGATGAACCGACAAAGAACAGCCATCCTCCATGGACCATGTGTGAGCCGCACGCAGAACGCAGACGATCCGACGAAGGACGATTATCCTTCATGGACCATGTGTGAGCCACATACAGAGCCCAGACAAACCGAGAAATTGTGTGATAGCAGAATTGCTGAAGTCATCGCACCAACGAGCAGTATACTCATAAGGGAAGGCGGATGAAGGGATATGAGGTAGAACTTACGTGACGGCGGGAGGGGGCACGCACTGGCTCAGTCAAAAACTGAGCTCGCGCCGGGCGGGAGGCAGAGAGAGGGGCCGCGGCCGAGCTCGGGCCCGCAGCCGCCGAGCTGGCGGCCGCGGAGCCCGAGCTGGCGTTGGTGGCGCCGGAAGCGGCGGGCGCGGGGGGGGTGTTGGTAGTTGGGGGGGCCGGCGCGGGGTCGGGCACAGCGGGCGCGGCCACGTTGGAGGCGCCCGGGGCCACGTCAGACGCGGCGGGGGCCATGTTGGTGGCGGCGGCAGGGCGGCGGCGGGGGGCGCGGCGGCGAGGCGGAGGAACAAAGCCAATCTATACTTATTAGCAAGGCACTCAGTTAGGATCATCATGCTGCACATACTCCCAACGTGCCATTCTAGAGTATCACATTAGCATAATTCCAAACGATAGTGACAGATTTGCACCTACCGCGCGGCACGTCTCCACCAACTGCCGAAGATGGCAGTCGGCCTGCAAGTGGCCGACTTGCAGGCAGTAATGGCAGGTGCGGGTCTCCGCCTATTTTCATATAATCAAATTAGCTCGCGAAGACAGAATTACAGAGGTCTTCAAGTCCTAGAGGAGACAAAGGGCTCCAAGCGCTCCCAGGGCCTTTGGGGCAAAATGAGACACAGCCAGATTGTTTGTGACACCCATGTCAACAGGGGATAGGTACGTACCCGCACACCACCGCCACGTCCCCCACGGCCACCGCGGCCCGCACCGGTGGCACCGGCGCCACGTGCCATTTTGATAAATGGCAGGACGGTTATTGGAAAAAAAATAAAAAATTGAATAAAGCAATAAATGTGCGCTATGTTAAGCGCAAGGTCGGGTTTTGTTAGCTTGGAAGAGAAAGAGAAAGAGAAAGATAGAAGAGAGAAGAGAGGAGAGGAAACCAAAACACGACAACACCTTCCCATCAAACCTCAGGCTTCCATAATTTCCTATTCACTTTAGATTCACTGACTATTGTTTCCTATTCATTTTTCACTTAACATTACATTCACTTAACTATTCTTTCCTATTCATCTTCCTCTCACATCCTGATCACTTCTACATAACAATTTACTTTACGGTAGGTAACCTACTCTAGTCGGATTCTATATGAAAGACTTCTATTGTCTCCTAGTTGGCTAGCTATTGTTCCTCATTCACTTTCTACAGGTATGTCTAGCTAGGCTTCCATAAGTGTGTGTGTACCTAGCCATTCTGAACATTCTGGAGCTAGGGCTATTAAATTTGCATTGAAACCGATATTAATATAGAGAGAGCTTTAACTTCCTAGACAACGTAGTAAAACATGCCGTGAGAAATGCGTCCTATAAGAATGTGTGTATTTGCGGACTAGGTCCCCTGCAGAGGCTGATTATGGAGTAATAACGTTATCAGACATTGTATCGACTGAGACTACGATGGCTGAGGCGCCTTTGTGGGTGAGACAAAAACAATCTGCAGGGTTATAAGAGGCAAACTATTCATGGAATAATTAAAATGGATATGGCTGCTTATTGGTGTTGTTGGCTGAAGCGAAGTCGGCAGAGTCGATACCAAAGGAGTGATGTTGTTGGATAATACATCACCAGCCATCCCCAAAAATGATAAACGATGCGCAGGTCAATTGAAAATTGTATTGGTAGATTCTCTTAATTGATACAAAGGCAATTGAGTCACGAGTGCACAACTAGGTTATCCCGGACGATGCCAAGGAATTGGTAAAAGACGATAAGAGGCGCGAGCCTAGTTCAATTTGATTCGTACCTACATATATATAGCTTAAATCCACTGATAGCTACATACATGTCTAGATAGAGCCCAGAAAGTGTGATAAGCTATGTACTTACTGGAGAAAGTTGAAGGTTTGGCGAGACCCATTAGGAGTGATAAACTCCGTGCATGGTAGGTGACCCGAAGGCCCAATCAAGTGAGATATAAGTGGTATGCGCGTGGGTAGCGTTGCTCATGTAGGTCTAGATATCATGGTGAAATATAAGTAGCATCTAATAATCGTAGGAGGTAACGTTTGATGCTATACCACTTGGTACGACCCAGCCTCGGCAGAAGTGGGGGAGTGGTCCCGGGGTATGTCTGCAATTGACAGTACTGGGTTTGGTGCACGAACTAATAGGAGTGCGTATGTTGTATGTAGTGATGGATGTGACACGAATCTAGGGTCCACTTGAATCACATGTTGTATATACAAAAGTCGGTTTACACATTTTACACATTTTTAACAACATTATCCTATATTTTACAGGTGATTCTTCTTATCATTCTAACTACAACACTAATCAAGGGGGGGGGGGGAAATATCTGTAAAAAAGACGTTAAAAAAAAGACGTTAAAAAAAAGACTACCATAGTAGAGCATGGATTTTGGTAAGATTTGGCGCGATGTTTCGGTGTCGGGAAGAACTGGGATCGTGATAGAAAGACTCAAGTCAAGAGCTACATAGGGAGCTGTAGGGCTTTGTCAATGATCATGTGTCGGTCGTCGCTGATCTTGTAGTAAAAAGGGGAGTCATAGCCGTCGACCTTAGAATAACTGACCTATAGATAATGATCCCTAACGCCCCCTAATTCACTGTCCGGGAAGCTCTTCGATCGTCGATTGAGGGCTTGTTTCTTAGGAATAGAGACAACTGAATAGAGACTTAAAAACGTATGTTCAATCCAATATTGGACAGATGGGAATAGTAGGGAGTTGTTGCAGAGAAACGATCCGAGAATACGTGACAATTGAAACAGAGACCAGAGTATGTGACATAATATGTCGGGCACTCACTGTAGCCGGAGAGACCGATCACCTTTCTTCAAAAGTTATTCTGCGTATACAACCTTACTAACAAGTTTCATGTTACGCGTGAACAGTATGTCTGGCCTTCAGTGCGCTTGGCTCGAAGCCAGAGATTACAGAACCTCGCTCCAACTCTATTTATGAAAAGTGCAATAAAAAGTGCAATCGCCCCATAGGCGATTCTCATCAGCGTTTATCTATGCACTTTTTTTCACATTATCATTGCCATCGTCCATGCAGCAAATACAGTTGTTACCCAGGAGGCAGATCTTTCGGCACCTATAATATTCATTCAGGCGATATTTACACTACGCCTACGCCTACATCAACATACTACATCTCAACCTCTAATCCCCGCCCCGGCGCCGGAAGCCGGCGTGCACTCGCTGGAACTCAATAGAGCCTTACTCTTCTGTTTTAGTTTTTTTCTATATTATCAGATCTCTAGCTTATATAAACTACCAGGCTATTTAAGCACTCTTTGATCTTTCCGCTCTTCGATCTTTTCTCTCTTCATCTTTCCTCCATATTTCTTCCATCTTGAAGGGAGATAACTTGTTCCGCTGGTTATGATGGCCGTGAGAGGCCCGCCGCGCAGAGGAGGCCTGCGCTGAGATCCCGGCCAGGCGATTCGAGATGGTGGATCCGTGTCAGGCTCCTGCCCGCCGCGTGGTAAGTGCGATATGTTCCTCATCATCCATCTTCCCTTGTGATTATACTTCTTATAGGTGGTCATCGCACTTATGGCAATGATACTCTTCCCTGTGATTACGTTCAATTCTTAGAGGGGTTTTTAATACAGACTACTAACATTTTATATAATATAGTCAATATAGTTTCCGGGATGCAGAAGTTTCATTTAGCCCTATAGACGGCAAAGTCTACTAGGTCGGCGCAGTTAATTCTTTTTAAGTACCAGTACACAATTCAAAGCCACTCTGTTTAAACCTCTACCGTAAACCACTAGTAGTATCTTGTCAAAGAGGGTAGTCTATAGAGATATCAAATCGCATGGTTTCTTAGGGGATTGATTGTTGATAAAGCTAAGTTGGTAGACCATGGAGTTTAACATTCAAGGTATATATGTGTAAAGTAAGACGCATTTCGACTATCTCTTGCAGCGAATCAACGCCAGAGAAATCCACATTGGTAGATGTCTAAAGTGAGAGGAATCTGAAGTGAGAAGTATCTGAAGTGAGAGGAATCTGAAGTGAGAGGTATCTGAAGTGAGAGGTATCTGAAGTGAGAGGTATCTGAAGTGAGAGGTATCTGAAGTGAGAGGTATCTGAAGTGAGAGGTATCTGAAGTGAGAGGTATCTGAAGTGAGAGGTATCTGAAGTGAGAGGTATCTGAAGTGAGAGGTATCTGAAGTGAGAGGTATCTGAAGGGGACAATCAATTTGTTGAGAGTCCCCAAAGATAGGAGTGTGTGACACGTGTCCCTGCTCGTAGGGTACATGTAGGCACTAGAGTAAGAGGCTGCTTTGGAGCCTAAGTGAACCGTAACGTGCCTTCCTTTCCCGACAAAAGAAATAAACAAAACAAAAGCACTCTTCTTCCTTTCCCCCTTCTTCCTTTCCTTTCTTCCTTCTTTAACTTTTGGCAACTCCATCACTGTTATTTGCTTACTCGTGTCAACACTGCATACGTGAAAATGGCAGGGAGCATTCTTACTGAGCCAAAGTCAACCCCTAGTGGGTTTATCATCGTGTTTATTGGCCGCAGCAGCGCAGCACCTGGTGAACAGGTGAAGCGAGAATGGTTGCTCGAGACTCTTCACTGGGTAGAGCAAATGCATCTGGAGGAATATGGCAGTCTGGACAGTCGTTCTGTGGACTTTATTCCTTTCATCCAAGGGTCAAACCAACCGCTTCCACTAAGTGGTGTGGTCATGACAAAGCTTTCTGCCGATTTTCAGGAAGCGCGTGCAAATGCTGGCTGCAACGTGTTTTGTGATATCTGGCTGGGACGGGCTAACTACGAGTGATCTGACCCTAGGATTCCTTGGTCAAAAGGCCGAGGGAGTCGATGTCGCCCTTCGATTTTGTGTCGAAGAAAACGATGATGGATCTCGTCGTTTCCATGATGTTAAACTCCGGGATGCATACCGAGTGTGGAGTGATGAGAGCAAATCTCAATGGCTTCAATGTTCCTTTTGTGAAGCAGAGTTTTCTAAACCTTGGAGTCGACACCGACATGTCAAGGTTAGCTGCCTTCAGAACCCCGACAGCGAAAAGAACAAACCGGCAACCAAGCCTCGGAAGAAGCGAGGAACGATGGTGCGAGTGGCAGGCGTCAAAGACCAACCCACTGGATCAGATAATGGGTTGACGCCTTATATGAGTATTGACCCTGCAGATTACCACAAGGCGCCTCGTATCGACCCCGAAAATCCCATGATCTACCGAGGTGAACTTTTTTGCCGGCATCCAGATTGCTCTTCAAAGAAGGTTACTCGGTATACCCAGAAGAGTATCGTCCGCAAGCATTACTGGAAGGACCACGGTATGGAATATCGACAGTTTAGCAAGACACTTGGGGCTTTTGAGGAGAAGCCCCATGTCGATGGCCTGCAATAGATTGCAATCTGTGTGCAGCGTGGCCAGGAGCAAGCTGGCCCTGCACCCGTTTCTCGGAAATGGCGAAACGCTTTTCTGAGAATAAAGCTAAGTCTCGGTCTCTGTTTATTTTTATCTCGTTTTTCTTGCATTTTCTCAGATGAAATTTGATGACGAAAACTAAAACAAAAACCATCAAAGCTACAGTGAAAAAGATCTATCGTTAGATTTATTCGGTGTATACACTAACATGTATTTTTAATAGTGGGGTGAATAGTTGTGCTAACCCTCACCATATTTTTACTGCTGCCGTCGAAAGTCTGACGAGGAAACTCCCAGACTACGGTGGCCCCCCCAGCGATGAGCTCACACCTTAATGCGGTGCTGGGGTACAGTAATCCTGATCTCAGGATGAAGCTAAGATGAGCCAGAGCGATGGTCAGTACCCAATTCAACCATCACTGACCCAATAGGAATCGAATTGGTTAAACCACCGTTTCAAACAAGACCGCCCCAGTCACTACTGTACTAACAGAAGGCCAACCAGCAGATACAATTCCCACTGCCTCGTGAAATTGACTGGAACATTCCTTGGTCAGATTTCATTTCACAAGCCGAGACAACTACCACCGGTACGGCGATCCGAAACCCAACCACTTCGCTGTCAAATACGAGCACTGCGACCGAAACGATGAGCAAAGCTGAAACGGAAACATAAAACGTGGAATGGAACCTCAAGCAGCAGAGACATAAGGTCTGTTGAAAGAAATGTGGATCGGTCTCTCGTACGCCAGCGGACTGCTTGCTCGGAACGTGGTCGCACTTCATACACAATTTCCCCGTCGTCAAGGATCCAATCGATGGTACCGTGAGGAATATTATGAGCATTGATATGCGGAGGATAGGAAGTGGTGCGTGAACCTGTGGATACAGGAGGCGGTGTTGCCGAGCACGTTCATCAAGGGGAACACCTGTGGACAGTCAACTCCACGGCCGCGAATGAGAGGTTCCAGGACCACTTGCAGACCATTGAGCCCTTGAGAATGAGCACGGGCAACACCACGGTTGTCGACAAAGAGATCAATGGAAGGTGGGCCGGGTGACCGATTGATCTAATTAATCAGGAAGTCAACAGGATGAACAGGGACAGCCCTATGTGCATGAGCTGCAACGTGTCTGGCTGCAACTTCATGTTCGCTGTGCACTGCAAGGGGATGATGCCAATCCACGTGATAATGGCACCGGAGTGCATCGACGTACTCGCATTATGCCAAGAACGTGTGTGCTGACATGGGCATGACCTCGTCGATGATCGTTTACAAGTCCACAAAATCGACGGTTCAGGCATAAATATCCATGGTTGAGTATCTATGGAAACGGGTCCATTTAGATCTCCGATTCCCCGAAGGACATTGAGCTGCGGCGGTCTATGACCGCCAGCGCGCCAGTTCAAATCTCCATGCAGTATAGCTTGGAATATGACCGTTTTATACGTCTGAATACATCAATATCGCACCAATTATCTACGTAAGTCAAAAATCCAAGTCGAATTCTTGATGCTTGAATTCATAATATTGGATTATCGATGCCCAAGTTCTCTATAGTCTATATTTGTATCCTTCCATTCTCTACGCTTTGTCTCAACTTATACTTAAATCACATATTATTACACCCCAACGCTAAGTGACGGTAAATTGGGCGCCGAAAAGGCTTCTTTTGACGCCATTTTAAGCGTCCTATTTACCAGAGTACGGGAAAGATAGATTTGATGCCTTAGTGCAAACTGGGGGCGGGCATGTGTCAAACTCGTCCGTTAAATACACTCCTGCCCCTTGCGTTCCTCACTTCTTTTCAACCATCGGAACTGCCACCATTCGATCATGTCCTTAATAAGATCGCACAGCCAGTGGCCTGGAGACATCCCATCCTTCATTCGCCGACACGAAGAACCCGTGGCCCCGGAAAATTTTGATGCCGCCTCTCGTGCATGGAGGCATTTTATTCGTGACCAGTGGGTCGGCGGTGACGCCGCGGATCAACAGAAACGAGCTTTGATCGAACGGTGGGCAACAGCAGACCAACAATTTCGCGATGTATGTCTTTAATTTCGAAAAATTCTTATTTCTCCACTGACGCCAAGACAGAGCTATCAATCCCGAGCACCAGAGGACGAGCCTAGTTTTTTTGAAGGTCCCGAACTTACAGTATGAAATATCTTCTACTATTTGACTTGCGATTCTAATCCAGGTATAGGACCAAAATTGTACAGGAAATGACGTTCAAAATTTCTGCATGGTCTACTTCTGCACTACCGAATTGACCCGCGAGAAAGAAGCCCTGCTAGCCAAGTGTATCTTGAGTTTATTCCCATGGGAAGAAGGCTGGGAATTTCTAGCAGACGAAATGATAATGTTTCTCCCCTTGGAAGATAATCAAGGGGATATTCTCGAGACATTCAAGTTCCATCAAAGTGTCGCCCGACCCAACTTCCTTGATATGCACATGGCGCTCGATGGAACGGTGCTTTTCAGGGACTGCTATGCCAAGCTCATTATCGATGACCGGACCCTTGAGACCGGACTGGGGCTTTGGGTTGAATTCGCAACGAACGGTATCTACAAGAAAGCCTACCGGGCTCAAATGATGATGGAGGAATTCGCCCACTTTTATTGTGAAATCGGTCCGGGAAATCAGATCCCAATAGAGCAGGCGCTGAATTACATCGAGTCACGGGTAATATACCAAGACCGCGATGAAGATGCAGATCCAAGAGAGATCTTGGAGGATGAGCCGTGAGTCTGTCCATTCTTGGTTACGAGATAGTATGTATTAATCGGTGCTTAGAGTCGATATGCGACGGCCGCTCGTGGAAATCTACCGAGGGGGTGAAGTCGATCTAGTGGATGACTATGCGCCAGGCTTTCGCGAGGCGGAGGAGCAGGGTAACGGCTTAGCGATCGGATATGATTTGGAACAGATACTTGCGAACGATGGAAATCCCCTGACTATCACAGATCATGGAAGTGATCATTAGCTAGACTTTACTTATTGCTCCCACTTACTCGGTTCCTTCAATGAACAAAATACCCCTAATGATCAGTTATTGGTTATATTAGGCGCTTAGGGCAGCATCTTATCGACAGAAAGAAGCGATTGGTCAAGAATACGCATCAGGTTAATATTCGAGCGTAATTTTGGCAGGATTCACAGTTTTTGTTTGAGACCGGTATTGAAGAATGGGCACTGTGTCCATCATTTTTTTAATACGGGAATCAAGTTGGAAGAGTGAGAGGTAAAACTGAATTCGAAAGCTACTGTATCACCGGGAGAATTCAGTAAACAGATTTTACAGTCTATCGAGGCTTCGAAGTCGGGGATCGATGGAATCCAGCCTTGATGCATTTAAATCACCAGAATGCTTCACAGTACGTGAGGGATACCTTCGATGATGCTCGCCGTTGCTCCTTGTATCTTTGAGTTGGTGAGAGCGGCTCAGTCTCTGGCTTCTTCGGACGTTCGAGGTGCAGTTTTCATGTCGACCAGAGAGGCTTGGGTGGTTTTCTTTACTTGAGGTGCTCTCAGACTGCTTTGACGACAACCCGAAATAACGTTGTTTGACTGCGCTCGGAGTTCTTCCGGGAAATGAATCGCGAATTCGACTCCATGGCAGTTTTTGAGAGTCTCTCAGCCTCAACAATCGACGATCTTCTTCAACGGTCCACTTCCTCCGCGTGATAGTTTGCCGTGCTTGCACAGTCGTAGCTTGCCAAACAGGATTCTCTAATGCTATGGTGCTTGTTGCAATGATACCATATGCGTGCTGTAACGTTTTAGTTGCAAGTTGAACCACCGCAAGATTTTCTTTGATAATATTGGCATCGGCGAGGTCATCAGAGAATTTAGCCTCAGCAGTACTCAGGCTGTAGAAACGCTTCAGATATCTAATCGCATTCCCAAGTCCGGCAAGATAGTCATCTGCATAGCTCTCTTCGTCATGTAATGACGAATTTCCGGCTCCTGGTTGACTGCGTCTTCGTCGTGACTTGGTCTTTTTCGCCGCGGTTGAATTCGGGTACAGGCGGCCTTTCGTGGAAGAAATCCTTAGATCTTCCAACATTCCCTTCCTTCGGTTCGCGGTGAAGTGCTCGTGATTATTCTCGCCGTTTTGCCTGTTGTGATCGTCTTCAAAGACATCGAAGACTCTTGTTGTCCCGGGTCCATCAAAGCCAGTCACGGAGGGAGTACTACTGACTCGGCAGGAAGGATAAAGCGCAACCTCCTCGGGGTAATCGGGATAACTATCGGTGGCTGATGCATCGTTGTGATAGAGATTGGGTGAAATAGATCGAGAGTGCCGGCCAGTTTCCGATGCTGGGGATATTTTATCAAATCAAAGAGTATCGAAATAAATTCAAGAATTTGACCTATCGAAGTGCTCTACCCTGTGCTCTTCTTGTGGCACATTGTTCTCTATGCTGTAGTATCCTACTCCGCGTCTTTCTCCTGAATCCTTGAGTTCCTCTGCCACAAGGGCGGTCTGGGTATCAGAGCCAATTGAAGAGCATCTTTGCGGTGAGTTTGGTGTTGGCTGCCAGAAGTTTTGATGATCCAGCGTTACCATGGTGAAAGAAAATATGTTTAAATAGAGGAGAGTTGGAATGGACACAATGGACAAGGATAAATGCAAAGAAGGTATCATTGGGGATATTTATAATTCAGGCCTCATTGTCTCTTCACGCCCGTCGCACTATGAAAGGAAATGCTAGAAGATCGGCACGGGTTTCGGCTTCATAGCCAACGCAAGATGGTGATCAGACCACATATGTCATCGGTGCAGCTCCTCGACCCTTTGCTGTGGCCAATTAAAAGGCTGTTCAATCTCGTAGTGGATCGACTGAAGGAAGTGTTCCCAGAAACATTAGCATGATATAGACCATGTGGCGGACTTCTTGCTCGGGATTATACTCGGACCCATGGTCTATATCTCCACTTTGCGTAGCACGGCGTATCAAAGCATTCGAGGTCTATGGTAGGGCACGCGAGAATGTTTACCCGATGGTGTATGATGGTCCTGGGATCGAGCCAGCCCTGGATATAAAGAATCTAAGACCATGAGGGGATTCTTGTTGAGGTTTTTTGAAAGAAAGGCGAAATGGAGCTTGCATTGTGAAAGACAGATTAGATGATAGAGCGTAGAGATGATGAGATGTACGGATGTTTGATGTCACACAAGTTTGAAGATTGGTTGAGTCGACCAACTTGAAGAACTTCGAAGACCGAAACGAAAGTTACTATAGTAACGTGAGAATACGTCATTTCCTAGCTGCGCTTCCAGGAACACGAGTAGGCAGCAGTGCGGTTATCGTCGGAGCATGTGAATGAACGGAGAGGTAGGATGAGATCGAAAGGGCCGGTCGGCCTGAGCATTGGGGTGAGCGAGCAGGCTGCTCAGGGCGCGACTCAGGGTCGCTCAGGGCGGCGGGTTAACTAACTCACCCTGTGCTCCAGGGCTCCGGGAGCCGATCACTTCCCGAGGCGGCAGTTTTACCGTCACCATTATTACATATAGAAAAGTCGGTTAACACATTCAACATCTTTTCCAGAGCCTATATTCTATTTTTTACGGCTAATACTAATAATGGGTGGGAAATATCTCTTAAGAAGTAAGGTTCAAAGGAATGTTTAGAAAGACTCCTAAAAAAACACCAAAAAAGACTACCAAAAAAGACATGGGAAAAGCCGGTATAAGCGGCCAACTATGTCTTGTTCTCTAGTTATACTTCGGACATTAAATTCTTAATACTCACATGTAAATTATCTATACTATAACTCTGCATTAATGCGTACGACGACATAATCGTTTAGTTTAGCTTATTATACAGAAATAGAGCAATCATCTACACAATCGTGCCAAGCGCCCAACACACCCCCCCACCCCCACCGGATAGCAAATTATCGCCCGATAGCAATTGAAAGAATTAGGTATCTTTTGTATAGCAACTCCATACAAAAGGTACATAAGCACAACATCGATTTTTCAATTTTCCGAACTTCGACAGTTCATCACCTCTCCATATCATGAATACAAATTCCGTTATATCAAAGGTGAATCAGCCAATTTCAAGCTTATTGGGGCTAATTAATCCCCTCCAAGAGTACCTAAGTAGCAGCGACTCTAGCCGTTCCTCTCGGGGTGAAAATTGGTCAATTGTGAAGCTTTTGGAGATCCATGGATATGACAGGTTGGTATGGGCGGGGAAGTCAAAGGTAGAGAAGCAGAGTGTTGTTGTGACCTTTTTGGTGTATGAATTGTATGTAGCCTATATGTAGATATATATATTATGGATATAATCTATCCATGGGCACCTTAACATTACGAAACACCAAAATTTCGCTCTGTCCCATTTCATTCGTTGTAAACCGGTCTCACTGCCCGGAAACTACACCATTGGCCCAGAAAGTAGACAGCATAGTCGTCCCAAGCAAAATTGCAGCAAATATGCTCCGGAAATCAAAAATACCAAAGAAATGGACGAGCGGTATCGAATACCGGGGTACGGCAGTTCGTAATGGCCATATCGGATTTTCCCTATAGTAAATTATCCACCGCCCCATTCACCGCCTTCCCCATTACTGCCTCATATCATCTTCATTACTCTTCTCACCTTGATCAACCTCAATAGATGATATAACATTTTTTTCTATGATTAATATCCCTAGAAGCCGGATCCATTTGCTGTCTAATGGCTGTTACTGTTTATGTCACGACTACAAACGGGGCCACACAAGTAGTGCATCCTCAAACTCCAGCAAAACCCGACTCCAGTGGAACTTGTAGTTTCTCAAAGACTAATTACTCTACCAAATTATACACAAAGTAGCCTTTTTTTTAAAATACAACCTCTACACATGTCTTGTATCCCCTTGCTGGATCAAAATTTCTTAAAAAAAATAGGGTTCAAACGTTACTACATGTAGAATTTACATCGGATACATCCAAGTAAGTTCTACGCCCACGCCACGCAACCCACGCCAAAATTATAAACCATATATGGAAAGGAAAGCTTAGAAAGCCTAGAATATAATTAATATGGCATGTATTCAAAATCAGAATGATACTGCCGGCAAAATACGAAGTGGCACACTGGCCTTTATAGCCGCCTTACCCGGACTTTTCGTATGCCCAATCAAAAACTACACAGACAAAAAGATCTGGACGGGCGGCGGATTGAACGCCGGACTTCTCGCATGCAAAGCGAGCACTCTACCACTGAGTTACGCGCCCAAGTGAAGTGGAATAATGATAGATTTGAAGGTAGATGTCGTGGGAAACTGGAGGTTGGGTTTGGGGTGGTGGTATGAAGGGTCGGTGTTGACTGGGCTTGATTTGTTGAATTCCATAATGAAAATGGATATACATGGCTATATAGGTTATCTATTAGATGTTACTAGTCCTAGTATAGTCGCTTAATGGTTTTGATGGCGAGCTCATGGGAGGAAATATTTGATAGATACATATGGAAGATAGCTGCTTTGTAGGGAAGCAAGGTCCCGACAAAAGAGGAGAAATACCTCAGAACTAAAAGCACAAAACGCTAACCATATATGGCTAACATTGATTGATCCATTTTAGCAGTCAATATTGATGGTGTTGTAGTAGTAATTATGATCACATATAATGACATATTTTCACTTAGTTTTTGTATACGGGTTATAATAGTAACTATGTTCTACCATAAAATTGAATAAAAATATAAAATTAATTATAGATGAAAGCGCATTTAATCTTAAGCGGTGCATTCTTTTTTCTATACAAATTGAAGCGATATTGAATGTGGCGATATGGATTCTGCCTGCTTGTTCCGCCCACGGGTATGTTGGGTTGTTTGCACTGTTTGCAGAATCTGGAGCGGGACCCACACAAATACTCTTCCACCAATATCTTTCCTCCTCTCTGTTCCCCTCCAGTACTTGGAATTCTGAATGAAATGCACTCTTCTCTTTAAGAAGACCTGGCTGGTAACATTGAAAACCGAGTTTTGTATGAGGGGGGTAAATGTGGGGAGGAGGACTATAGGTACATATAGTTTTTGACCTTGAGACTAAGTTTCGTTAACCATGGATGCAGGTAATCAGCTGACTAGTTTAATTTCGAACGTATGTACCCTTATAGCAGCCTTGGAGAGATACAGAGTAGAGTCACTCTCGTGCATAGGGTACAATATCAGACATAGAGTTGGGCAAAGTTGCTCACTCAAATACTCGTCTTCATGCCAGGTACGGAGCCGGATCAAACTACTCACTCAAGCGCATGCGCCTTTGGAGTATCGGTGCAGAAGAGATTGTTGTCAAGTCAATCAATAAATAAATAAAGGGTTATACATAGAAAAGTCGTTTTCACAATTTAAGCCCTTTTCTGCCTTTTTCTGCCGTCTACCCAGAAAATATCCAAAAAAAGACATCTAAAAAGACATCTAAAAAGACTAGCAAAAAAGACATGACAAGGCCGTATCACATAGCAAGACCTTCGGAGGAATTGCTAAGTTCAAGATGTAAGAAGAAGGCAGATAGCACACCGGTTAAAATTGGGAAAAACCCAATAAGAGCATGAGCTAAGTTCGAGACGAAAGAGCAAGACAGAGCGAGCATCTAAGAGGCGCTTTACCCGAAGTAGTTTAAATAGGTGTGTAGTTAGTGTTTTAGTAGTGTGCAGATAGTATCTCTCCTATGAAAAGTGGAGGAAAAGAAAGAACTGTAAGAATAGCTTTACTAGGGATTAGGTGACCTATGAGAACTTCAAAGTGTCTAGCCATACAATCTTGTGCCATAGCTATCTTAGATTCGCGCAAGAAGTTGTGTTTTCGTGATGAGATGTCTAGATATCCTGGGTGAAATCCTAAAGAGAAACGCGGGTAAAGGTAAAGGAGAGGAGACTAGTATACATGTAACATGTGAAGTAAGTGGATTATTGTCATTGAATTGATGGTATCTTACCTCACTCTATACAGAGCGAATTGGTTGTGAATGTATGGTATCAGACTCCAACTACTAGCTCTCCATCAAATCCCCGAGCCTGAGAAAAATAATAGCCGCGCTGATTACTGACCACCATCTTCTCGGTGCTCTCCTCAATGTAACTGACATTGAAGTGGGTATGCCCAAATGCCCATAATTTTACTAGCGGACTCTTCCAGACCTCCTGCCCCGAGAGATTGCTAGCAAAGCCCGACGACAGCGAGCTATTTATATGCTTTGGATCAACTGCCCGTTGATCTTGAGTGACTGGGCTATGGTGCGTAAAGACCACAATCTTGCGATGAGGCTCAGAGGCAGCGATATGAGAAACCTGTCCATTTAACCACTGCAAGTCTGCTTCGTGAGCAGACGTGTGATCGTCAACCGTCCAGTTTTTTATGTGGTAAAAGTCATTGAGGCCATAGCTGACGTGCTCCTTATGGGCCTCGCTCACTCGTGAGAAGAGTGTGCACCCTAGGACAGTCACGTCTGGTGAGAGATCGTAGCGGGTTTGATCCAACAAGACGAAAGAACCCATAGTTTCCGGATGTCCATCTTGTTCCGTTGAACGCCGACGATCGACAGACGCCGAGAATTGGTGGAGGACTTCCTTCGTCTCCTCCCACTTTGAATAATAGGGCTCATGGTTCCCTAACAGGAAGAAAACGATTTGGAATTGGCGCAACTGGGTTTCGATGAATGTAATGAAGCCTGCGTCCTTGACAACTCCTATGTCACCTAGGAGGGCAAGATATGGCGCTTTCGGAGAGATCTGGAACACATCGTAGGCAGAGGGATTTTCTAGATGTAAATCCGATAATATCTGGAACGTGGGCATCTGGACCGTACAACGAATGAGGCGAGTTTTCAAGGTTGTTCCTGGATGTTATGGGGACGATATCATCCAACCAGATGCAATTCCAGAGCCCCGCCAGGTGTGGCTAAGTTATAGGTGGCGGTGCTGATATAGTGTGGCGTAACACAGCCTCCTTTTCTCCACCTGGGCAGCGACGGGCCCCAGGGTCATCCCTCAGTTATCTAAGCGCCCGGACACGGATGATCTCATAAGTAGCCCCTCCTTGGCTGAGGGTTGAAAATATATTTATCTCCTTCTCCTATTTCAACGATCCTCATATCCTCTTGTTGTCCTTAAGAGGTGTTCTCGAGCCTTTTGCTACCAGCTTATCAACCATTGTTACAGACACGACGTCATAACTGTGTTATCAGCACCTTAAATTGCGGGCAAACCTTGAAAGACACAGGCCCCTGATTGTGACAGCAACCAACACGATGGCAAGCGCAGCACACGATCCCCGACTGCTATACAGCGTCAATAATATCCGTGCTTTCCATATCCAAGATGGCGAGGAGCAGGAGCTCACGCCGTCCGGTCCTCAAACCCTATCACTGCTAATGGTCCCCACCAACACCGCCACTGCTGGCCCTGGAACAGATTGGCCTGAAGATTCACAGGAAGAGGATTTCTATCTTCACCTATACCTCCCACCTGAGCTCGATATTGCGATACCGGCGACCACACAGATCTTTCACCAACCTCCCGACAGTTATCTGATTCCCCGCTGGGATATGGGTCCCGATTCTGGCGCCTTCATTCGCATCCAGTTCCCTAGCATTGGCACAGGCCTCAGCAATGTGTCTCAGGATGATATTGATACCTTTGAATCCATCCTTGCGCAGTGCACTGCATTCCTCGAGCGCGCCCCGCAGCCGAAGGCTCAGGACTATACTGCTTATAACCCGGCCGACTACGCACCCGGCGAGGGTTATGTTGGAAACCCAGATACAAAGAATGCAGATGTACATGGGAGAATTGTACTCGTGGATGAAGAGAACGGCAGTGTGGTTGGAGAGCTAGGAGATGGCTACAATGTAGTCGAGGATGCCGACGTGAAGCCTGGTTCTAAAAGTAAGTGTTGAATTATGATCATTCTCAATCAGCAATTGACTAATAAATCGAAAACAGGACCGGTAGGAATTGAACTCCCTGCAGAAGGTGCAGGCAATCAAGTCAGCGTCAGCAATGTCTCCGAAGAATACCTAGCGTTGGCCCGGCACCCGGCGTATAAGAACTCGACACTAGTTCAGAGTTCAGCCACGGCATCTCGTTTGATCGTGACTGGATCGACATATTTGGCAAGTGCCATCGCGAACGGCGCGGAGAATTTCCAAAAGAAGACGCAGCCAAATATCAAGCCTCTGAAATTCTCGGACGCTACTCACGCGCGCATCCGCAAGGTCGGCACTTTATCCAACGGAGCAGCAGATATTTCTGCTCGCACAGTCGGACAGGTCGGAAGGGTTGCACAGAACCTAGGTGCGTCGTTGGCGCGCAAACAAGAAGCTGGCCGGAACAAAGGCATCGATAGGCGCAACCCACCGCCAGAATATAAGCCCGGTGTGCTGAACAAATCAATGATCGCATTCTCAACCCTGGCCGACGGCATCGAGCAGAGTGCCCGGAACATGCTCTTCTCCGGTGCCGGTGCCGCCAGCTCCATGATTGAACACCGCTACGGCAATGAGGCAGGCTCCGTCGCAACCAACCTGACGGGTGGAATCAAGAACGTCGGATTGGTTTACATCGATGCCACGGGTGTCAGTCGCCGCGCGCTTTTGAAGTCTGTTGCCAAAGGAATGGTCGTTGGAAAAATGCGCGACGGTCAACAGGTTGTCGTCGGCGGTGGTGACGGCGGCCAGGTTCCAGCTAACGCTGTGGAGGCTGCTTCGGGCCCTTCTGGGTTGAGCGCCCGGGACCCTGTTGTGCGGCGTCCGTCGCCTAACTCCACACCGCCTCCTGCATATGGTGCGTCGGGGACAACGTCCCTCAACGGGTCATCCATGCCAGGGGGTAAGCGGTAAAAATTCGGGGGGCTGGTGGGAATGGCAATTACAGTGCTCGGGGAGAGCGAGATCTCGTATATGGAGATGTTTGGGCTATTTCCATTTTGTGACTTTGGTACGGCGGGCATGATTCCTCATTTTTTTTTGCAAGATTTTGACTAAGGCTTTTGAAATTTCTAGAGTCTTGTCTATTTTACCCTTTTCGATACCTAGGTAGTGACCTCGCATATCCGCAATAAAGTTCCGACCGCATCTTATGCACAAATCCGTCACCACCTTTAGTTTGCGATTCTTCAAGAACCATTGGATAGAATTTGGGTTCTGGCTAGGTGGCACAGCGCCAAAAGAGGGAGAGCACAGTAGACCGTCTTTTCTAGCGACACTTTGATTTGTATACGGAGTACGGAGTAGAGTCAGCAGACAAAATTTGAGGAGGTGAGGGTGGTTGGGTGTGATGTAGGTAATGGCGACGATAGCCATTGGACAGGGTTGCTCATATGCGTTGCCCAGGTTCCGCTGGACGATCTATCCGATATTGATTGGGTGATGGTATACAACGTTGTAGAGGCGAAAACTGCCAACGCATCGCTTGACAGTTGTCCACGGCCCACCTTGGCCCCTTGCCCAATGAGGGTTATCAGAGATCAAATGGTAGTATCAGAGGATTGAAATTATGCCTGGTGTATTAATTAGTTGAAGAAAGTAGAAAAACCCTATAAGACTTCGTCGATTTCGCATCAATTACTGCATGCAGATGGATTGAAATGGAGACAGACTGTGGGTAAGTGGATAGAGTACATGAAAGATAGAGTAAGGTTTAGTGTTGCAGGCCGGACTATTCAGGAACCGCATCATGTACTCCATGTACTCCATATACATCAAGATTTCAAGGTTGCAGTTAAATATGAAATTCCTAAAGTCGAACAAGATCTGCTCAGATCGGGATCCAACCATGGTTCTAGCTATGCTTACCGTGGTTGGGCCGTGGTTCCAGGGTTTATGCCGGTGGCTATGGCCCCTCTTAAATCTGCGTATACAAAGTACTACTCCGTCCTCCGTAGCTTCAAAGAGTTAAAGCCTGAAGCGAAAAAACAGTACTCCGTACGTTGGCGCTAATTGTCAGCTAGGTCAAGCTAGGGAGCTGAGCTACTGCACACCATTCTCACAGCTAATCTCTCGATCTTTGAATCTCACTGGATTGATCTCAAAATCAATAAAATTGCAATAAAAATTTCAAATCAATCAAGTAGATTTAATTTATTTACATGAATAAATTGGCTAGACTAATGAAGAAGGAGAGAAAAAGCGAGATCTGAGCTTCTATTCTGAGAGAGGTTAATAATGACGATCGTCCTGAGGTGTCCACTCTATGAGTATTCGAAACAGCCGGTGCAACCCCCTTTTTTTTGCTTCTTTCTTTTCTTGAAACCGAGCTCTCTAGCAATTTTAGCGCCTAGATCTATTATTATTTCTGTCAAATCCACAGAGCATGTTGTATTTCGTACTCCGTACACTTTTTCTCTCCCTTCTTTAGCACATGCGAGGATCTCTCGGGACTCGAGCCCTTTTTAGCACAGGTTAGCCACTGGCGCAAGGGATTCGCGATCAATATATGGGCAATTAATATCGAATCCACTCGATACGCGCACACAAATTAGTTACTTTGTCTTTGTCGTCACCATCCTGGATGTATCATAACCGCCAAAACCCTTGGGTAGCTAGCCTCGGGTCTATGTATATGTATAGGTTCTCTTTATTTTAGAAGATCTAACAAACATAGACATATTATAAATACTAGTATAATATCGAGGTAGCTCTCTCTCATCGTAAACTTATATGTAATTAAATAGAAATTCAATTTTTTCCCATATGTATCCAAGTGGTCATATCAGCCAAACCCTCATCCAAGGCTCAAGAGCCAAAGACCCGCCTCCCCCAGACTAAGAGAAACTACCACTCGTATCTCACCTCCTCTTTTTCCCTCTTCACCTTCTCCTCCGGCCTTTCTCTCTACCCTTTGGGCTCTTCTTTTTCTTTTGGTCTGTGTTTTTTTTGTTTCTTTGATTCTGTTCTTTGGGGGGTATCTTCTTCCCCCTTTTTCGACTCGGATCCCCCGACCGGTGCTTCCCGTCTTTTTCCTCCCCTCGCGCCCCCTGTCCGCCCCTCAATATCCTATCTTCGACAATGTTCAACTGTTGTCGCAATTGAATCAGAGTTCTGTTGATCAGGTCCGCAATCGCGTCTGAGACATTTGTTACCGCGTTTGCTCGATTTCTTGGACAACGTGCGACCCTAAATCTCAAGTCGTGGGTCTGGACAGAGGGGGACTCTGGAGTACTGCAGTGCAGGTATCTTTAGCTTTCCTTTCGTTTTTCGAGAAACTTGTTGTTTTTCGACGCGTCTTTACACCCAAAGAAGATCGCGACCTGGTGTCCTCGGTGATATTCAGCCCTCATCCAACGGTTTTTTGCGCGATTGGTCGTAAGCTAGTTCCCCCCCATTCCTCCGATCGATCTCCTGCTGTCAGTTGCCCACCCCCCCATTCTTGGGCAAAACGGCACATTTTTGGCGATTATCGATAAGAATCTGGGGAAAAATTCAAACTGACGGATATCTCAATGTCTACAGATTGCGCTTTGAATAGTCATCTGGCGAGTGCGACCGGTCGCCCCGACCTCCCGACTTTTGCCAAACACCCCCGGGAGAACATTGTGCTCCCTCGCGCCAATTGTACCAATCGCAATTGATACTAGAATCTTGTCAACGAGTGCCCGCAGAAGCTGCATCGGACCGTCACACAGCAAGTCTCTTAAGGCTTTGCGCATCTACTAGACAAAGGTATGCTATCAGCCGCAATGCAAATCGCCTCACAGCGCGTACCCATCCTCCGCCAAACCATTCCATTTGGTTAATAGCTTGCTAATTTCCACTAGCCGTTTCTGAGGCCGGTCCCGAACAGCTTTTCTCGGCTATGAGCACTTCTCGTCAGCAGGCCGTGCCACTCCCCGCTCATGCCTCAGCAGTATCGACCAGCACATCATCTCCCGCCCAGAAGAATGCGCGCGCACCCTATCCCGACATGTTAGGTACACCCCCGGTTCCTCCCCCGAGGACCTCTTCCACCCACCACAGTCGCCGCAGTCCGAATGGAACCTCAACAGACAAAACGAGTAGCTCCCGACAAGGCAAGAGCAGATCTGATCGAAAAGAAACCCGTGATCGCACACGCGACGACCGAAATGGCAGATCACGGAGGCACCAGACCGAGGAGACATCTCACGAAGTACAACAATCAAGGACAGCACCAGTCACAAACCCCACCGAGTCAGAAATGGACAGTATCCATGGTCAGGGGAACTTCGTAAAAGAACCAAGCGCAGAGCTCAATTCTGTGCTACCCAGCGACCATGTTATGGACCAAGAGAGAGAACAAGTGCGACCAGCTGGCACAGAAAACGCCTCTTCATCTGGATTCGGTGCAGGTAGCGTCGACGGTGCGGAGGAGGCCCGTGGGCCTCGAAGTCGCCACGATTACAGTAATGGAAATGTTATCAAGCGCAAAGAAACCACCTTTGGCTCGTACATTCTCGGACAAACCCTAGGCGAGGGCGAGTTTGGAAAGGTCAAGCTGGGATGGAAGCGCGATGGCAGTATCCAGGTGGCAATCAAGCTCATCCGGAGAGACACACTGGGGACCAACCCCAGCCGATTACCGAAAATCTACCGTGAAATCGCTATTCTACGTGAGCTGGCGCACCCCAACATTGTGCGCCTCCATGAAATGGTGGAAACCGACCGTCACATTGGTATCATCATGGAATACGCGTCAGGAGGTGAACTATTTGATTACATCTTAAATAATCGATATCTCAAGGATAATTCTGCACGCCGACTGTTTGCTCAGCTGGTTTCCGGAGTTGGTTATCTGCACAAGAAGGGTATTGTGCACCGTGATCTCAAGCTGGAGAACTTGCTACTGGATCGCAATCGCAACATCATCATTACTGACTTCGGATTCGCCAACACCTTCGACCCGGTGGATCCTCTAGACGAGGAAATCGAGTACAACTTGACCAACAAAGAATACGTGAAACGGAAGCGGCTAGACAAGATTGGCACAAATGGGCTAAGGCGAGGTGATCTTATGCAGACCAGCTGTGGGAGTCCTTGCTATGCAGCTCCCGAGCTAGTCGTGAGCGATTCTTTATACACAGGCCGGAAGGTGGATGTGTGGAGTTGTGGTGTGATCCTGGTATGTTTTTCCCTACAGCCATGATAATCTGACTCAACTAACTTGTTTGTGAAATATAGTATGCCATGCTGGCGGGATACCTACCATTCGATGACGACCCAGCGAACCCAGATGGCGACAACATCAATCTTCTTTACAAATATATTGTCACTACTCCTCTCACATTCCCGGAATACGTCACACCGCATGCACGCGATCTATTGAGACGCATACTGGTTCCCGATCCTCGGAAACGTGCAGACCTGTTCGAGGTTGCCCGCCACAGCTGGCTCAGCGAGTTCTCGAACATTGTGTCTCATATCACAAGCAGCACGACAAACGTTGTGGACATTGCAAACACAACAATCCCGTCCGGTAAGGACTTGTTTTCTGCAAGTGGTCAATCTTCAAGTTACTCACATAACTCTACAGAAACCCAAAAAGAAGCGCCCCCTCTCGTCCGCAGTGCCTCGGTACGCGAACCACCGAAGACACATCAGAACAATGCTCCTGCTGTTGGTGGTTTGAACCATCATGCTGGAGATGTTTCTCAAGACCCGCCGTCCGAAAAGTCTAGGACCCCCCGCGATGCCAAGCGGAGGACGGTGCAAGTCGAATATGTTGCTCCTCAATCACAAACGACGCGAGGAGAACCTCCGGCGGAACCGTCATCACGCAGCCGAGTCCCGGCCCCATCCGAGGCCCAAATTGCGGCTTCAGCGCAACAGCTGACAGAGCCTGCACACCAGCCTGCAGATGCACCGGTACTCAACCTCAACAAGCCGCTTCCAGGACACTTCCCGCGCTCTACCTCGGACAACGCAGCACTTACTGGGTCGCAGACAATTGCGACGCCGCAAGGGCCCCGGCCAGCCACTGGTGCCTCTATGAATTCCTTTGGAAACACTGGTCGTTTGCCTTCTCGCGGCTCCTATGGACAGCCCGTAGCTCCTACTGTTACCGCAACTAACACAGAAGGCCGTCTAGCACAGCCCAAGAGCAGGCAATTTGCTCTTGCACAGGATCCTGCGCAGGCATCGAGCACATCTGTCGGTCGGCCAAGCACCCAGAACCAGCAATTGCCTGCAACCTTCAACACTACTCCTCGACAAGAGCCGCCAAAGGGCCACAAGAGGTCCAATACTGTTTCCAGCCTAGGCGAGAAGCTTTTCGGCCGCTCTGGTTCAATATTGGGTGGCCGTACGCAGTCTAATGCCACTCGTACAAAGCAGGACAAGCGTTACCCCCTGTCAGCATGAAGGACCCTCTTCCGAGAGAAAACTCCAGAATGTCCATGGATTCCCGCCGCTCGATGCAATACCCTCATAATCGCAAGACAAGCGAGTCTGGCGCGGAAAACCGTCCTCGTCGATTCTCATTACTCCCGCAATCCTTCTCATTCCGAGGTTTCTCTAATACCCGGGCTCAGACCCCCGAAGAAACCTCGCAGATTCCTCGTCCCGTAGACCCCCGTTCCCCGCAACGGCCCGCCACAGGCCCTGCGGGTCCGGCGCAGGGTCGTTCTCGAGCGACAAGTTATGGCACGCAAGATGCTATGGGCATAGTTAACGAGGGACCAGGCGAGGACGTTCATACCGAACCTGAGCCTCTTAGCTACGAGGCCCAGATCGATCGACAGTTTGCAGACCTGGGATCTCAATTTGATCACCAGAGTGGTTCCTTTGGAGTCCCATCGGCTGAACAAGTCTACCAGAACTCTGCAGACCATCCTGGCCACCAAAACCACTCGTCTAAACCAAACTACTACGATGATTACAACGGTCCGTATGACAGCGTGCCTAGGCAGTCGATGCAGGTTAGTCGATCAGGACGTGGGCCGGGTGTTTTGCAGAAAAACCACCGCAAATTCGCCGACGCCTACGAATATGAGCGCGATGGGTCTCACCATTCCGGCAGCTCTGGGGCAGCACGCAAAGTCATGGACTTCTTCCGAAGACGTGCCAAGTCCCGCGCCGGTGATGACCGTTGATTTGCGTTTTAACCAATAGATAAAAAGCAATATTCAACCTCAAACGGCCTGACCACTGAGATTGGATTGATCAAGCATTCTTGCGCTTTGAGCTTTGATCTTGGAAGCAGATTCAAACCCTATCATTCTGATGCTTCTTTTGAGTTGCTTGAAAGAGCAGCGAGGTTGTTTGGATACCCCGTGATACCCTGCTTTTGTCCCCTTCTTATGCATGGAGCGATTCCTCTTCATCCGTCGGGTGTTTGATTAATTATCTAGCATTTTTTTTTTTTCCTTTGTCTAGCTACATTTTCCTTGCTTCCTAATGTTTTGCTTTTGTTCGCTGTTCTCCCCGTTTTACCCCCATATGTGATTTGCATTCCCTTCTACTGTTACTATTATCTCTGGCTGTAAAGTGAGACCTCATCCGTGTTCTTGTTCAGAGCATTTTATTATCCTTTTGAAACTTTCTTTTTCCCTTGTCATTGTTCCCTCTTAGCTTTTATTTGTTCCTCTATGGGAGGCTCTGTCAACGATAATTCAATTGTGACATTATTTCCATTCTTCTGTGGATCATTTTTCTTTTTCTCTTCATCTATGTCTATGTATCTTAATGTGTGGCTTTCTCCTTTAAGGTGGGATGTTTCTGGTGGCTAGTTGTTCAGGCCTCGTTCCAGTTCCGTTGCTAGTTCTCAGTACTCTATTTTCTAGGACCAGTAGCGTGGTCAGTACATTGGTTTTATTTGACTTGGAGCTCCAATCATATCACATTGCTAGATGAAGGACAGTATATCTACGTTGAAGCTGCTCTGTAGTTTATATGTAGCGGAATGCGATTGACATCCTAATATAGAATATAGCATTCCTCTTATTGTAGGGTAGTTTATACTCTCAAATGCTGGACATTTACCAGATCAGCCTCCTTATTCAAGCTGTCAATCTCAGCCGTGGCAAAAGGAATGCCCTCCGCCAACCGTTTCTCTTCACTAATCATCTCGATCTCCCCAGGGAAATAAATTCGATCCACACCAGCCATCTTCTCCGAATCAACAACCCGCTGATAAAGATAATCCATCCTCCCCTTGAACTCCTCAATAGTCATGAACAAATCCGGCTTAATAGCCACCAAGAAATGCCCCACATCGGCTGGCTTCGATGGATCATATGGGTTGGTAACATGTCCAGCAAAAGCAGACCCAGAAAGCACACCGGAGAAAACATCCATCATAACAGACAGCGCAGACCCCTTCGGCCCACCCATAGGCAGCATAACACCCTGCAAGGCCTCAGCAGGATCATCCGTCCTTGCCCCATTCTTACCAAGCGCCCAATCCGTAGGAATTTTCTCCCCGCGGCGAAGCGCCTTATAAATCTTCCCGCGGGCAGCAATCGAAGGCGCCATATCCAAGATAAACGGCCTGCCCTCTCCAGCCGGCGCTCCACACGCAATCGGCGATACACCCATTAGCTTCTCCTTCCCGCCCCACACTGGCAGCGCGGGTGAGCTATTAGTAAACACAAGGGACATCATATCAGCCTCCAGCGCCTGCTGCACTAGCCAAGCGGACATGCCGAAGTGATTCGAGTGCTTGACGGAGACCATCCCGATGCCGAAGATCTGGGCCATCTTGATGGCGAGCTTCATTCCCTCGTGTGCGGCTACAAAGCCGAACCCGTTGTGCGCATCGACTTGCGCAACGGCCGGTGTCACTTGCCGGATTGTTGGGATGGCGCTGGGGTCAAGTGCGTTTTGTCGGATCCGTTCCATGTATGAGGGGATGCGGTTGCTGCCGTGTGTGTCTACACCGCGGAGATCGGCTGATACAAGGCATTTGGAGACTATTTCGGCGTGTGCTGGTGATGTTTTGTTTGCGATGAGGATTTGCTTGACGAAGTTTTGGAGGTCTGCGGGGTTGATGTTGTGCATTTGTTGGGGTTGGGAGGGTTGGTCTGACATTTTGGAGTTGGGGGTGGGTTTTATTTGTTTTATTTGTTGTTTTCCAAGCAGATTTGGAGTAGTGGTTTGTGGTTTTGATAGTCTCAAGTTCTGTTGAGGTTCCTTTATAGACGCGGGACGGATGCGTTGCGAAAGACGGGGTGGGGCCGCACATGGGCTGGCTGTATGGGAGTATACTTCCATTTCGGAGTATTCCGTTGGATTAGTCGTGAGGGCGGTTTTGGTGATGTAATGAATATATGCTGTTAAATTTGGAAGGGCTTAATACTCACCTGGGCATGAAATTTATAATTAATGACTGCTAAGGGAAATCGGAGAAGCTGAAGAGTTCATCCGGTAAGTGTAGTATACCGATAGGCCGACCACCGAGACATCCGATTTAAGGGTTAAATAGCCCGGAAATTGTCGTGATGATAGGTTTCTATTAGAATTCACTAAGCCATCTTGACAATCAGCTGTTAAAATGATGTACCTTCCACAATCCGACCATATCGTGCGAGTCAAAATGCTTGACACAACAACCTACCTGACCGGAATAGCCAAGGTCTTTGTCGAACCCGTCGTTCTCGGCCACGATACTTTCAACTTCAATGATTTGGCATTTCTAATTGAAAATGAACGAACCGGCAAGAGAGTCATGTTTGACCTCGGCACTCGGACGGATTACTGGAATCTCGCGCCAGCAGTGCAGCGTATCTTTGGTCTGAATAGTGTTATGACGGGAGTCAAAGTTGACAAAGATGTTGCTCAAATTCTCGTTGAGGGAGGAGTTAGTCTTGATACAATTGGTAGTTTGTTCCTTCAGTGGCGTTGAAAACAGAAGATATCACGGGGTGCCGCTAATATGAGTTATCGAGTTACAGATTCGTGTATCTGGACCTACTATCATTACGAGCACTGCGGTGACATGTCCCCCTTTCCTCCATCGACTTCCATCACCGTTGGAGCCGGGTTCACCAAAGCAGGGTTCCTTCCTGGCTACCCCGAAAACCCCACTTCTCCCGTTCTTGCTTCGGATTTCGAAAGCAGAGAACTCATCGAGGTGAACTTTGAGAATGGCTTGGAAATTGGAGGCTTCAAAGCTCACGACTACTTTGGGGATGGTTCACTATATCTGCTCGATTCCCCTGGCCACTGTGCAGGCCACATCTCTGCATTAGCTCGCACCACCCCAGCTTCAGCAGAAGGAGGCGCTTCGTTCGTATTCTTGGGCGGAGACATCTGCCACTTCGCAGGTGATTTCAGGCCTTCGTCTCAAAAACCATTGCCGGATCCCGTTCCCGAATTTGCTCTTGCAAGACGCCATGCTCCTATTCCCTGTCCGTGCTCCCTCACCAGACATCACCCAAATGCGGATAATGAACTAGTGGGACGCACAGCGCCTTGGTATAAGATGGCTGGCGAGTTTCCAACTGCTTATCATGACATCCACGAGTCGCGTGCATCGGTATCTAAGATGCAGGCTTTGGACCAAAATGACGATATTTTGGTTTGTTTGGCTCATGATGCTATTCTTCTTGATGTCATGCCAATATTTAACGAGGACCCCAAGAAGGATATCAATGGATGGAGAGAAAGAGGCTTGAAGGATAAATGTCACTGGGATTGGCTGAGTGAGGTTCCAATTGATGGAAAGCCGGCACAGACTCCTCTGATCCAGGGCTTCTGGAGAGATGGTAAACCGTGGGATTATATGTCATTCAAGAAAGCCTTGACGCTACCTCCCCTCTGATTATTGACAATGCTTTTCGTCCCGTCGACGAGGATTCTGACCTTATCTGAATAGAAGAATGCGATATTTGATCTCCATATTCGGGCTATATGCAATAAGAGAGGGGGAGATACGAGACTTATCATCTCCAACCAATTATGTATTTCGATAACATATATGCAACTTTTGCGAGCAAGCATAGTTGTTATTGGTATTGTATTCTATACATACCAGTAGGGCGCTGCGCTATGACATCATACTCGGCTGTGGGCGGTAATTGCCGTTCATTCGGCAAAACATCTCTCCGTTCACCTCCTTTGCCGATAGAATATCGAAATCGTTGAAATATGCAACGTAGGGCGCGTGCTGTGTGCACCAGGTGCCACAGTCGTAAGGTATGTTGTTATGCATATGAATATCTACTATCAATACTAATAGCGATGAAGATCCGTTGCGACCTAGAAGGTCGACAAAATGGCAGTTGCAGCCGTTGCGAGCATGAAGGCCATGCGTGCCAGTAAGACTGCTTAATGATACATATGTCCTGAGGCTTATAGGATGACATGACAGACCTCACATTGGACCTCGAAAGCAAAGGAAATCCCTCCGCTCTTCGCTTTATTCGTCAGATACAAGTCTCCTGTCGCCAAGCCGAGCAATCCCATCCGTGACCCAGGAAAGTGCAGCACAGGAAGCCACACCCTCTCCCTTTCGTCCTCTTGGCAACCGGGATATAACCTGTGTGGGACCTGGCAATGTCAATGGCTCGCAACAGCCGAATTCCATCGATGGAAGTCAGCTCATCCTAGATATAAGCCAAGCTTGTCGCCTTCCATCCCCCGTCCTCGCCCAAGCGCTTACCGATTTCTATTTCCGTGAGCTTTTCTACTTTGTCCCAGTTTTGGATCGTGGGCAGTCCGAGATAGAAACCTCTACTTTGCTACAGCAATGCCTGTATTTCGCGGGAAGTACCATGCGTCAAACAGCAGGGCCAGCCGAGTGGACCACCTTTGCCATTTACGGGCGGATCAAAACATTGCTCTTTTTGCACCACGATCCAGCTCCGTTGAATATGCTCAGCACGCTTTGCATTCTCAGCACCTGGCTTCCATATTCTCCTGACGCGATAGTGCTGGACAACCCGTGGCAATGGGCTGGTATGGCAATCCGACTGGCGATTCAATTGCATCTGCACGAGAACGAGACATACAGCAAATTAGAGCATCCTGGAAGAGCGCGCAGAATGTGGTGGTATCTTTTTATCAACGATACTATGCAGACGGCTTGCTGTGGACGTCCTGGAATGTTTCCCTTGCAAACCTCTGTGCCACTGCCTGTTCCTAGTGACTTCAAAGAGCCCGATCTCGGATCACACGTTTTCTGCCACTTAGCAGATCTCTGTACACACCTTAGGAAGGTCCTGGACCTGGCCAGAGCTGATAACACCCCATCAGAGCAGGTGTATCTGAGCCTGGACGGACTGAGAGTGTGGAGAGAAAAGTTGCCTCTCGAAATGCAATTGTTCGACATCGAAACTAGACAACCATACAATCGCGCTGTTGCTGAGCTCCATATATTTTACCTGGTGACTGTTATTTTAACCTGCTTCCTTGGCCGTCGGGACAACCCGTCATTGTTCAAATACGCTTCAATGGCTGCTTCATCCTGTGTTTCTCGGCTGTACGAGGAGATTCTCTACCACGAGGATGTTAAATACCTACTGCCAATCCATTCTTGGACTCACCTCGTCGCCGGAATCCCACGAGCTTTCAGCGACAGCGATACATTGAACCCAGACCGAGGCGAGGAACTCAGAATTAGCAAACAGGTGCTGGAAACTATGAGTGAGAAGCAGACATCCGCTGCTTTTGTACTCAACAAAGTCAACAGTCTCCACAATGTGCGAGCAGATCCGTTTCCAGCTCAAGCCGATAATACGTGGGATGCTTTCCCCGTGCCTGGGCAAATGAAGGTGGCTCAGCTCTTCCCTTTCCCCTCGAGCTTTTGCCCTATGCTTGCCCTTATAAGAACTGCGGAAACTAGTGGAAACCAAGCACCGGATGCGCTTCTTACTTTGCCTGTGGATAGCAATGATTGGCCTATAGATTGGTCCTTTTTCTTATTTGACGGTCCTATGAGCTTCTGAAATACCGAGAAAATATGATATCGCTGCGAATTCCGACTCTAATTGTATCATATAGAAGAAGGTTCATCGCACTACTCCCGCTAGGTCACCAGATTGCAGAGTTAGATTCTAGTGAGTCTGTTTTTGATTCGTATAATGATTAAGAATTTGGCTCTTCCACAATGTTGTCATACACGTTAGAATATATTCCAAATAAATCCACAAAGTTATGAGCCGGGATAACACGTATTGTGAATGTTCACTCTTTCCATGTGGTGTTAAATATCATATATTCCGTTGAGTTTGCGAAATGATTCAAAGCTGTTCTAGATACCCGGATTAGGAATTTTGTATTCAGAGCACGAAACTTGTTGAACTGTAAATTGATTGGACTAGACTACCTACAATATTTGAGACTTGAACTCCTTACAAGTATTTAGCCAGAGCATTGTCGACCTATATGGGCATCATTCAAGCGTCTATTTATACAATTTTAGATTAGAAGCCACGGTCAACTAATTCCCCCGACGGATGAACTCGATGTTTGGAGTCTCGGCAAAGTTGCGGCTAATCTCAGTTTTGCCGCTTTTCGGCTGCATATTTAGTTGAGTTTTGCACGTACCTTTTTTGGGTACTTTTGAATTGAATTGAACAAAAGATTCTCATCTGAAACAATTCTGTCAGCTTAATCTCACCAAAAGAGAAACTATACTATGACTTCCAATCCGAACACCGGGGGTGTCCAGTTGACATTCCTCACAACGGGAACGGTCCGCATTAGACCCTCAATGCGCTCGCAACCAGTGAGCAAATTTGCGATTTTTCGACGTCTTCGATCACTTTGCGACAAAACGTGGACTGAGCCATTGCCAGTCGGGGTATTCCTCATTCGCCACCCTGAAGGTCTCTTCCTCATGGACACCGGGCAATCTCCATGCTGCAACGATGCCGGATATTTCCCACGACTCGCTCTCTTCAATGGCCTCCTAAGCAAATTTACCATTGAACGGCAAGACGGAGTACTCGAACAACTTCACAAGCTCGGAATCAAGGCGACCGACCTCAAAGCCGTGATTTTGAGTCACCTCCACAACGACCATGCGGGTGGATTAGAGGACCTCGTTGCAGAAGCACCGGATCTGCCCATCTACGTCAGCCGTGAGCACTGGAATGCATTTGGAGAACATCCTATCTTTGCAAGCATGGAAGGAGCGACGCCCAATCATTGGCCAAAGGAATTCTCACCAAAGATTGTGGACTTGCAGGACAGACCACTTGGACCCTGGAAGCAATCTTATCCTGTGACAGAGGATGGCAGAATTGTCATCGTTGATACGTCGGGACATGTTCCCGGGCATATCAGTCTGGTGATTTACGGGGATGGAGAAGATGGACAGAGTCAGGTCACATACTTCCTCCCTGGGGATGCAACATATGGCTTGGACCTTTTGGATAAGGAACAGCCCGATGGGATCAACGACGACCCTATGCGTGCTCATCAAACGCTGAAGACCATCAAGGAATTTGCCAAAGAGACTGATGTAGTTGTCTTGCCTAGTCATGACATCGACACACCTCGCTTGCTTGCTGATCGAGTAGTCTACCGTCCTTGTGAGAAAGAGTGACCGGGTTCCAATGTCGTGTACAAGATTGTGTCATTTGAGGGAGGAAAGCTATGTACTAATATGTATCTAAGGGGAAGGGACATTTTGGTTCTGAATTGCTGTAACATCAGGTAGCCTTAATAATATCTGATTACATCCATAGTTCTCTATCTGTATGAAGCATTACAAAATGCTGTACTTGTGCTATCAAACTGTACTCAGGGGTGACATTTGGGAACACAGGTCTCGCCTTCTTTGATATCAACCCAGTTCCAACAAGCCACCCACATAGCCTCACATTTTGCCTCGTCCTCGCTTACACGTGCAGGGGGTTGAGGCTTCCTTCCATTGAAATGGCCCCTCACCAATGCGTACTCAGGGGACAAAGCCAACGCTAGAACATCTCGGGCTGAGTCTGAATTTGACCGAAGCTTGTAGGTAAAAAGCTTGATTACCGGAAGTAAAAGCGCGAACAGCCCAAATAAGATACGAGCGATCAAACGCTGAGCCACATGGGCCCGGGAGTTCACAAGACCACCTGGGTCCATAGCAGTCACAGTAATCTTGCTGAATTCCGGATTCTAGAAACATACTTAGTACGATCCCCTGCCTCTTAAAGAAATTGCTTATACCTGTTGAAGTCGTTGGTTTAAACTCTGCATAAACATGACATTGGCCAGTTTGCTGTTTCCGTATCGTCGCCAGCCCATATCATGTTCTGTTCCAACCTCATCTGGGCCAGGATGGATCAATGCATCGAGATTCTCGGTAGAGGGAAGTTCTGCACCCAGTTTGGAAAGAGCATTGGAGCGTTCAGGATCGTGAACTTCAGAGCTAAGCATGACCACTCGACCCGTCTCGGGATCCATGCTTCGCAGAAGTTTGAGAACCAGTAAAAAATGCGAAAGATGATTGACTTGGAACGTAGACTCCAACAGATCTTTGGAAAATTGCTGACCGTTTAGTGACCATGTAAACGCATTGCAGATGATAGCGGAAATGGGTGGAAGTTCGTTAGATTCCACTAGGCCAGCAATTTTGTTCGAGAATGCTCGTACTTCTGAAGTTGAGTTCAGATCCACGCTTTCGATTAGGAGCTTGCTAGAAGGAAACTGATGCGCAACCTCTTCCAGTCGAAGTAAATGAGGGCTTTGGGGGGATTTTGTTGCATTTCGGACAGTGCCAACAATGGTCAACGAGGGATGCGATGACAGAAGTTGTTGCACAGCTTCAAGCGCGAGAGAGCCGGTTGCACCGGTAATAATCACTGTGCCTATCATATTTGCAAAATTCATGAAAAAAAGGAAATGATGAAAAGGTATCGTGATGGGGAAATAGGAGACAGGGCCAAGTTGACCGACCAATCACGAACGTTGCCGAACAGTCGGCTAAATGTACGGCAGTCAATCCCCTTAATTTCACCACTTAGGTCTAAGAAAACTATAGCTCACATCATTTAGAGGGATGACATCTTCACCAAAGTGAGCCAAGAATATATCGCTGAAGTTTGGTTCTGAAGCTACCCGCGTCCAGGCTTGAAGTTTCGTGAACGGTCATTGATGAGTATCGCCATGCTCACGGCTTTGAATAGAGGGCCTGAATTGCGCATTCATATCACTGGCTTCACAATGGTCTGACAGAGGAGGAGATTTGTGAGATATGCAGACATACTATGATCTATTGTATTGCTCCTGCTGGAAGAGATGTACTCGTGATTGCGATTCCACTCTCTATATTTTTATATTTCTATTCTCAGTAATATAGCTCTCTATTTAATTTATACAGTAACCCACTAGTTAAAAGAGAGTAATTATCCAGTAAAAGAGAGTAATTATCCAGTAAAAGAGAGTAATTATCCAGTAAAAGCGGTAAAAGTTTGATTTAAAGAGCTGATTGAAAGGTGTTATACGGAGTTGGTAATAAGCAGATAATGAAAAACTGGTGGTGAGCCAGGCGGTCAAAATTTACTATGAGAAAAAAAAGCTATGGCTCACTAGATAGAACCTATGTACCGTAGTAAGCTCTTTAGCCCCGCTAAGTCATTCCCCTCTCCCATGCTATCCAGCATACCCCTGACCTGAGCTGTCAAGGTCGTCATCTTCTGGCGACAGTATTCAAAACTTGCAGTTGACTCGATGATCTGTATAGCGTATAATTTGACTGCCTCGTCATCGGTCCGTTGCCGAAGAATATCCAGCAGTTGAAAGTCTCCAGGATTGTTTCGGATGCTGTGTATAATAGGATAAGAAAACTTCCCCTCCGTGATATCCTCGGCAAAGCCTTTTCCGTCGCTGTAAAGCTTGCTTTGTAGATTCTGGTAGTCATCCCGGACTTGAAACAAGATTCCTAATGTTTCTGCCAAAGGCACATAGTCCCTAATTTTAAATTGGTCAATTAAAAGAACCTAAAGAAATTGACAAGAGAGTATGGATAGTTGTCGATTCCACCACAAGTTATACTTACTGTGAACTCTCGCTCTCTAGTTGCATCAACCTGATGGCGAGTCGAAATAGACCACCAGTCTTGTTTGATATCATCTCAATATATTCTTCCTCTGTCGGGCATGTGAGGGAATCTCTCCAGTGAATATCCATTCCTTGACCTCGATGAAGCTTTAGAAGCTCTTCTGTGAAAATTTCAAATGCCTCGGGTTGATGTAGGTTGGTCAATCTGCTTTGGGCTTGGAAATAAATAAAATTGGCCGAGTTGATTGTTTGCGGTATGCCGAAAATCCTGTGAGCCACAGGTAATCCGCGTCGGAGCGTGGAAGAATCCTCAATGTCATCAATTCTATATGTTGTAAGTATATAAATTCAGCATGCTGTTAGTGTTTGGGAGGCACCGACAGCAAAGACGCCACGTGTAGAAGGCCGACCACATCTTTGATCGTCTGCAGTTGGACCTCTGGGATCTTCATGGCCTCGTTGAACGCGGATATGAGCTTTCCACGAATATCCTTTCCTGGATTTTTGCATAAATAGGTGTATGGCGCGGATATTATCTTTGCTTGCGCTGATTAGAAATATGCTATCCATGCTTGACGAACGATTATCAAATACCTTTTCCTCCTCGAGCTTACACTGGTCTTGGGTGTCTGTCTCATAATTACACACGCCCCCCAATTTGGCTGTTGGTGTCTGGAATGTTGGCGAATATTCCTTGAAGCCGGACTGAACGTCAATTTGTGTTGGAGTTTGCGGTTTGCATTTTTGGGCGCAGAGTCCCTTGCGCAACTCCAACGGGTTGCATTTGAGGAGAAAGTTCATAAAATGCATATTTGGACCGGGCATAAGATAAAAACAGATGCCAAAATTGTGCTTCGAGATATTGAGAAACTCCACCATGGCACTTGGTTATATAGAAACATAGCTATGTCATCCTACTACGCCCAGACAACATGACGAGGCGAAGGAATGGTTTCACAAGAAATTAGTGTCGTTTTAGAATCAGGATCGCTACCTCGAGTGGCGGCTTTCATTCAACGCGTGTTTTTTGTGAGATGTATGAGAGGCTCAGATACGTATTGCTTTACAGTATCAATCCAAACACGTGTCAAACGCTTAGGCCTCCGCGACTATCTATCCCATGCGGTAGAGTCTGAATATGACAATAAATCCCGAAGCAAGTTATGACGCCCTCCAAATTGAAGATCCCATCTCTTCTGGGTTTGGGTGTACGACGCAGTGAGGTTTAAATAGGCTTTTTGACAAGTCCTACCCCATATCAGATCCCATCCTCTGACGTTCTTCAACATCATTTATGCAATGTACGGACCTCTCCTGTTCACGGGCCGTTACACAACATATGCAGCCTACTGTTGATGGCCCGTTGATCGACAAGCCAGGGCTCCATGCACTCTCTCTTGCAGTTTACTTGAGCGCATTACTCGTGAATAAAAAAAAGTTGCCTTCTTGACGAATACCGATATCGATATTGTTTACTTTAATACTGGTCGTCTATGGTCCGAATTTTGCAAGAAAACAGATCACCAGTAAATTTCACGCAATCATGGCTGGACCGTCTGTAATTGTTGTTGGTATGTATCACATTAGTTCAAATTGGGATTGAGCCCATCTTTTAATGGTGGTCTTAAATTTCCAACGTTGAATGAAGTTGCTGACTCTCTTAGGGGCTGGTGCTGGTGGCATTGCCACGGCCGCTCGACTGGCCCAGCAAGGATGCAAAGTGAAGGTGATAGAAAAGCAAGGTTTCGTGGGAGGAAGATGCTCCCTGCTATACCATCAAGATCACGTATGTACCCACTTTACTACCAAGCTCGCCTTTCTGACTCTCCCAGCGCTTCGACCAAGGGCCATCCCTCCTTCTCATGCCAGAACTCTTCGAAGAGACCTTCCGCGATCTGAACACATCAATAGAACAAGAGAAGGTTGAGATCTTAAAATGTGAGCCCAATTATTGTATTTGGTTTGCAGATCATGACATCGTTGAATTATCCTCTGATCTGGCACGCCTCAAGAGGGAAGTCGAGCGATATGAAGGCCCAGGTCGATTCTCCAATCTATGTGCATTCCTTGCTGAAGCAGGGAGAAATTACGAGCTCTCCTTGGAACATGTTCTTCGCAAAGATTACCCAGGTGCGTTGAGTACGTTGAGTCTGTTGAGACCGGACGTATTATGGGCACTACTGCGGATGCGTCCATGGACTAGTGTGTACGGTCGCGTATCAAAATACTTCCAGTCCGAACGAATGAGAAGAGTGTGGACTTTCTCTTCAATGTATATGGGAATGAGCCCGTATAGCGCCCCCGGTACATATTCTCTGTTGCAATATAGCGAAACGGTGGATGGGATCGGTTATCCGAGAGGAGGCTTCCAAGCAGTATGTAAGCCCAACAGACGAGATACTTTGAAAGCTTCTCTTTCCTCTTCTAATGTTAGCTACAGGTTCTTCAGGCCATCGCAGATATTGGCGAAAGATATGGAGTACAATACCGTCTCAATAATGCTGTCGAGTCAGTCATTCTTTCGGATGACGACAAAATAGCAAAGGGCGTTCGTCTTGCTTCAGGAGAAGTGCTATATGCCGATCTTGTGGTCCTGAATGCCGATCTTGTTTATTCATATAACGAGCTTCTTCCACCTTCTCGCGAGGCCAACGCACTGAAGCGTCGCTCTACCTCCTGCAGCAGTATCTCGTTTTTCTGGGCATTCGACGAAGTGCTACCTCAACTCAGAACACATAACGTATTCCTGGCCGAAGAATATCGGGCAAGCTTTGACTCTATATTCAACGACCACACCCTCCCGGCAGAGCCATCATTCTATGTCAACGTTCCTAGCCACGTGGACTCCACCGCAGCACCCGACGGGAAAGAAACAGTCGTCGTCTTAGTTCCCATAGGCCATTTAACATCAAATGGAGCAGACTATGATTCTCAGGCTTGGAAGAAGGTCGTATCAAAGACCAGGGAGTTTGTTCTCAATGCCATCGAATCTCGCACCGGATTGAGGGATCTTCGGTCGAAGATCGTCTTTGAAAAATATGAGACACCACTTACATGGGAGTCAAAGTACAACCTTGATCGTGGCGCAATTCTAGGCTTGTCACACTCATTTCTCAATGTCTTGACGTTTCGTCCAAAGAGCAAGCATCCGAGTATTGAGAACTTGTATTTTGTCGGGGCCAGTACGCACCCTGGCACCGGGGTTCCAGTATGCTTGGCAGGTGCCAAGCTAGTTGCCGAAAAGATTATGAAAGCTTACAAGAAAAGAGGTAGTGATGGGACCGGATCGAGGGTTGGAACTGTGTTTGCAATTACAAGTATGTTGTTGGCTTTGGTTTCGGTGATCATCAGTTGGGCCGACATGAGCAATTGGGGCAAAGATGTGATATTTGTCTAAGATCGACAGCCAACTTTCTCCCTCAAGGCATTCTTTTCGGGTTATTATTTAAATTTATTGTATTTACAAATAAGGCAATATTCACGCAAAAAGGAAATCAATTGATAAATATGGTGTAGAAAAGTTGATAACCAATCGTCAACGATCAATACAGAATGGCTGGGCATATCAAGGAAGCAGAGAGCAATAAAAACGGGATGTTAAACTACACCGGAGGAAAAATAAGATAATACCCCAAAAAAAACTAAATATTTGATATCCAAGGCAGACTTTAGGGCCTGAGCTCCAAAGGATCTCCAAGATAATATCATGGACAGCACCAACTTCTCTCCTTACTTCTGCGAGGCCATAGCTTTGTACACCACAACTAGGCGCCTTGGGATAGAAAGTCGCAATTTATGATCTGGACGGCAGGGACGAGCCCCATGCTCCAACGCAACACCAATTTCCATATAGCTCTTCACTGTCGCATGCAGAGGGCCTTGTACCTCCCGTGGCAAATTTCGAATTGCGTTCTCGGATTGATCATGGAGTTCCTTTGCTTTGAGCAAAACACGAGACCGGATTTTATCGACACGAGGGTCTGACGGACAGAAGACCACGTCTTCTGATGAAATTCCAGCTTCTTTCAACCAAGTGGTGGGCAAATAAACTCGGTCAATGGCTGCATCGCGACCAATATCGCGGGCAATGTTGATATATTGAAGGGCCATTCCCATCTGGCAGCCCGCTTCGCGCACCTCTTCACGAAGAGATGGCTCTGTGGCAAATTGGTGGTGCGGGAAATGGTGAAAGATCAGGTCAAGAACACAAAGCCCCACTGTTCCCGCCACATGGTATGCATAATCTTCCAACTCTGCTTCGGAAGATATTGGAAATACCCTTTTGTGGTGATTGAATTGCAGGTCCTGTTTAAACCCTTCTAGCAACCCTTGGAGAGGCTCAATCCGAAGCCGAGAGACCGGAAGATAATCAATAGCTTCGATAAGCTCGGTCAGCCCATGGAAGCTTTGCAGTTTAGGACCAACACTCTTCGGAAAGTCGCTCGGCGAAGCGAATTTAGCATCCAATAGCTGGCCGCATTGCTCGATGATTGTCTCTGCAGTCTCCGAACTGGAAGCATCGACGAGATCATCAGCTATGCGACAGAAGGAGTAACTTTAATAGTCAGCAGTGAATCGATATCAAGCTATCCAATCTGCAAACTCACAGGAAGATGAGATCTATGCGCAAAGGACCTTGGAACATTGCACTTCCCATGTACATGCTCTGACTGGAAATGGCCAACCGTTGGACTGATTTCCTCAGACCAGTGACAAAGGAAGTACAGGACTTTTCCTCCGGGGCTATAAAAGAAGTCAAAGCCTTGCGTATTGAGAAGTGCTCTTCTATATCTCCGGTAGACTGGGCTTTTTGGCAGTCCAGCATCGCGATGGCATAGTCTGCAGCTACCAGGCCATTCACTATCATGATATTGCTGAGAAGAAAAAAGACCGCTTCCCTGCTCCAATTAGCACTTCCATTTTAGCTTTGTTTTTTTTTTTTTTTTTTGACAAAACATACTCTAATTCCAGTTTACCCCAAACCTGAATATCGAGCTTAGTTGAGTTCTCAATCGCCCAGGTTCCTCTTCCGAGGCTCAAGGTGTCAACAACCCATAGAAGAACAGTGGGAATCATAACAGAAGCAACAAGTTCCTTGCGAGGGAAATTGAGAATAAGATTAGAGGCGAACACCCTGCATAAAACAATCAGCCATATCCGTTCTTAATTCTTGCCCGACACGATCTTACCATTGAAGCAATAGCCACGAGCATGCCCAGGCAACCGTCAGTCCTATGTAAGTATATTTATCCCCAATCATGAATGCAGCGACACCACCCAACGCGGCAGAGCCGAGAATTAACCCGCCGAGAATCTGAAGAGCACGGGGTGGTTTTTGAAGATGTGACGGTAAAACCAATCTTCGTGTTATAATAGTATAGATCATACCGGTATTGTAGGTTTGGATAATGAAAAAGAATACTTCTTCTAACGGGATATAGAAGATTGTGTAGCCACTGACAGCATGTTCGGGGTATGTCCAGATCTTGTTTCGCACAAGATAAGAGTCCCACGGAGTTGTTGCTATCACCGAAATCTGGAGAGGTGTCAGTACCTTTTGAAATATGATATACGATGCACTTACAGTAACCAAGCTGAAAATCTTGAGTACATCAAGTCGACTCAGAAAGGGCCAATACAGGCCAGTCATTGATACGGCCAGAGGGAGGTTGTAGGTGACATGCCTGCTCAGAAAAGCATTTAGTGATGCTCTGCAAGATACTCTCAATGATAAACCTACACCATAGCATATTCTGAAAGCATTTTGCACTTTCAATGATGAACTTTGAATTGTAATAATATCTGAGACTTTGGAATAGCCCATGTACCGTCTACCTTTCGATAAATTAACAACATAATTAACTGCGAACATATATATCATCACTGGAACAAAATATGCGTCACTAACCAAAGATGTTTAAAGTTCTCTGTTTTCTTGAAAGAATGTACAGTTTAGGGTAACACAGAACCTTGTGTAGAACGATGTCAATGCCTATGACATAATGCAGTCAAAGCAATGTATCATAAAATAAAAGAAGAATATCTTCACTCTTTTTGGTATCTTCGGCAGTGTATTAATCACAAGAGTTCTCGTTAAGGCATTTTGTAGAGTCACAGCCCCCCTTTATGTATGTTAGTTCTATAGAAGTAATGATCTACTTCTGTTCTTCGTGTACTTCCTGGTTTTTGATGTTTATTTTTTCAAATACTTGGTATATCCTACCATGTCACTATGGCGTTATTTACTAAGTCAAAAGAAAGATAAGTAAAATGCATATGATATTTGATGAATATTTACTCTTCGCCTGTTCAGACCTTTTTCTTCACGTATAGCTCATTATGTCTTACACTCAACCACATCCGTAAGTACATACCTGATGGCCGTATAGCAGCGCTAACTAGCCCACAGATACTTAACTGGCAACTATGCTCCAATTTATACTATTCTTAACTCAGAGCCGTGTGGAGTTGAAGGGTCTATCCCAGATGAATTTCTAGGGGGCCAATACGTGAGAAATGGTAGCAATCCGTTAAACGACGACAATCAGCGAGACCACCACTGGTTCGATGGCGACGGCATGTTGACAGGTGTTTTCTTCAAACGTTTACCAGATTCCAAGCGTGTGCAACCTTTGTTCACGAATCAGTATGTTTTGACCGATGTCCACTGCGCAGCAACTCAGAATAAGCGCCTGTATCCTATTATACCCAGCATGGCTACCTTGGTGAACCCCAACCCTTCACGGTTACGGATACTTCTCGGAATGCTGCGAACCTATATCATTGTGTTTGCATCCCTGTTCAAACTCATCGCTCGCCCGATCAAAAGGGTCGGAGCGGCCAATACAAGTGTATTCCACCACGACGGCCGTGTCATGGCAACCAATGAGATTGGGCCTCCAATGAGAGTTCTTCTACCTTCCTTGCAAACTATCGGCTGGTTTACCGGCACCAGAGCGCGAGGAGAGTCCAAGGCTCGGGACCCTCTTGAACCGCACTTTGGGTGTGAGGGTATCGAGGGCTTCTACAAGGAGATGACAACCGCTCATGTAAGTCCAGATGAAGAATACCAGCGCTTAAATGAGCACCCGAAGCTGAAGCTAAGTTGTTTTTCCATAGCCACGAGTAGATCGCACCACCGGAGAGTTGATGCTTTTCCATTCCACATTTCTACCACCATTCATTCATTATTCTATTGTGCCTGCGGGGGATAAAAAGGATGGACCGCGTCTCAATTTGCCTGTACCTGGCATTTCATCCGGTAAATTGATGCACGATTTTGGTGTCTCTCGTCAAAATACTGTTATCGTCGACTGTCCAGTCACTTTGAATCCATCCAATCTGGCGCAGAACAAAGCTGTAGTCGTGTATGATCCTGAGGGGCTTACCCGTCTGGGGGTCTTTCCGCGACATTTCCCAGAGAAAATCCAATGGTATGAAACAGACCCCTGCATTGTTATGCACACTGCAAACACATGGGACGAAACTACCCCGCTGGGAATGCGAGTGCATATATTGGTCTGTCGAATCAACAGTCTTGCCCCATTGTATCATATGGGCGGCATGGAAGCCCCTGCCTCCGTGTGCCCCCAGCAGCCCGAGTGTCGTCTGTACTATTACCAGATACTTTCTGGGCTGACACAGCAATGGGCTCTCTCGGCTATTCCGTTTGAATTCCCTCATGTGCCCCGGCACCTTGAGATGACAGCTGCACAGTTTATATATGGCTGTTCCATGCGGCAGGGGGACTTTGTGTCCTCCTCTATTGGAAATGTGAAGATTGACTGTCTGGTAAAGATGGATGTGCGGCGCCTTTTGGAAATGGGAGAGGAAAATCCTCCAACCAAGGGGAGTGGGGTCGTTGACGAGAGAACGATCCAGCAAGTAATCTCTTCTGAAGACTTGGACGACCCAATCCAAGTCTTTGCTTTACCCGATCAGTGGTATGCACAAGAATGCTCATTTGTGCCCCGCCAGCCTAGTACAAGGGAAGATGATGGATGGCTCGTCACTTATGTTTTCGATGAATCCCAACTGAACGACAACGGCGAACCTCCGGCAGATTCTAAGGGTGAGCTGTGGATTATCGATGCGATAGGAATGAAGGATATTATAGCAAGGATCACCTTGCCCCAGCGCGTGCCTTACGGTATGCATGGAAACTGGTTCCCCGAGGAGGAGATTCTCAATCAGCGAGACTATGCCCACGTTCGCACTAAATGAGCACGGGTGTGCTTTCGTTTTCTTTTCAATAGAATAAGAAATAAAAAATGGATGTTCCTGCTTCTCCATCTCTGCTTCTGATATTTAAGATTTGTTGTTGGGCACCTATACATTGTGTCGAATACTAAGATTGAATACATGGTGGAAATAGGGTATTTTACCCGGAATATCATATGACAACTGGTACCGAGCATACCATACAAAGTGCATGCGAATCATGGACTTTGCCCTTTGCCTTTGTGGAGTTCCATCCTGGTCAGCCAGGAGTTTCGCATTTTCCCAGTTTGCTCATGAAAGTTAGCTAAACTAAACTACCTGAGGGGATTACTACGCCGCTGATGATGAGACTTTAAACCCGGACTGGATTGAACTCAATACAACCTCCGCTTTTCAAAGCGTGTTACGATGACTAAGCGGAACAAAGCAACCCATTCGCTACCTAGGTAGTCCCCCAGATGAACGGCCCTGCCTCATATGATTGCCATGTTCCATGGTTAACAAAAAAAAAAAAAAAGACATTACATGTATATGATCTGATTCCTTTTCTGAGGATGTGAAATTATAAATTTATCCCTGTCCTTTCTCTCGTCATGCCATAGCCAACCTGTGCTACGCGAGATAATATGTTTCTCTTTCTCAACAGACACGGGAAGAGTGCGAGGGCCCCATTTGATATGCAACTATGCCGCAAAAACACCTCTTAGCCTACCTACACATCCTGCAAGCTGATGACTTGCATGAAGGCCAAATGGAAGAAACTATGGTGCCAAGCATTATAATCTGCAACACGATTATGCTAGTGCTGGCCTCAACTGGGGTTTTTGTCAAGCTTCTAATGCTGGGCCATGCTCGAAATATTGGCACCGATAGTGGTATGTGGCCCAATATCCCCCCCAAAAAAACACCTGAATTTCAACCGCTGAAGAAACGATTATTTTTTAAGTCCTTTGCTTTATAAGTTGGGTATGTCATTTTTCTACATAACAGACGACCTCTTTGGGCTTGCTGATTGTGCATATAGATTTTTGCCTTTGTGTTATGCTTTACTTCTATGTGGAGTATCGTCTCCCATCCCACACGTCATCCACTTGCAAGCTCTGACACACTAGCAGTGACTAGATATGGATACGGCAAACACATCGGAGCAGTTGAAGCAGACATACCTGCGATGTCTATGTTTTTGAAGGTGTGAAACCGTTAATATCTTTGAAACGTTCATTGGTGCTTACAAACACGATAGCTTGTCGTCGTGACTGCTATTTCCTATCTCATTGCGATTACTGCAATCCAGATTTCATTCTGCTTACTATATAAACGATTGTTTGCAGTAACCCATGTCGGCTGGGCTTACTGGCTTCTTATAACCGTTGTGGTATTGCAGTTTATCGAAGAACTGTTCGTATATGTTTTTCAGTGCTCGCCAGTTCGAAAGCTTGTGGACGCCACTGGTTTAGTCCAAGGGAGGTGTTTGGATCTTTACGTCTTCTACCTTATTTCTTTCTCCACGAGGCTGGTTACAAATATTGCTATCTTTACACTGCCAATCCCCAAATTACTGAAACTTCAGATGAAGCGTGGAGCAAAGGTGGGCGTTGTCTTATATTTTGGACTTGGGTTATTGTAAGTCTTCCCTGCTACAAGTTCGAGCTGTATCTCAATTTTGTGCCTCGGACTGACGTGAAACGTTACACATCCTAGAGTTTGTGCTACCAGCATCATCCGAGCCACTTACTTGAAACACTTCCAAGATGACTACACATGTTTGTTGATACTGTCCATTATGTTTTATAGCCTTTTCTAACTGCCTTTTTAACAGGGGATCTCGTACCTGCATTAAATTGGTCAGCTGTGGAGGTCTGCACTGCGATATTCATAGCTTGTATCCCTTCATTCAAGGTTCTGGTTACCGTGTTTTTCCCTTTACTGCGAAAGTACATGGGATTCTCAAGTGGTAGCACGCCTCATCAACACAATGAGGAGAACTCTGGCAACTCTCCTGCTGATTATTTCAATTTACCTGCTACCCAGAGAGGCCAAGGCACGCCTGACTGTTTTCCATTACCCTCCCCGGTTGTAGAATATCACGAACCCCCAAATTTGATTATGTCCGGTGCGATATCCAGTGTGCCTGAAGGTCGTGCCTGGCGCCAGGATCCGCGCTTAAGTTGCAATATCGGTGGCAGTGTACAAAAATAAACTTAAAGTGGTAAATCAATTTGATTGTTAATTATGTCTATGGAAATTTATAAACAAAAATTTGTGTTTGCTGAAACAGAGTCGTCCAACAATGCGGAGTAAGTAATACTTTAACATCACTGGGCAAGCCCTCAACTGCAAATCTTGCTGAGCAGTCACCGAGCGTATCGCGAAGGTACCGGCGGAGTGTCTTGTGAGACGGGGTCTCCAATTTCTGAGGCTTGGAGTGGACTAGGTTTAGTGGGTATCCCACAAAGTGACACGTCGTACTCCTGACATGCCTCGGCACTTCAAGACGATTTCCCTTTTCCTCGTATACTTACGAAGGCTAACAGCAGCCAGATGTGGGATCAGATCGATGAAAACATTTCTAACACCATGGGGATCCCCAAGGGTCAAGCGTTTCAGCATGCAGTTGAGCAACGCTCTGCCATGAAGAAGCCCTCAGTACGTCGGCCTAATCATTTCAAAAACCCACGCTGACTATTTTAGACACCGGAAGATATAGCTGGCTGTGTGAGTTTCGTTGCGAGCAAGGACTCGAATATTATTACTGGACAGAGTCTCATCATCGATGGAGGTAAGAGCACTTGTGTCACAATTTTGAAAAAAGTTGCTAATCCTGCATATCAGGAATCCAATTCTGCTAAGTTCGTTGAGTTCATTGAAATCTGGATTTAGACCTGAATACAAAGCAAGTTTTACCATTATAAGCCAATATAGTACTTTTCTTTTTCGCACAGATCGTAACATGGATAAGGCACAATAGTCCTTAAGAGGGAAAAAGGGCTCTTGAGACTCCATCAAGAGATTGCGGGGAAGCTTTGGATAGCCGAAAGGACATGAGGTCCACTAAGTCGTCGGCACAGAGGTCATGCAGAGAGGCGCTCGGCGGCCGGCTCTCGGTTAACAAGAATTATCTTCGACAAGGAACCTGTGCAAATTAACAATTCAGGCATAAACTTGAAACAACGACAGAAGTGACTTTATATAAAAGCCAGTGCAGTGGAATAGCCAGGTTTAACATATTTGGAATTCATCAATATCATTTAGCCCACAACGCTTCACAACCCAAGATCCCACCATAACACAAAAGCTCATTGTGATAGTCGGCGCGACAGGCGGCCAAGGCGGATCAGTGGTCTCAACGTTTCTGAAGGCCGGAGGATGGAGAATCCGCGGCCTGACCCGTAATCCGGAGAGCGACAAGGCAAAGGCCCTCGCCGCACAGGGAGTCGAGGTGGTGCAAGCAGATGTCGGAGATCTGGTGAGTCTCGAAACAGCCTTTCATGACGCCCATGTGATCTTCGCCCTTACGGACTACTACGAGAACTTCTGGACGAAAGGGTGGGAAAAGTCCATGGAGATCGAGTACACACAGGGCACCAACATGGCCAAAGCAGCCAGCGAGGTGTCAACACTCGAACACTATCTGTGGAGTACTCTGCCTCACAGCACGCGCGTCTCCGAAGGACTGGCACTTGTGCCTCACTTTGAAGCAAAGGGTCGTGTGGATGAATTCATCCGAGAGGATAAGGTCCTCCTGGAGAAGACCACGTTTTGCTTCTTCACGACCTTTATCATCAATCTGACGCATTATGAAGTTTTCAAGCCCATCTACCTGGTAGGCGGTTCTTCGCTTCGTTTGTTTATCAATATGTGAAATTAACACACCACCAGCCCGCAGCAAAAAGATGGATTCAGATCTATCCCGCTGATCCCAATTCTGCATACCCATCTCTGGGAGACCATCGGGTCAATACTGGGATCTTTGTCCACAGCCTGGTTAGCAACCGCCCGCCGGGTGGAACATATGTGAGATGCAGTGTCGAGGATCACACGCTGGAATCATTCCTCGCCCTCTGGGGCAGGGCAAGTGGTATTGCCACGGGACCGGAATCAACCAAGGTGGTTCAAGTTTCTCCCGAAACTTATATCGATCTTTATGGACATATGGGAGAGGAGCAAGCCCGCCAGTGGGAGTTCTCCCGAATTCTGAAAGAGACTGGCGCCTTGAACAGGTATGGAATTCATGTCCATGAGGCACAAGAGTTCATGTCCAAGGACGCTATTGCGTCTCTCGTGAGCCCCGAGGAATCTTTGAGGAATATCGATTGGGAGGCCCACGGTTTCTAGACCGCTGATATCCCTGTGAATGAGTTTTGCCGTTGTGTACTGGGGCGAAAGTCAAGGTAGTTTATTTCGCATTTGCGACCGATCATGCAAGGCAAATTGCTGACGCTTAAATTTCCATGACACTATCAGATTCTTGGTGAAGGCCAAGCTCCCAATAATCCCAACTAACAGAATTCCGATCAGAGGTGCGAGGATCGCAAAGACTGTAAATCCATACGAAGCGTCCTGGAATGGTGGATTGATCCCTAAACGGTCGGTCGCCAGTCCAACCTGCATCGCCGTCAATACCAAGGCAACGTAGATGGTGGCCGCAGTCAGCGGAGTAAGATAGTCGTAAAACAGCTCGCTGTACGTCTGGTAGGTGAATTGATAGCCGCTAAAGACGCTAGCATGGCGAATTGCGTAGATTTTGTTGAGTCGCGACAGTCTCAGCTCTCCAAACAAATACCGCGAGTTGATGTTCGCGGGGCTCGTCGCGTCGTTCCTCAACAACTGCTGGTTCAGCGCAACCCACATCTCCCAGGTGATGGTATTTGGTAACAGATGGTAGTTGTGTGCAATTAAGAAATCACTTTCAAACTGTACAAGGGCCATATAGGAAGACAAAAGACCAAGAGCGCATTTGTATAGCTCTCGCGAACACGCCTGCTCTTGGATAACCTCGTCGCCTGGCGAATCACAACAGGGTCCCTTACAGACAAGGTGCGATTCCCAAAACTGAGAGTCGAGAAGATATCGTGGTAGTGGCTTGAGATGAATACGTCGAGAGTGCTCCCAGACCATGTGCATGTCGATTCTCTCGTCCACGGCGATTTCGCGCGAGGTTGCAATTTGGTAATTCAGGGGCTTGGGTGGCATCGGTTGACCAGCCAGCCACAGGTATTGGTCGATTTTATTCAGTTTATTGACCATTAAATCCTTCTTTAGGAATCTGTGGATCTCTTCCGTGGGGCTCACCAGTTTATGATCTGTTCGGGCAGAGGCTGGAAGAAGACGACCGGGATCCAGCAGGCCGTCGATGAATGCATCTTTGCTGAATGGCACTCGAGATGCCATAGATAAACCAGGAGATTATGTGTTGAAATATCAATGAAAATTGAACACCGCAAGATCATACACGCGATGAATAACAGAGGGGCCAAGGGCTTGGCGTTGGGCAACGTGATGGTCACTGACTTTGAGATTACCTCGTTCCACCTTATAAATACGAAGCTGCAAAATATTCCCAAAGTCTTCACAAACCATCATGGCTCCCCTAACAATCATAGTCACGGGCAAATCAACCGTCACCCACGCGCCAGAACGTGGCACTCTCAGGTTCTCAGTAAAAGGAAATGGTCCCGAGCAAGAAAAAGTCGCCAAGGAAGTGGCAACATCATCGACCAACCTACAAAACTGGATTAAATCAAAGTTTTATTCCTGGACCGACGGCGACCGCGAGGCCCCTCTGACAACATTCTCATCCACGAGTATCAGAACCTGGACAAAGTCAACAGATAGACACGACCAGCCCGTGCCAAATCCGCACCATGCCAGTATGTCCTTCAAAGCTGTCTTCCGCGACTTCACGAAATTGAACCACGCGATCGAAGAATTGCTGGTTTATCCCAAGGTGGAAATCGACGGTCTGGATTGGAGTCTCACGGACGAAACTGGCAGACGACTGGCTTCGGATGCGCGCAAATTGGCACTGCGCGATGCTATTCAACAAGCTGATGACTATTCGGAAGTTCTTGGACGCGATGTTTCGGTGGTGGAAATTGCCGACCAAGGAATGACTCCTTACAGGGCTACTCACAGACACATGATGGCTGCTAGTTTTGGTACTCACCCTGGGGAGGACCCTGTGCCGCTGGACCTTACGCCTCAGGATATTGATGTTGATAGTCAGGTCAATGTCACTTTTCAAGCTGCGTGAGATGTTTGGCTTTGTTCTTTCTTCGGCCTAACTAGTGGACCACGGACATCGGTTACACTACATTAAATTGATCCATTTATCAGGATATCTTGAATATGTGATATATCCGAATCATTATATTTCAATTTTTTTTAATCCTCAGTTAGCATTAAAAACTTCCCACATGAGAGTGTCAAAGTCCGGAGCCCCACTGAAGTCCATAAAGCCCCCGGGCATGGAATCGTGCAGCCAACTCATAGAATCAACATGGGGATCGTAATCATCCATAAAGGGGTTCAGCGGCAGATTTTCAACTCCAGAGTCAGCACGAAGTGTAGAAGACAGCTCCACTCCTTCATTGGCAGTCTGCAGCCGCTGTGCTCTTGCTGTGCTGGTAGTTGATTGATTCTTGCCTTGTCTAGTCGAGCTTGCAGGGGCCTCTAAGCTTCGCATCTTGATAAGTCTCTGAACAGTCGCACCAGATAACTCATGGATGCAATCCCTTGCGCGCTTAGCCTCGGCCCAGTACTCCCCAATGCTGCTTAGGATATTTAGACTGATGCTCGTATCAGCAACCACCTCATCAATCTGCACCTCGGATGCAACATGGGGCAGTCTCCACAGGCAGTGTAGCATTATCAGCGTGCTCAAGAAGACGGAGTGAACAATAAGTCGGCTGTATAAGAGAGCTTCCTGTCGGTAAAGCTCCCCAAAACCACGGAGAAGATCTACAGCATGCTGGAAACATCGCGCGAGCATCTCTTCCGATGGCTCAGGAATCCCGGGGCTAGGCCTTAGCACCAAAATCATCATTTCGTGATACTTGGTTTCGCATATTTTTGTGATAGCATCGTCTCCAGCTCCACAGGGGATGTCTGCAAGCCAGGTCTGAATGCGTTCGATCATCTCTTTCTGCCACAGATGGATGTCTGGTACCGGTGGGTAGGCATACCGGGGAGGATCTCTGCAGATGCTGTGCATAACATATTTGATTTCAGAGTTGATGCGGGCGAGTTTGAAAAGGTGGATAGAGAACGTCATGTGAGAAGTTGTGCGATTTCGCGAGGTTTCGTCACAAATTGACTCGGAAAGATCACTATCAGAGACATCAGAAGGAAGCTGAAGGTACTATTAGCCAAGTTCGTCGGAGGATCAACGCAATATCGAATCACTTACCCGAAGCTCGCACGCTTCATCTCTCACGCCGATCGGTCGACCCATCATCGTCCCCAGCGTACGATCAAAGCTGTATACAACCCAGAAGATGCGAGTCCGCATTTCCTGCTCCAAGAACGAGATAGAGAATGCCGATGATGCGCGAACATCGCGCTGAAGACCCAGGTCAATGAGGGAGCCCAAGCATTGGTAATTTAGGCTCCAGACATTGATGTCGCACGAGGGATTATGAAGTCCATATACCATCAGCAAGAGCAGACTCTGCAGTCCTTCCAAAGAGCCATCGGCACATGCACGTTCGAAATATTGTGTAGCTGCTGTGTAGTACCCCTCAGCCGGAAGAGGAATTCGAAACCGTCTGGAGAGATCCGAAGCTGCTATTGCGAGCACCATGTATACGTGAAAGGCGTCGGCTGGGTTAGGGGGTGCTTCATTGCTATACATTCTCTCGAGTCTTGTCATGTGGGACGGTTGATGTAGAAACGGGTACACGAGATGCACCGAAGCAAAGTACTTTGAAGTAAGCTCCTCAGCATCTTCCTTGCGACTCGGGAGTGGTGCTGGGCTATTGAAAAACTCAGATGAAAGTGACATTGGCTTGTTCGCGTTGCCATGATTTCCTGATGGCCCCGTCCGTCGGCCAGCACTCGAAAATATGAGGTTTGCTAGGAAATATCCGCTTGAAGGACCAATGTACCTCGGTTCTCCCGAGGAAAGAGAGACAAGCCCAATTTCGTGGGCCGGTCTTGAATGTGTTCGAGATAGTGGCGGGTCTGCTGGTCCGGGTTGTTCATTATGAGGTGTTACTGACCGGCGAATGCGGGCGCCCTGTGGAATGGTAGATTCAAGTTGAGTGCTTTCCTCCGTAGGTTCGAGTTGTGAGATATCCGATAGGTCTAGTTGCGGGCCATCCTCTAGCTGGACCGTCGGATCTTGTTCCTTTACTAAGGACTCTAACCACTGTACTCGCTTTTGTAGATTCGCAATGTACCTAATCAGCTGTTAGTACCAGAAGGGATAGAGAGAAGCGGAGGAGGAAGTATCCAGGTGACTGGGCAAATAATAATACGTACGTGCGATTAACTTCTTGTTTTCCATCGTTCACACAGGCTACATTAGCCTTTCTGCACGATGTGCACCGAGGAAGATCTCCGTCACAGCGGATTTTCCGTCGCTGACACCTCCGACAGGCGGCGCGGTTCCGAGACCGCCGTGGAGAGTCCATCAGAAAGCTGACAGGGTTCCTTATGAGCGTTGAATTTGCTGGTTCATGAATATGAAAAAAAAACCTAGAATTGACAGTGTTTCTTAGAATGAACAGCCTCTGCAAAGAGAAAAACACTGGAATCGAGGAGGTTCGGGTCAAGGCGGGAAGCTTCCGTAAGGACGGATGGCATCCGTCGCGTCATTTAAAACAGAACCACATTCCGTTTGTACGTCTATAACTTCATATTATTTTATTTCTGTTAACATAAAACTCATATATTTCAGAATGGTACTTGTCCACATTGGTATGGTTCATACCCGAGAACAGCTAAGTATTTAATTGACCTCAATAGTTCTATTCAAGTTCCGCGCGGACGTCGGAGACGAAGTGAAGCAGGAGTTCCTTTCCCAAATTAAGACACTCAAGTCCTTGCCCTGTGTTAAAAGTCAGAGACTTGTTGTTGGAGGTCCCTCAATCACAACCCCAGTTGAAAAGAGCAAAGGATTTCAATATGCTCTGGTGAGCTACCATGAGGATCGAGCAGCATTGGCTGAGTATCAAGCTAGCAGTGAGCATGAAAGGTAGGAAATACCCCTTAACATCTTGAGTTCCTGGTAACTAATGGCCCTTCATATTATTTAGAGTCACAAGCACCTACTTTATTCCTTATAAGGAGGATCTAGTTCGGTTTGACTTTGAGACCGATCAAGCCGACGATGCGCTCCTTGGGTTTTGATATATTCGATGATAATGTCAGTTATGGAAGGATTATCATGTAAGAGCAAGCTCTACGTATTTTGCAGGTGGAGGGCAACATAGACATACAAAGTACAATATGGAGAAAAGCAAGAGTCTCCGTGGAGTGGGTGCGGCTCAAAGGCCTGAGTCAAAGCGACCGAAGCAGAAGGCGCTATATCACATCCTCACGTCTCGACGAGCAGGGCGTATTTTCTTTATCAGTCAAGCATGCTTTATTTTTAGCTTGGCGACAGTTTGAGATGCTTGATATCCTGGGGATTCCAGTGGACACATGTTCATCAAAATGAATAGTTAAAGAGTTGATATATACCTGCATCTATGGCGTTACTCTATTGCATTTCTAATTTGTTAAATTCCAAGATGTTTGTTCATCTCCGCAATCACGTCTTCTCCACTTGAGTTGACAGAGACCCTTGCTAGGATGTGCTGATCAGGGCGAATCAGAACCCCTCCACCATTGGCCAATTCATAAGCAAACCAGCTTTGCGTGCCGATTTTAAAGTCAACTTCGAGACGCCAGACATTAAGAGGTACACCAATCACATTACAGTGCTTCTGCAAAAGTATAATATGAGGAGTGGGCTGCTTCTGCCCCAAAATCAAGGTCCAAGAATCAGGCCCACAGAGATCAAGGGTACTCCACTGACAAGCCCGAACCTGGTCTGCGTCAAGCTCCTTGATGTAAGATAAATTGACTGGCTCCTTGGGTAGTGAGGAAAGTTTGGCTGCCTCTGTCTCTGGGGAGAGCTGATCCGGGAAGCTGATCCAAGCATGAGGCAAGCGCGCCCCGGGCACAAATTTCGGAGAATAATGGGAAGCATGACCAGGTGGCCTGGTTGTCCCATACACATATCCGATATGAAGCTCCAGCTATGAGCAACAGTGTGAGAAAGACCGGCCTTTTATGAGAAGGCGGAAACCAAAACGAAATCACTTACATTATCGAAATGCTCCCTCTGTCCTTCAATACCTGCCTCAACCTGTGTGCGTTGGGCCGGTTCCGCCAATGCTGCCATCATATTATTTCGCGCTTGAACAACATCTTCGACACCAACCGTCTTGAGACTCCGCAACAGTGCAAATATCTCCTTGCCGTTCTTAACGCTCTGCTTGGAATAGGAATCCGCAACGCCACGTCGTTCTGCAGTGTATGTCGAAAGTATAGATGGTGTCGCCACCCCCCGGTGAACCAAGGCAATCTTATAAGCCAAGTTGTGAACATCTGCAAGACCACAATTCAAGCCTAGTCCACCAGTTGGGGGAAATGAGTGAGCAGCATCTCCAGCCCTGAAAGAAACCAAAACATTAAAAATGAGCCAATAGGGTCAATATCCAATTCCAAAGACTCACAGGAAGATATTCCCCTCCTGGAATGTGAAAGCAACCTGCCGACGGAAGACCCAAGGGCGATAGCTCAGGATATCGAACGGAACATCATCTTTACCGATAGCACTGCGGATCTTGGCCTTGCACATATCTTCTGTCCAAGACTCAACTGGGTGCTGTTCAACGTCTACCTGGCTGATGTGCACCTGGTTCCCATCGAGATCATAGGCGATGATAAAACCCGCAGCTATAGGGTCCATTATCCAGTACAGCATACCGACACGGTCACCAACGACGGGTCGCAGATTGGCATTGAAATGAATGGTCATCATTGTCTGGTCTGAGTCTTCACTCTCAGACTCAATACCGAGCAACTCGCGGACCTTGCTTCTACGACCATCACAGGCTATGAGGTGACGGGACTTTGTTTGATGGAGTTGTCCAGTTGACCGTTCCTCAATCGTGGCTGCGACTTCACTTTCCGTCTGGTTTCCAGTTAACCGCGTTACTTCATTTAAAAAAAAAATGGCTCATGTGCTTACCTGCTCCACAGCATGAATACTGAACCCCTTGATCAAGGTGACGTTGGGGTCTTTTGCGATAAAATTGGATAATTCTTGCTCTAGGGCTGGTTGGGGTATATTATGGATCATCTATTTGTTCCAATTGGTCAGTGTCATTCCCACCTTTCTCTCGATATAAAGGACAAGTACCTCTGGCGTGTCATCCAAAACTGTAGGATCCATACGCTCATACGGAAGCTTGCCGATCGTGTCCCCGCAAAGATTGGTGAGAAAATTGACCGAGGAGCTGTCATCTCGCGAAGTGCCTAGCTGGCGAACATGCTTCTCGCCTAGGTCAAATTGGCGCAAGATTTCCAAAGAGCGGGGGTTGATTGCGTGGGCTTTTGGAGCAGCTAGACGCTCGCGATAACGCTCGATGATCAATGATTGAACTACATGGATCATGTCAACAAAACCTTTCTGTTGGCTTCTCCACAAGCACCCATACCTCCGAGTCGAGACAGAAGGAGGGCCTGCAATAGGCCAGTCGGACCTCCGCCCACAATGAGCACTGGCACAGAACTTGGTAAACTACCAGAGCCACCAGTCTGGTTGGACGCAAAGTCGGTCCCGGGACGGAGCCATTGTCTTTGTCCAATGGATTTCGAGTTAACTTCTTCTAGAATAAATTGAAGGGCACCTGCTGCTTTGTTTTCATTTTTCAAATCCACGACTTATGTTGGGGATATGTATGATGGGAGAAGCTGAGTGGAGGGCAGCCCCGGAGTCCGCCAGAACATGCATTGCTGCATTCTCGCCAATCAAAGAGGCGAAATGTTTTCGCTAGGGGCTTGGGACCGGATGCTTGGCTCTTTCTTCTCTGAGGATTCAAGATTATGGCAGAATTTGACAGGTGCAGATTGGAAGCCAGGGAATCCACAGAAATATAGTAGCGTATTTCGGGGCAAGGGTGGGATGAAGAGAAGCTAACTATTTTTCACACGCACTCATCCCGTTATTACGACAACCACATACATCCCTGCATAGCTGGTCGCCAGGCGGGACTTGTGATTGGCCTTGAGAAACACAGGGATACTGTGCATGACACCAAAATATGGCTGAACTTCTAGTACGGAATACATACTCTACTAGTACTGTGTGCTTGATATTGTTTCGGACTAAAAGGGAATGGCCGTATGTTATTGATCCCGCAACCTTCGAGCAACGATCCAAATGATCCTCTGAACTGGTCCACCACGAAGAAGAACTTGACCTTCTTCAATAGCTGTTGGTTTGCGTTTATGGGTGCTATTACAGGTCCTATTATGGCAGCTGGTATGTGTTTTCATCCATCATATCGATTATATTGAGCTATTCTGATTAGTACTATAGGTATGATGTAATTGTCCACCACATTCGGCAAGTTCCTCCAGGAATTAACCTATGTGAACGGAGCTTGTTTGATTAACCAAGGAATATGGAACTGTGTCTGGATGCCGTTTGCCGTCAAGTATGGCCGCCGTCCAAACTACATCTTCTCAAACTTGCTTATGGCCATCGCCTGTATCTGGCTGGCCGTTGCATCCAACAAAACCTATACTGTTTTCCTGGTTGACGTGCTTTCCTGGGCGCTTTCCAAGCGCCTATTGAGTCAATTGTCCTGTCCACAGTGACTGATATGTTCTTGTTGCATAACCGCGGAGAGCTCATCGCCATCTACGGACTCTCTGTCCTAGGAGGCAATGAGCTGGGACCTATTGTCAATGGGCCGAAGGAAGTTAGGATTAGAATTGATATTGAGACTCGATTCGAGGATGCGGAGGGTCAGAGTAGCATCTCTGCCGAGGATTCGGTCCGTGAGCGGAGGCAGGATGTCCAAAAAGTTGTTTAATAGTGTTAATCAGCATATCTGTTCACCTCACTGGTATCTGTATCTATACCTAGGTAGTTTGTATTATAGATAGTTCAATGTAATTCCCCGACATCCATGTTTGTTCCGTTGGTCCTAGTCAACCTAGGTTTAAAAAGACCAGCCCCACATCCCCGCGGATCCCCAATGCCGCCGATAACCGACCTCGGCTCACATCGACCCTCGTGATTATGACCTTCCCTCCCTCCCGAGGTCACTTTTTCCTTCCTTTTCTTCATCCTAGCGTACTGAGCTTATTTCCCCTCTATTCACAATGGCTTCTATTATTCGCGCGCTGCGACCTTTGTCGCGTACCCCCTCAGTCCGCCTGGCGGGAAAACGACTTGCTGCCGGCCGGCCCATACAAAGGTACTGTCCAACTCAGGAGCGCATGCTATTAAAAGGATATTCGCTAACAATTTTTTTCCCATTACAGTGCGTATGCATTCTCAACCACCCCCGCCGGCGGGAGGTCGACCTCTCCGAGCTGACCCCGACGCCGATCACCCTTTTGTCCGAGACGGAAACCCTGATGGCCGACTCGGTATCGAAGTTCGCAGTGGAGCAAATCGGCCCGAAGGTGCGGGAAATGGACGAAGCCGAGACTATGGACGCGAAGGTCGTGGAGCAGCTCTTTGAGCAGGGCTTGATGGGCATTGAGGTACCAGAGGAGTTCGGTGGCGCCGGAATGAACTTCACCGCGGCGATCGTCGCGATCGAGGAGCTGGCACGCGTCGACCCCAGTGTCAGCGTGCTGGTCGATGTTCACAATACACTGGTCAACACCGCGATCATGAAGTACGGTGATGCCCAGGCCCAGCGTACCTGGCTGCCCAAGCTGACTACCGGCACTGTCGGCTCGTTCTGTCTCTCCGAGCCTGCGTCTGGCTCTGATGCCTTCGCCCTCCAAACTAAGGCCGAGAAGACCGCCGATGGTTACAAGCTCAATGGCTCTAAGATGTGGATCACTAACTCTATGGAGGCTGGTATCTTCATCGTCTTTGCCAACATTGACCCCAGCAAGGGCTACAAGGGTATCACTGCTTTCATTGTCGAGAAGGATACCCCCGGCTTCTCAATCGCCAAGAAGGAGAAGAAGCTCGGAATCCGTGCTAGCAGCACTTGTGTGCTCAACTTTGACGACTGTGTGATCCCCAAGAGCAACCTGCTCGGCGAGGAGGGACAGGGATACAAGTACGCCATCAGCGTGTTGAACGAGGGTCGTATTGGTATCGCCGCTCAGATGACCGGTCTGGCCCTCGGCGCATGGGAGAACGCCGCACGGTAAGATTTCTTGTACAATTTACACCCGCATATGATTCCGATCAACTGACCATAACCAAAGATACGTTTGGAACGACCGCCGCCAATTCGGCGAGCTCATCGGAAACTTCCAGGGCATGCAGCACCAGATTGCGCAGGCCTACACTGAGATTGCTGCTGCCCGCGCTCTTGTCTACAACGCCGCCCGCAAGAAGGAGGCTGGCCAGGACTTCGTCCAGGACGCCGCCATGGCTAAGCTGTACGCCTCCCAGGTCGCCGGCAGGGTATCCAGCTCTGCTGTTGAGTGGATGGGTGGTATGGGCTTTGTCCGTGAGGGCATTGCCGAGAAGATGTTCCGTGATAGCAAGATCGGCGCTATCTACGAGGGTACCAGCAACATCCAGCTGCAGACCATTGCTAAGCTTCTCCAGAAACAGTACACGAACTAGACGAGATGGTGTTGGATACCTACCTAAATGGCTTTGCTTATAAATAGTTTGATTTCATCCATGGATGCACACTGCGGCGTATTGCTTGTTTCTTTTTGGGTATGTATTCATCGTTCCCTCTGGGATATACAAAACATGAAGAGCCATCTTGGGTCATCCCTGTCACCATTTCGAATTCGCTCCATTGAGATGTATAAATGCCAAACTGTGTATACAATAAGAGTAAAGGAGCAGCGCCGATGATGGCCCCAGTCATGCCAATGTGCGCGGCCTTATTTGTATATCCAATTTGAACAATAAATCTTCCAGCGTGGAATTCAAGTTGTCTGCTTACCCACTGCTCATCGATTCGCATTGTAGGACTGGAGGTGGGACCGGAGCTGCTCGGCCAGCTTACTTTATTCGGCACGGCTATTATTTCCGTGATTGTTTCTGTGCGAAAGGCAATTTCAATCGCGATTTCCGCGATGACTTTGAAGTCCGAGAACAAGTATTGCTTTGAGATCTATAGCATTGATCAGTGTGCATGTTCGTATTGAGGTTGTTGAACGAAGCCTACATGATGTGAGACCAGATTGAGGGTTCCGCATTCCAGCCTGAACTCGAATGGCATTGTGTTTCCACCGAGGATACAATGCCCTTTGATTGCCCCAGTCGCCTGGCACATGCATTATTCATGATGGAGGCACCCATGGATACTCGTATGTCGGATCCGTCTGTTGAGATTGAGGCATTGGTTGTGGGTACGTTGATGTGGAGGGTTGGTAGACTCGGGCGGGGGTTGGCTGAGGAACAGGACTGGCACTCGACATGGAAAGTGATCGGTTGCTGTAGGCGAATTGGGAGAAAGAAGATTCGGATTCTTGCTGGGGAGGGCAGATTGGTTGTCCTTGATGCATTTGACCATCTATGGGGTATGGCTCCATACGATTATGGAATTCCGGGTTGGAGGCTGCGCCGAGCGACGGCGATCTTGTGGACGGATATGGCTGTTGCCAGTCATGCTGATGAGACGTTCGACGCAATGCTGCAATACCCGAGGGTCTTTGAGTGTGGGATGTTGTAGTGAAGTGTGGCGGTAGCAATGCCCCCGTTGTTGGGATGCTCGGCAATGCACTATTCGGGGCTTCTTCCAAAGACCACCCACTTCGAAATGGAGCCATCGGTTCGTTATTTGATGCAAATTCCGGTCGGCCAGTCAAAGAAGCAACTTGATGCTTCAATCGGATCACTTCATTCTCCAGAAAGGCATTATGTTGCACGACTTCATCGTACCGCTCGTTTTGGAGCCGCATCTCCGCAATCTGTGACTGGAGGGTGGCGACCTGAGCTTCAAGTTGTTCTATATGCCCCTTGGTGCGTTGACGAATGGACCGCTGAGCTTCTCGATCGTTGGCACGCTTTCGCTCTAGTTGTTCCACTGACAAGGTCGAGACTTTCCTTGTCCCCGATCGAGACTCGCGCCTCTTCACAGGTGGTTCATCTTGAGAGCTCATGGTTATTGGTTTCCTCGCACACCCAAGACTCGACACGAAGCTCCCCTCCGTTACCCAGAACCTTTCAAAGAGAACCCCCGCTGGCGACCATGGACCCAGCACTGGAGCCTAACATGAGGGGAAGTGGTGGATCACAGATTTTGAAAGATCGCGTGTGGGTGGCTCGAGACTATTTCCGGGCCGAGCAGGGGTCAAGGCAGAACGTGACAGATCGTGTGAATCCAGGGCTAGGTTAGCTTGGACGACTATATGGGCCAGAGGAAAATAAAAGATGTTGCGCCTGATATAGCCATGGATGCTTTCAGGGGATGATTATAACCTTTCCGGCAACGGAGTGGCCTTGATAAGACCAGAATATTGTCAATCCCCAGCACGCATTTCATTTTCTCCAGATTGATTAACAAGCGAGGCAAATCTCCCGATGATGCGGCGAAAGGGAGACCTTAAGCCTGCCCCTATGCGCCCAATAAGCGTGGAGAAATAGACCTACTGTGTGGATAGCTACGTAGGGGCCATGGATATAGTGTTGTCTTTCCAGCCACTACGGTGAGCCGCCCCCCGAGGTCCGCTTTTTTCGACTCTTGCCAAGCAAGATGAATGAGCATTTACTAGCTACTCCTTTTTTCGTTTTTGTATGCTGAGCGATACAGGTTCGGCGAGTGTCGATCCATCAAGCCTGGGGGTAACAGAAAAAGTACTAAAAATATGCCTTGCGCTATAAGACATTCACAAACCATCGGTGATGATCTGTATGCTTGTGGAGATATGTACGGAGAACTCCGTAAAGGTGGACAAGAATCCTTTGGCCCCCGGAGTCTGAGCGCGGATGGCCCCCGAGGATTCGGCTCTTCCAAGTGTCCATGGGCCCCGAGGTATTATTGGGATGTTATAAGCATGCGATGTGAGCAACATAATATCTCTAGAAGAAGGAAGGGTATATGTATGATGCGGCCGGTGTTTGAAGAGCATTGATCGGCAATCTGTAGTCACAAGGGTTTGAGTCTCCTATTATTGTGCTTTTATGTTCACCATGATCCGGGGGGGGCCGTTAGCGGGGGGATCCTGCAAATTTCCTATTATTCGAACAGCGCGGTGTCCGCTCCGACGGAACATTAGGAAGCGGGATAACTTATGCATTTTGATGCATCTAGTGATCCTGTTGACCACTTAGGCGAATTTGCCTATCGGAGACATATATCCTTAAATCATCGAATCATCCATGGATGCTGCGCCTTGCTCACTTTTCGAAACCTGCTACGAGAGTAGCACAATGTTTACCGAAGTTCGATGAATAATTAGCTGAAACCCACACAAGCGAACATGTCAACGAGCCTGTTCGTTGTACAACGGAATCGCCATGCGCCATGTAGAGGTACATATATGCAAGTGGGGAATCGGGCACGGTTATTTTGAATATGGTGGCCCTAAATATAAGAAGAGTTTAACCGGCATGCGGACGTTCGCACTGGTTCTAGACATGGTCCGTGAGCCCCGGCCGATCATTACGGATCTGATGCCGGATTTTAACACCGTGAACCCTATAGAGTGATCATTCTTGATCTTTATGCTTGGTGGCCAACCGCCCGAATACGCTTCATTCCAGCCTATGGGAATAGAAACACGCAGGCACACATTTATTTGACTCAATTGGAAACAATGCGCATCACGACAGGTGGGAATCAGGGTGACCACCATGGCGTATGAAAAACATTAAATTGTGGCTGAGGTATCCTTAAGCGAAGTTAACAGCCTCGCTAGGAACACGATTGGAGATTGTTTACTACAATATTTTTACAACATAAGTACTTTTTTGTATGTATCGGTCTTCGCCCCATATTGGGCGATCAACTGGGGTTGCCGGGCGAATCATATCAATAGGATGTGGTCCCGAAACACCCTGCAAGCTTTTCTCGAAAATGTAAGTTCTGACATGCTGCTTTGCCTTTATTCCAGATCATTCTACTCTGGAAATCGCTGCATATTTTAAAGGCATAAATAGTCACACCAGCCTGCGTCCTAGAAGTTGCCTCTGCCGGTTGGGACTAGCTTCCGGAAATAAGGCCATGAGAAGAAATGCCCATCACGGGGAAGTATCGGAGATATCGTTAAAAAATCCATCTAATTCCGACAAAGTATACCATCTACAAAACTGGACCTCTGATATATGTTCACTCGAGATATGTTCACTCGAGAATAAACGACTCGAGCAGGCGAATTACCTTATGCGGTTAGTCTGACATTTTAACTGACCCATAATACACGTGATATCAAGCGAAGATAATGGGTCTCTGGTAGCCAATCAGGTGATGCTTACCAGACTTTGGGACAATCTTAAATGCTTGGCAACAAATCTCTTCTTTGTCAAATATAAACTTGTATTGATTCACATCATCAAGCATCAGTCTGACTTTTGCGAAACTAGAAGGAACAAGGGAAAAAAGATTACACTCACTCACACTTCCTCTTTGTCTTGTTTTGTCAACAAACATTAACACTCATTCACTCGCCACTTCGAGTTTGAATTTTCATCAAAACAATTAACTGCAGTTTTCTTGAAGAAACATAAAGCCTTGACCATTATGGAAGGTCTTCAACTCAGCAATGATACTCAGCTGTACTCAACCATGGCTGGGAAGCTGGACTCAAAGCTCCTCAAAGCCCTTGACGTGATGGGTTTTACCAACATGACCCCTGTCCAGCAGCGTGTTTTGACCGAACTTCCAACTTGGCGCAGTGACTGCCTTGTCCAGGCCAAAACTGGAACTGGAAAAACCCTTGCTTTCTTGTTGCCTGCATTGCACTGCCTACTCCAAGGTGATACTGCGCCACCCAAAGGCAAGGTCGGCATCTTGATCATTACCCCAACCAGAGAACTTGCCCAACAAATTGCAAAGGCCTGTGATGAACTAACTTCCCAACTTCCCACTCCTCTTGAGTGCCATGTTGCAGTTGGTGGAACGGCTCGAGCATCTGCTCATTCGCGCTTCATGAAGGGCGCACCATCCATTCTTGTCGCCACCCCGGGACGCCTGTGCGACTATCTATCTCAAACTCCCACCGCCAAGAAGCTGTCTAACATCCAAACCCTGGTCCTGGATGAAGCCGACACGATGCTTGAGAGTGGTTTCATTGCTGATGTGAAGCGAATCCTCCAACTCATCCCACAAAAGAGCAATGGGTGGCAAGGCATGTGCTTCTCAGCCACTGTCCCACCCAAAGTCAAGGATGTGGTCAATATTGTGTTGAAGAGAGATTACACCAGCATTTCCACCATTGATAAGAATGAGGCACCAACGCATGAGAGAGTTCCCCAGTACCACGTGCTGATGCCGTCTGTGGCAGATACCTTCACTACACTTGCCTCCCTGCTCAAGCATGAAATCAAGAGCAGCTCGAAAATCATCGTCTTTGGCGTGACTGCGCACATGGTTGCTCTCCTCGCAGGAGTCTTCTGCAAGGGCATGATTCATTTGAAAGTGTTCGAGATCCACTCCAGACTCAACCAGGGTGCTCGCACAAGAACCACGAATCAATTCAAGGAGGCCGAAGCCGGAATCCTGTTTGCTTCAGATGTTATTGGTCGTGGTATGGATTTCCCCAACGTCGACTTGGTCATCCAGGTCGGTTTGCCATCGAACGGCGAGCAGTACGTTCACCGTGTCGGTCGTACCGCCCGTGCTGGCGCTGACGGCCGCGCTATCATTCTCCTCACGGAAGGCGAGTCGTTCTTCATGAAGAACAACCGCCACTTGCCCATCAAGCCCCACCCCGATACCGAAGCGATTAATGCCGGCGCTCCCTCATGCTCCAAAGCTGTCTTGCAGGCCATGTACACTATCGAGGAAGAATCGAAGCAGCGTGCCTACTCGTCTTTCATTGGTTTCTTCGCTGGATCGGGTCTTCTGAGGCAGCTTCGTCTCGACAAGGCTGGCCTTGTTCAACTCGCCAACGAGATGGCCGTCAAAGGCATGGGATGTCCTGAGCCTCCCCCAATGGACAGAAAAGTCATTGGCAAGATGGGTTTGAAGGGTGTTCCGGGTTTCAACTACGCAGACCCAAATGAGATGGCCCGAAGCGGATCCTCTAGACCTCGCAATTCTTCAAGAGGTGGCAAGAGTCGCGATGCGCTTAGCCCTGGAGCTGGTCAAGGAGACCGAGGCGGTATCGAGAAGAGCCGTGGAGGAGGCCGTGGAGGCCGCGGAGCACGTCGTGGTGGTGGCGGACGTGGAAAGCCGAGATCATGATTCTTTTGCATATTGATGTCAAGCACAGCGTGCTAAAATGTTCTTATTCATAGACACTAGAGACTTACGACCTGCTACACAAAATTCCTTAATCGAAACTAAAATTACTTGCGAACAGTTGCCCACATCCTGATTGTAAAGCTGTAAAGTCGTAAAGCCAACCCCGAGCCTAGCCACAGCAGTCACCATTGCTTTGTGTCATCTATAGGAGCAGCTATCTAGGTATTACTCCACAAGAGTTTCGCGTAATTGACACAGTGTCATAATTGATCTTGACAGTTGTTCTTGGGATTGAAGACCGTAAAATGGTCAGGTGATCGCGGGTAAACACAACTTCTAGAGCTTCAACCCTCCACCTTTCCAACACGTCATTCTTTAAAATTGAACCTTTGAGGGCGATCATCTATCTATATTGATAACTGCCCAATATGGATCCGAGCTACAAAGCTCGCAAGGAGGCCTTTGTGTCTAATCTTGCGGGAAGCACAATCCTCGAGATCAATGCAGTCACACTCGTTGCTTCAGTGAGAACTCTCGAGACTTTACCTTGCAATTGATACATTCTGACCGGTGACCACTCTAGACCTCTGTCCTCCTTTGGTCCGCGCTCCAGTCCCGCTTATCCTTCTTCACACCCTACGGTCCTGCGGCACTCGCGACCGACTTCATCCTCAACGTACTAGCCATCTTATTCGCGACGACTGCGTACTCCTCCGCACCACTTCTCCTCAACATTTTCCTCGTCTCCCCCGCGGTCCTCCTATTCCTCACCCGAAACGGTCTGCGTACACCCCAAAAGGCCAAACCGCCCCGCAAATACAAGGCCAAGAATGAGAGCTCCCAGGAGGAACAGCAGGCCTTGCCCATTCACCCATTCTTGACCACGTACCGCGCGGCCATGATGATTGTCACCTGCGTCGCTATTCTCGCAGTCGACTTCCGCGCGTTCCCACGCCGTTTTGCCAAGGTGGAGAACTGGGGGACATCTTTAATGGACTTGGGCGTGGGCTCTTTTGTTTTCTCCGCTGGAGTAGTCTCTGCGCGCGCGGTTCTAAAGGGTCGCAACTCGAAATCCCCGAGATTAGCTTTGCATAAGAGATTGATTGGGTCGGCTCGGCACTCCATTCCTCTGCTTGTGCTAGGCCTCATCCGGCTGTGGAGTGTCAAGGGATTGGACTATGCGGAACATGTGACGGAATATGGTGTGCACTGGAACTTTTTCTTCACGCTTGGCTTTTTGCCTCCTTTCGTGGAGCTATTCGACTCCTTGACTACACTGATCCCCTCGTATGAGGTGCTTGCACTTGGAATTTCAGTACTCTACCAAGTCGCTCTGGAGTCTACTGATCTCAAGGGCTACATTCTCGTGTCTCCTCGGGGACCAGATCTACTGTCCAAGAACCGAGAGGGAGTCTTTTCTTTCATTGGATATTTTGCGATTTTCCTCGCTGGACGGGGTGTTGGAGTCCGCATCATTCCTCGTGGTACCTCGGCGACGAAATCACCCCAAAAGGCACGGAACTCTGTTCTGATGCAATTGGTTCTACAGGGAATGTTCTGGTCTACCATGTTCTTCTTCAACTCCACCTACGCATTCGGCTATGGTGCCAACATCCCAGTGTCGCGCCGGCTGGCTAACCTGCCATATGTGCTTTGGGTGTCAGCATTCAATAGTGCCCAACTTTTCCTCTTCTGCCTGACCGAGACTGTGTTCTTCCCCGCGGTCCACCGGGCGACCAGCAAGGAAGGCGAGGCAGAGCAGACGTCCTTCGCGACCAGTCGCATCCTACGTGCCTTCAACCGCGGTGGCCTTGCACTGTTCTTGATTGCGAATCTACTTACTGGGGCAGTGAACCTGAGCATTCCAACATTGGATCTTAACACGCCGCAAGCCATGGGGATTCTAATTGTCTATGCGGCTGTGCTAACTGGTGCTGCTCTGGGGATGGACAAGTACAATATTAAGTTGAGCTTGTAGATATATTACAACACTCATAGATGTAGTATTATCCAACTTAAAACCTTGCATATAAATATGTTGATAATTGATATGCTCCGCATCTGCAGAGATTACACCTTGCATTGGTGTGGAAGCTTGTACAAGAATACTCGGCCGCTTATGCAGCCTCTGTCCTTAACAACCTAAAACTTTATTGATCTGATCATATTTCAATGTTGGACCAAGATGGTATTAGGGATGTTATACGTAAGAACCCTCCGATGTGCTTTTTGGATGTCTTCTTTGATGTCTTCTATGTATAAGCTTTGAAATAGAGAAATGGGTTTAGCCGCGGCATGTGATATCACCGGTGGAGCAACTATGAGCCCGAGTGTTGCGCAACCCATTCTGCAACCAACACTATGCCCTCCAACGAACAGTCTTTTCTTAATTATCCTCCAGCACTTGAGGGCCCAGAGGTGCCGTACAAATATGAAGACCAGGTCCTGCCGGTCTTCCGCGGCACGCCTCTAGCCATCGGCGCTACATTGTAAGTTTCAGGAGAGCTCCATTGAGCGCAACATACTAATTTCCGGCTGTTTACGCCAGGATCCATAATATCGGATTTATCCAAAGCTATTTCTGGCGCAATGCTGGTTTTAGTGTTATTCGTGAAATCTCCCATCTGGGCCAGTACGCCGGCCGCTATGATCCAACCGTCATCCCGGTCGACAACACCAACCAGTCCGAGTCGGCGGCGAAAGCGATGTCTGCTATTGTCGAGCGCAGAAAGGGAGACCACGGGTACTATACTTCTGCGGACTACCACGCGCTCTACTCGTCGGGGGAGCTGACCCCGACCACTGTCATCGAGACGCTATTGCCCCTGGTCCGACGTGATACCCAGCCGCCCGGGAAACACTCAATTGCCTTCCTTGAGTCTCAAGCCGAATTGATTCGTGCAGCAGCGGAAGAATCTACGGAGCGATACAAGAAGGGCCAATCGTTGGGTCCACTCGACGGTGTGCCGGTCGCAGTGAAGGATGAGGTGCACCTCACGGGGTATAAGCGCACGCTAGGCTCAAAGCTGGATTTCAAGCATGGTACTGATGCAACATCATGGTGTGTGAGGAAATGGCTGGACGCCGGAGCTATAGTCATCGGGAAAACATCCATGCATGAGATTGGACTGGGTGAGTTCTCATTGGTCATCGTCGAGTTTCAGTAGCTAATACACTTCAGACACAAACAACAATAATCCCAACTATGGAACACCTAGAAACCCCCACAATAAGGAGTACTATTGTGGCGGTTCCTCCGGTGGCTCCGGATATGCTGTCGGAGCGGGCCTTGTACCCATTGCACTTGGCGCAGACGGCGGAGGCTCAATTCGTATCCCGTCGTCGTTTTGTGGTATCTGGGGCCTGAAACCTTCGCATGGCCGTGTGTCCGGTGCGCCATCTCAAAGCCTTGCGCCCACTGTTGGTGTTATCGGTCCTATGGCTGCCAGCATCGATGACCTCGCTCTCGCCTATCGCATCATGGCCACTCCGGCACCAGCCTCAGAAGACCCGATTTCATCGCAGTTCCCCTATCCTTCTCCCCCGCACCCTGACACCAAAAGGACGAAGACAATTGGTATTGTCCGCGACTGGATTGACCGCGCCGAGGGGCCTGTGCGCGCTGTAATTGATCGGGCGCTCGACTACTACCGCGAGCAAGGCTACGATGTCATCGATATCACAATTCCTTACCTGCCCGAAGGCCAGCGTGCCCACGCTCTTACCATCATGGCGGAGATCGCATCTGGCGTTGATGCAAGCAAGATCCGACAGCTCACAGCCCCGAACAAGGTGCTTGTCTCCATGGGCATGTACCAGATCACCGCACAGGACTTGCTCGCCTCCCAGCGGCTGCGCAATCTCCTCATGACGCATCTTGCGCATCTCTTCAAGACTCACCCCGGGCTGCTCATCGTCTCGCCTACAACACCCATCCCTGGATGGCATATTGATGGTGGTGAGGCGGACTTGTCTCGCGGTTTGTCAGATGCCAAATCATCTGTGCGCAATATGGAATATGTTTGGCTGGCCAACTTTACTGGCTGCCCTTCTATCAGTTGTCCTGCTGGTTACACCCCCGATGGCGGTGTGCCTATCGGTGTGATGGCTATGAGCGAATGGGGTACTGAGGAAGAGCTGATCGCCTTTGCTCGAGATGGAGAGCCTATTTTGGACCTTCCTAGTAGCAGTTCTTCGCTCGAGGAAAATGAAATTGCCTCGGCAAGCAAGGGCCTGCGGACTCCTTCTGACGACCTCTCTGTGTGGGAAGATATTATCGCACAGGCCAAGAAGAAGACATCCAACTAAGCAAAGGGAAGATTCTAACAAACCGTGACAGGTTGAGCTTTTCGTCATTTATTATATTCCCATGTATCTATCTACAAGTTATCAGAGCATGTATTTATCTACAAGTTACAAGAGAAGTCTCTCATTTGTCTGAACAAGATACGTCTAGTTAAGCTTCTCTGTGTATTTACCAACTCTCTCTTCCTGAGACCTTCATATCCTTTCATTCAGGCCACCTTTGCGCTATCATTCCTTGTCCGAGTTCCGCATCCGTACGTGCATCGGTGCACCATCCTTTGGGTGTGACGTCGCTTTCCCAGTGGTATACATTCGTTCGCCCTCAACAGTCCGGCGGTCCACTTTCAAGCCCTGCAGTTCCCGCACCTCATCCCATTTATCCCAGGCCATCTCAATATCAAAATTACGGACAGTAAAGACCAACACCAACTTCATCACAACGACCGCCAGTTCTTGCCCGATACATTTCCTAGGCCCAAGTTGGAACCCACGCCATATGTTCTTCGCTGGATGCAACCTGTCGCCTTCTAGAGCGGAAAAGCGTTCCGGCATGAATTTGAGTGGGTCAACGAAGTTAGCTGGATCATGATGAATGGTGATGGAGCTATCAAAAAGATCGAACCCGTCTGTCGGCCATGGGTTGTCCTCGCCGTTTATTTTCAGGTTGAATGAAGGCTGACCTTCCCGAATCGTGATCGTTGCCGGATTCATACGGAGTGTCTCCTTGATCACTCCCAGGGTATATGGTAACGAGTCCAGGATATGGGGCGCCTCCCGAATCTTCTCTGCGGCAAGGCTTGGATCAGAGCCAAGAACCGCGTCATGTTCAGTCTGCAATTTCGCCACACATTCAGGGTTTAACTGGAGTTGTCTGAATACACGGGGAATTGTGATGGACAACGCATCATCGCCGCCAAAGAAGAATATCATCAGCTGGTAGAACACCTGTTCGATGAAAGCCTCATCTGGTGTATTGGCGCCGGTTCCCTTCGCTCCAAGCTCGCCAGTATACTCTTCAACTGCAGACCGGATTATAGTTCGTGGGCTATTGCTAGCAGCGTTTATGCCTTTTGTGATAAACGGTCGAAGTTGTTTGAAGAGCTGGTTTCTCTTACGTCGTACAATCAGTTTGAACAACGGGGTAATCCTCCAAAGAAGTTTGCGAGGGCTCAGAGTTATTTCCATGCGGCTCAGTTGCTCACGGTAAGCAATGGTGAATGGAGAGGGATATGGCGATTGAGAGTTAAGCCGAGTATCGCTATAATCGTCAGCACAAAGTAGTGATTACTCGTAAGACGATAGGCCCAACTTACAGAACCACTCTCCCTGTGACGTCAAATGCCAAGTTGCTGGATATCTGCTCAAAAGGGAAAACCTGACCCCATTGACCATCCCCACCGGAAAGGCCTCTAAGCACATTTGCAAACGCCTCAACCTCCTCGATGATAGCAGGTATCCAGGTTCTGATGTTGGTCCGACTGAATCCAGGATTGAATCTCGAGCGCCACATGTGCCACTCCTCCCCGTGCATGCAGTTGAGGTCCCTGCCATTCGAAATGGGATTCAAAAACTCACCTTGCATCGGAGACTTTGGCAAACTGCTCCCAATCTCCATTTGATTGGATACATAAGCTTGCAGGGAAAATGCCATCGGTCTGGAAATGGGCCATACATCGAGGTAAATGACAGGGGGGCATTGTTGCTCGTTTGGGAAGAATTTCGGCCAGTATTTGCTAATATAGAATCCAAAAGTTTGGATAAAGTTGGCATCAAAGGCCCAATCTCTGTAGAATTGGATTACGATGAGAAAATGTCCCAATAGAAATGAGTGAGGCAAGATTGGCTGGTGATGTTAGCCTAGGATTATTTTCGACAAGGTAAGAGACGTACTATGCCTTGAGACTGAAGTCTTTTGAATTTTATCCTTGCTTGATATAACTGCACAGTAAACCGTAACGCCAGCATTGCCACAATTGTCATGCCAAGCAGAGACAGCTTCTCCCCTTTGCTCAAACCACCGAGTTTGAGCGGCAGCGGAAATGGAAGCATGGTTGATGTACCTTGAGAAGCATTATGTACTTCCATTTTCAAGAGGAAAGAAGCATCAATGAGGAATCTGCGGAGAGTTGTAGTTAACTGGGTAGCACAAACTGGGGAGACTTGAGGCTATATATCTTGCATCTCATGATTTAGCACAACAGCTGTCCCGTGAGTCTAGTGTCAGTGGCGTAGACAACCTTGGAACATCGCCGAGTGGCAGGGGTCTAAGCAAAAGATTTGCAGCTCCAAAAATGTTTGGGTGGACATGCCCGTGGGGATTCTATCTTGCGCAAGCGGTGTGTTGTATCTGATGTTACTTGCATGGCTGGACCATCAGGGTAACACTTGGTGGGTCGCCTGCAATATGATCTAGGATTGAGCAATTTACAAGAATACAAGGACTCGGGTATACAGCATTTACCTGTTACAGTATTCGACGTAGTGTAGGTAGAAAACACCGAATATTGCGTAATTTCCCATGGAGTGGATGCTGTTGACAGTTGCAGTTAATTCTCCGTTGATTCACATGTAACCCTAATTTGGTTCTTCCCAGGAATCTCCACCCACGGATGCAAGATCAGCGCTACCGATGCAGGTTCACTGCGCTTATGCAGTTTCCTGCATGCAATATGCGTCATGTTTCATCTTCAGCCAGCCTAACCCGATGCTGTGCTGGTTCCACCTATTTCCATGAGGGGTTGTCGAGGGGTTATTCAATTGGGTAAAAAAAAGATTATGACACTTTAACAATATCAACTGTGTGCTTGCAAACTATTCTATTTGTAAGAATGCCAACTCAATAGATATCCTCTATCTGTAGTATTCAACAAATGTTGCTTGTGTATGACATACTTGGGCCTGTGATGATAATTCCCAGGTAATCTGCATATACAGCCCTAACGTTCAGGTCACAATCGGCCGAATGTGTACAGATCCATCGGCTATCATGACCAGCAGAGTAGATGGATTGTCAGTAGCGTCATGTCATGCATATTACCGATGATACCAATGAACGCCCGATTTCAGACCCTCTTTTATGCACGTCCGATCCATCTCAACTCGGAATTCCTATTGGTTTTCTAGTAGTGACGTTCTCGGACCTCGCCGTTAGCTCAGATAACAATATTCATAGCAATTAGCCGTGTACGGGCTATTTGGATATGAGACTTGCATGTGCCACTCCTTCCTATGGAAAGATTTAGGTCTACGTAATCAATTTACCATGTTCATACTAGCCCTTAGCTGTCTCTATCTAACATAAAAGGGTCCATGTTACGTTCGAGATGAGACATTCTCTTATACCCTCCCATTATAACAATCCCAGAACAATCTAAACCTCTGCACACAAGATGCAGATGGCATCTACTTCTTCCGCTATCGGCCCTGTGTCAACCATTCCTTCCGTCTTCGAGACCGTGCAAGGCTACAAAGTCCCCGTCTTCTTTTCGCGCTACCCCGCCGGCATCAGCATTGCCGCTCAAGAAGTCGAAGATGCCCTCAGAAAGATTGACGAGGAAGCTTCTGAGGAAGGCACAAGGGAAAGGCGTCGAGCACTAATCCGACACACCAACCCCTACGGAGACCCCTTCACCATTTGCCACTGCTCAGCCTTTCCAGACAGACTAGCTTTGTTGTCCTGCCTGGTCGAGGTGATGTGGATTCATGATGGTAAGACACCAATGTGCTCAACATAGATTTAGTATGCTAACGACGAAACTATCTACAGACGTGACAGAGGAGATGGATCATGCCTCTGTAAGAGTGCTAGAAGTTTGTACAAGAATGACCATCTGACAGTCTATAGGCATGCCGAGAGCATGATGAGCTGGCAAAGGTCCTTCAACTTGACATTGATCCATCAATGTTTGAGTCAGGAAATGTGCGACAAAAGTCACTGGCAGTCGTACTTCGAAAGGCAATTGACATTGATCCTGAGCAAGCTCCTGCTATGATCGAGATGCTGAGGAACTACCTGGCAACATTCGATAATATCGGTGGTGACTTTACGCGAATGGAGGAGTATATGCCCTACCGGATCGCCAACTGCGGCTATTGGTAAGTTCTCTACTCTACCTAAAGAGTTTTCACGGTAAAAATCTGACGATTATCAACAAGGATGTCCTCTTACTTCATCCGCTGGGGAATGAATATGACTCTCAGTGAGGAGGATTACGCCAGTATCGAGCAGTTCGACATTGCAATGGGGAATGTTCTCGGTCTGACCAATGACTACTTCAGTTGGAATATTGAAAAAGACCAAGAGACAGATCGAATGAGAAACGGAGTGGTGGTTCTGATGAAGGAGCATAACACCACAGCGGATGCGGCAAAGATGATGCTTCTCGGTGTTATCGTCGAACAAGAGTCTCTGGCTGCAAAGCTCAAGGAGGAAAGATTGAAGAAACCCGCTTCAAAGGAGATTTTGCAATACTTCGAGGCTATTGAGCTTTATGTTGGTGGAAGCTGCTATTGGCACTCGACTGCGCCTCGGTATCAGGTCTTTGAATGAATGTAAATAAATACACCCAGTGCAACTGTGGAGAGATGTCAAGCTTGGTAGACAGATGAATACAAAGGGTGTAAAAAGTCAAGCGGACTCAGACTTGAAATAGAAGAACTTTCTATCTCCGATGGCTCTTCAACGACTAGACTAATTGTACAAGAATCTACGTCGAATGTAAAGATGCCTAAAAGTAATCGTTGGCTGAGAATGAATCCGGGTTAATATACATTGAACGACGAAAAGGACGCTGCGTCGAAACAAACTAAACAAAAAGCCTCCTCGTAGTAATATCCGTAAGTTTCAAATCCATATTCCCTCGAGAGGATTGGGGATAAAGAATTCACAGCCCAGGTGGGCTGCTTCACCATGATCCTGGAGCTCCCTCAATATCTGATCTGCAGGGTGAGGCCCATCAGTAAGATTCTCCTTGATGTGAATAATGTAGATCTTTAATCCTTCCAGAGGAAGAGTAGTATCCTCAGAGTCTTGATTCGCCAGGACATCTCCGAGGTCCACTCTGGGTATCTGAGGAATCTCGAATGAGTCGCTCGGATGCGATCGAGGCTCAACAAGCGACTCGGGCGTCCTCCCTTTATCGGCAGACGAGCTTATAGTCCGTCTCGACGACCGAGGGCTGACTTGCTCGCTGCCGACCTCGACCGGGCCTACGGGTTCACGCTTGCGCTTTTTCTCGCCCATGTTCGAATCCCGCACTTCCATGACTCTGTTGGCTAGCGCGCTGAGCTCGGAGACTAGATGCCGTGGACACATGTGGCCGTACAGATATGAGTCGTCGGTGCTGTCATTGTAGGAACATTCGATGAAGATCGCTCGTAGTTTCCCTGTGGCGATTTTCGGTGCCGCGGCTTCCCAAACTCGTTTGTTGTGGGTTCCCATGGAGACTGAGTCGGGCTCGACGTCACCGAAGACGATGATCTCATGGCCGGTGTGATGATCGCGCAGGAAAAATGCGGAGCTCTCGACTGTTGCCATTGCTGGCTCTTTGGGATTGGATGGGAGTAGACGTGGGGAGCGAGCGGGGGAATAGAAACTGGCAATGGTTAAGAAAGATTCGTCTAAAGTTTATGAATGTTGACTTACCTGCCATCGGTATGGTCCACTGAAATCGCCCTTGAAGGAACCATAAATTGGTGATCCGAAAAGACAGTACTCCCGATTCGATGATGCATCCCGCTTTCTGGATGGTATCGCTGCATGCACCGGCCATGGCTAACACTCAAGCATTTTGTCAATAGGCCATTGCAAGCCCTGACATAGCCTCTACTGTCTCCACGACCGAAACGAGGGTTTCCGCCTTCTACCAAGCGCTGATATGTGAGCAGACCAGCGCCGCCATCCTCGTCTGACAAATTAGGCCAGATGACATCATTGAACATGTGGTTCTTGATAGCGGATAGCACAGATGGTAAAGCAGCCACAGGTTTTGGTCCATTACCCGCCTCCAGAATCGGAGTGTTAATGGCCAGCCCTGAGATATGGTCTAGATGAGGGTGTGTGATAAGAACAGCACCGATGATTTCGCGGAATACATGAGCTGCATTTGCCTGTGCTGTTCTGTAGGGCAGCTCAAGCCCCTGAAAAGGCCCACCTGTCATCATCCCCCGATCATCCTTGCATTCGGGGATGTATCGTTCTAGCAATCGAATGATGCCTGCGAGAAGGGTACCCGCATCAACGGCTACCACCGAGTTTGAAGACCACTTCGTTGACGTTGACCGGACAAGAATGCCTGTGACGCTATCTTCGCGAGGTCCACCAGTCGGGCCCTAAGGGAGTCAGCATCCAGCAAAGTAGGAGTTGCAGGGTTCCATCTGTTAGAACCCGCCATCAGGCAAGTTGAGAAAACAATATTCAATCGCCAAGATATCTATCAAACCTCGACACATGGCCCTGCACGTGACGGGTTCTGCAACAGACAAGAAACAAATCAACGGGTCCTGACTTACCAAGACAATGACGTGGAATGCTGCTTTCTCATCCATTGTTTCACTTGTCTCGCTCATCGTGGACATGTGAGACACGAACTATAAGCTAGTCTTGTCACAGCCCAAGAGCGAGTGAAGCTGCCCGAGCGCGCCTAATCCCCAATAGTAGGCGGGTCTCAACAACAGGATGTTTCACGAAGGCTCAAATGGATTATTTGATGGTCAAATGGGGAATATGAGAGGCGGTTAAAAAAGACTGAAAAAAAAAATTTAGAAATTACGTCGCGTGGCGATAGTCGCGCACCACGAGTTGCGATTCGGGCTGCTCAAAGATATGTGTCCAGAACTAACAGCCCTTCCCTTTGCATATCGCGTGTTATACACAGAGTAGCCGCTAGGAAGCAGAGGTGTCATTCCTCGATAGTGGAGGGAGATAGAGACACGCGCGAAGCGACAGAAATCCGGAGGCTGGGTCGGCAGAATGCAGATAAGGGAATTCCGATTTCGTGGGGTCCACGGGTATGTTTCCCCAGCTCGTATCACAATGGGGCGCGCCTTGTGCGTAGGACACTACTGCAAGAAAACTGCAGTGCCGATTGGAGGGTAGTTGTTTCAGAGAGCAAACCTTGGAGAGAGGTTGGATCGGAGACACCGGGAGTGGACCAGGTGGACTGAAGTGGGGTATGATCGCAACGGAGCCACGGATACGGAATGAAGATCTGGGGTCTAGTGAGATATCAGATTATCAGATCGAGGGAAATTTGATGACTTTGAAGGTGTAGCATCAGATCTTGGGAGTTGCTAGTTTTATCGCCGATGACGTCCACACTACGACCTCCATAATCCACATACACAACAAATTCAAATGTCCTACGAGATAGTGAAACATACATATTTTTATAATCGAACATGTCAAGTTGTGTAGTTGATCGGCATATGACCTGTCAATAGATCTGCCTAGTTTCAAATAGATGTACAGATTTAACATAAAGAGGGGATGCGGTCAAAAAGGGCAAGGATAGCAAAACGATTGTGCCCCCTTATACATGAATTCATTGAATGACTCCCCAAGGGTAAGGGACAATAGGGACACAAAGTCCATTCCAGTCCAGAAAGCATCTCACAAAACCAAGAATCTGCCTTCGCCGACTGCTATAACGCCTTCCGTAAGCCCGCTAAATAAAACAACAAAGAAATGATCAGACAAAGCCTCTCATGCGCCACGAGGTATGTTCAAAAGCAAAGGGGGAATAGATATTGCATCAGGACCGATCGTTGGCCTCTGAGTTGTGTTCATTCAAGTCTCTCTCCACAACGGTTTGGTAGCTTGGTAGAAATTGACCACCAGAATCCATGGAGTCATTTGATGGGGAGTTGGGATCCTCAGAAGCCCTAAAACGAGGTGGACAATCAAGAGAGGCATCGCTGCTCCTGCGACTGCCGTCGGGACTAGAATAGTCTGGGGGCGGAGCCTCTGGCTCTTGATTATCAGGAGCCGCCGCATAATTGCCCTCGTGATCGGCCAAAGCAAAACGGCTGTACCCCTCACCACCATCTTCATGAGAAGGAATGTGAGTCAGCTGAGCGAGGGAAATGTCAGTTGGTGATCGAGACGGACCTGGGCTTGGCGCCGGAGGGATCCTAACACTTGAGCCTGAGGCCGCGTAGTTTGCATTTTGGTAAACGCGCTGGGAGATTTGAGCCGCACTCTCGCGGCCTGACTCAAGTAGAATGCTGCCTTGCTCACTGCCATAGGGCGGGGGCGGGGCGAGGCTGCCAGTCATGGGGGCCAAGCCCCATTTTTTGACATTGCCTTCGATGAACACGAATCCCATTTGGCCAAAGTTCACGTGGATAGTGCAAGGACCGTTAGCGCCGATGGTGGGGAAGAGGTTTTGTGAGCGATAGTTATGAGCCACGTCCTCCAATTTCTTGCCGTTGCGTGTGAAGAAGACGGTGCCAGATCGAGGTCGGTAGCCTACACCGACAACATCGCCCTGGAGTAGTGGAGGCCCGTATGGGGTGGGATTAAATGGTTGGTTGAGTCTGCGATGTCCCGTGGATTGGTAGGCAGCAGAGGTTTTATGGAAGCCTAGCGGTTGTTAGCGGGAATTCCTCGGTATAAGCACTTCTGTTGCAACACATACCGGGCATTCGGAACAGGGGGTATGGTTTCGTAGTAACACCGATGCCGATCATGGTCGAGTCAGGCTTGTCGTATATCTTTGCCTCCCAGTAGTAGACATCATTCTGCTTGGGGATTGGCAGGTTGGTCTGTACACTGCACTCCGAGTCAAAGAACTCGATCTCTGTTCGTCCTTCCACAAAGCAGTTTGCAATTTCCAGCTCTGGCTGGAATTCCCAGGCGGATACACCTTTTTCTTGGATCGCGAGGAACTGTGATAGGGAGATGTCGGTTTGCACGGACTCGGGAGGGTTTCCTTGGACAAAAGCTGCAGAGCATCAGTAAAATGATCAAAGCGACTCGCATGCAGATTTATTTCCAGTCTTACCTTTTGCTCGCAAATATTCCGATCGCGCCAAGTCATCCATTGACTCTAGAGCTGCCTCTTCCTCGCGCAAAAATGCTTGCTCGTCGTCGTATTCACCGGGCCTGCCAATGCGATCAAGCATAATCCGCCCCCGGTGGGTATATTTGAAAAAGAAAAAGATCGCTAGAACAACAAATGCGACGGCAGCCGAGCCAAACGCGGACAAGATCCCAATCAAGATGCCTTTTCCGGTTGACCCGGTCGAGTTGCCACTGGCCAAGATAGGCTCCGGACGGAACTCCATCGACAAAGAGGAGAGAACATTTTGTAGATTCGCTTGGATTTGTTGCTGCGAAAGTAATGGATCGCTTTGTATGGGTGTTGGTATTGGTAATGTTGAGGAAACAAAGCCAATCGGTGACGTCGTCGGATTGCCTATCACCGTGCTCAGGGTTGATGGCAGGCCTGCGAGCGCATCGGGGCTCGAAGCCTCAGGACCCTGCATCGTTCATGTGTCGAGTGAGAATACAAAGAAAGAGAAAAAAGTCAAGAGGAGTCGGGGAATATTGGGTTGGGGTGTAAAGAGGAGGTGAGAGAGAGAGATATAAGTGGGCGCGGATCAAGTGGGCGGGTTATCTAAGACGTTTTCGGCCCTGGCCTAGCTGTACTAACAATGCAAGGCAATGTAGAGTTGGTTCCTGGATTTGAAGTTCCTGGATCCTGGAATATTGATAGAAACTAATGTCTTTTTGGAAATAAAAAATTGACTTTTCATTTTGGTTAAGCAGAAATAGCTATAATATACCTACATACCTATGTGGGTAGCAGTGTCACACACCTGGGGCTGATATGGTCTATCTATCCCTGGTCAGGATAAGCCCTTCTCTCATCTTCCCCTCTCTCCTAGCTCCTTACCTGAGATCCCTCTTCTCCCCTCTCTTTGTTTAAGTTTCTTTACTTGAAAGAGACAATGCGTGCAAATAAAGGTGCCCAGGGGTCTATGGCTCAGGACGTCATGATCAATCCCCTTGACTCCTATAATATCCGCGTGGTGACACCTACCTCCTGCGATAAATACCCAGGTCAGTACACTTCTCCCTAGAGTGATTATCGCAAGGTCGGAATGCCTTCAGGTGCCCTCTGCCCTCCTTTGCCCTCCTGTTTGCTACTCCACCTGAACCCCCGACCGGTGATCGCGCGAGACTCGAGCTGACCTGACCGCCCTCACTAGCCAAGCACCATGCGCGTAACGTGGCCCGGAAGCTTGGAGCTTCAAGTGGCTTGATATTCCTCTCTGGACAGCCGACAATTAATCTGCGCGATTCCGATCAATCGCGCCCATTCCGACAACGACGATACTTTTACTACCTGAGTGGAGTCGACGAGCCCGACTGCTCTCTGACGTACGATATTGAACAAGACCTGTTAACTCTTTATGTCCCGGATTTCGACCTCCACCGTGCTATTTGGATGGGACCGACCCTCTCACGGGAGGACGCACAAGACCGATATGATGTGGACCATGTGCGGTATCACGCCTCGCTCAAATATGAGCTGCAGGTGTGGCTGGACGAGCGAAAGCAAGGTAGCGAGCTGTACCTAATCCATGACTCAGAGAAGCCCGATCATCTACCAAAAGACCTGGCTGTGGACCTGGAACAGCTTGGGCCTGCTATGGACACAGCCCGAGGCGTCAAAGACGAATATGAAATCCGGATGATCCGCCAGGCCAACAAAGTCTCGGGGCTTGCCCATCGGAGAATCCTAGAGAGTATCCAGACTATGTCCAACGAGTCGCAGATTGAGGGATCTTTTTTGAACACCTGCATCTCGCACGGCGCTCGGAACCAGGCATACCAGATTATCGCAGCATCGGGGCCCAACGCGGCTGTCCTGCACTACGACCGAAATAACGAAACTCTCCATAAGAAACCCCTCGTCTGTCTCGATGCTGGCGCAGAGTGGAACTGCTATGCAAGTGACGTAACGCGGACCTTCCCACTTACCGGCGAGTGGCCTAGCGACTACGTACGGGATATCTATAAGCTGGTAGAGCGCATGCAAGAGGAGTGCATCCGGCTGATCCGGAAAGGGGCACGCTATCTATCTCTACACGATCTAGCCCATGACATCGCGATCGAGGGTCTCCTGGCTCTGGGTGTGTTCAAGAATGGCACTAATCTCGAGATCCGTCAATCTGGCGCATCCAAAGTCTTCTTCCCACACGGTCTTGGTCATCATGTCGGCCTTGAAGTCCACGATGTGTCGGAGCGGTCAATCATGGCTCTTCACCGGGGTTTCGATCAGCTCCAGTATCACCCGATCTTGAACTCTGCCTGTCTTTCGCCGTGCACTCTTTCCGCTCCGCTGCTGGAAGAGGGAATGGTTGTGACGGTTGAGCCAGGGCTCTATTTCTCTCGTCTGGCTATGACCAACGCGCGCCACCAGCCGTACGCTCGGTACATTGATTTCGACGTTGCCGAAAAATACGTTCATATTGGTGGAGTGCGCATTGAAGATGATATTCTCGTGACTGCTACTGGGTATGAGAATCTCACCACTGCACCAAAGGGCGAGGAAATGCTTGCCATCATTAGAGGATCTGCATAGTGTAGAATTTAGTACGATAAATAGCGGCATGCGGGAGATACTATCCGTTGATATCAGATTTTGCAGTATAGTAACAGTCTAGATCCCTTTACGTTAGACGGGGACACTTGAGGACTACATAGAATGTGACCAGCCAAGGAGTTGCGAAGTACATCGTTTCGACGGGAAGTCAGTACTCATTCGAGTCTCACAGCCAAAGAATAACTAAATATCCTTTGGAGTCGGCCACGGAGACTACAAGTTCTTCCAAGGATGCTCTTCTCTTGGACTGTATCTCACTAATGTCATTGACCATCTGTAGTATGCCTGGATTTCCCGACTTTCATTAGGCCTTTGGTATCCCGTTCTCCTGGAAGCTACAGACTGGTCCATAGACAGCATTTGAATCATTATAAGAGACCTACCAATTAAGTAGAGATATATACAGTCTCTTGATATGAATCGCAAATGTCTTTGTCTATGTATGTATTGAAGTAAAAGAACGAGCCACTTCAAACCGGTCTATAAGGGAAACGCTCGTAAAAATACTCCGTAATTATTCCATGACTGCAACCAAAGCTGGAAAACAAAAAGTGAAGGAATCGTGTGTGCCATCCCATGCAGGTCATCGGTTTTGATTCGCCCTTCGTTTATTCTCATAGGGGTTTGCGTATATCGAGCTGGTGCAGTACTCGGTGGTGTTCCTTCTTCAAGGCTCTGAACTCGTCGTCTAACTGATGGTGCCATGGGTATAAGACGAAGACTTGAAATGCCAACGCTGAGGAGGCAACTCCAAAATTGATGAGCGAGATTCCGCGTGTGATCCACATGGCGAGCAGACTGTTTGGTTAGTGACTGGGCTGAAAATGAGTGAATAACAGACTCACTGTGAACCGAGGAAAGAGAATGTTGTTATTATTGTTAGATGATGGGTATAAAGCACCTAGGATGAGCTATAAGATGTAAAACAGATGAGGCCTTGAAGGAAATATAAGTAAAAGGGGGCGAAGGTCGAATCTTCTTGGAATTCAACTTACATGTCGACCTACCTAGGTATAAACACATTTCAATTTCGGCAGGAAATCCGATCAGTGGACCTGCCCAGGTGCGAATCAATGCCGAATATGGTTAGAGGGGAGAAAAGTGGGGACATGTCATTGCGGCAGAAAGTTTCACCGACCCAAATCCTTATCTCTCGGAGATTGATCGTATCAGTCGGATCCGAAGAGATAACAATGGATGTTAACAGATCAAACTTGCAAGTCAACTGTGTTTGTGACTACAAAGCAATTGATCATAGGGAGTGAGTGATTTTATCCTACTCCTTCTCACAAGGAATACTACTAACAACAGTCTTCATAGATCAGCCTGCTCCCAGCCTCCAGACACCGCCCAAGTTGCAGACCCAAGTACATCCAAACAATGGAATCCAACCACGAACAGAGTACATCGCAGCAGCTATTAAGTTGGGTAAGGGAACAGAAATACAAGCTAGCTGGTGCCACTTTTGCTGCCAGCATGGTCGGTTCCTTTATTCTGGTTGGTCGCAACCCGTACCTGACAAGCAAACAAAAGATTGTTCAGGCTCGTGTGTATGCACAGGGTCTAACGCTGGCTGTCATTGTTTCATTGGCTGCACTTGACATGTCAGACCGACGAAAGCCATATATCGCTCAGCGAAAGGAAGCTGTCAAGCTGTCTGATTCAGAGAACTAAGGCCAGAAACCTTCAAGAGAGCCATCATTGGACTGGGACGGAAAAATATAGAGATTTCAATATGTATTGTACATTACAGCTTATTATATTATAGAGCAGTTGGGGTATATGTTATTGCTAGCAATTGAAAGGTTGAACACTACATAGTACTTGGCGACTCTCGATGTGACAGGAAGTTAGCAAACGCGTCTAATGTAGCCATTTTCGGCAGCCGATTTACTGTCAATTAGCCTTGTGGTGCCATAATGCAATAACCCAGATGGAAGATGCAGGCCTAACAAACCAGTCATAATCAACTCCGAGAATGCGATGCGTAGTTGTCCTCGATACTCAATATTAAGCTTTGCCTCCCGCTTTTGATTTGTGTTGCTTGATTACATCTAAGACGAAGACATCTGCCTAGTGGCACCGTCGTTATTTTATTTCCTCAGACTGAGGTCTCTAGAACCCTCAGATATCACCATCCATGGCTTCGGCCGGGGTTGCTAACTCCGGAAGGACGTGGGAATCCTATGACCGGGCGAATTATATTCACAGGTATGACTGGGGCTACATTTGTAAGAAATGAGCTAATAATGCTTCGAAGAAGGATGAACGCTTTAAGATTCAAACGAACATGTGAGAAGTGAGCTCTGGTTTAAATATTTGCATGTGTCAAGGATCAGAAGAGAAAGTTTCGGTACTCCAGCCTATATAAATAATCTACTAAAATATCTCCGAGATATCGTTCGGTCCCCTCTTTTTCTTGACTACTCGCTTAGCAGGACGAGGCCTCATACTATGTTAATTATTCAGTCTCGTTATGGATAACTTTCAGCATGTTTTTAACAATCTTCTGCTCCTGTTTACCTCCCCAAGTATACGAAGCAGCCCTGTCCTTTGCTTTTTCAGTCCATCGATCGCGAGGGATGAAGGACCTGTGTAATCAGAAAGGGTAATCACTACAAGTTTTCACTGGGCCTCTCACAGTTTGCCACCTTGGCTTGCAAGGTATACCTGATGGGGAAGTTGCAAAACATCCTCCTTGCTGAGTGGCTCAGTGACATCCAAATCAAGAATAAACCATCTTTTAAGAGGTTTTGGCGAGTCGAAGTCAGCGGGAAGATGGATGTGGTCGTAGCCCGCCGGGTGAAGTGTAGGATTAAATGCACGATTTAAGATAAGTTCACAGAAATCTTTCCCAATTTTGACATGACGCCGTTGGGGGAAACCATCTATATCAGTAACGCAAGCGTAAATGACTGTCCTGGTGGTATGAGAGTCCATATCGACAGCAAATAATAACAAAGCCAGAAGCGCTGTTTTGAATGAATGTTGCGTCTCGAATGAATTGATCAAGAGATTGAGTGGTCAAGCGCCTCGGCTGTTGTTACACAGTAAGGTGGTGTGTCCTTGATAAGGGGGAAGATGGCCACTTCAGACTAAACAAGGAGCTAGGTAGCTAGTGATGGGATGAGGGGTCAGATGCCCAGTGGCTAGTGGGTTGCTCTGGCTAGTTGAGTGTGGCTAGCTGCACCCTCCAGCTAGTCGTGGAGACAGTTGTGGAATAATAAACAAGTTAGAAAGTCAAATCCTGTGAAGACAGAGCCCTCAAGGGTTCACGGAGAAGGGATTTTTGCTGTAATAAATGCATATTATATAGCCATATCGCAATGGACAGCTATAGTTAAGGCGACGCTGAAGATAGTGGTAAGGTCAGAGCTTCCATCTTCTGCTAACCAGCACCCGCCTGATGCCTCTTTCTTTTTGTGTCCGCGGTATAGGTTCCGGTCGACATATCCACCCATATCGCAGGCAGAGAATATCTGTAAAAGTCGGGAATGGCACTCTAGGTATTCCTTGTTCGGCAGTTGTAGGCCATCGTAACTGGGCGCCTGCTTGAAGGTGATTTCAGGGCCGGGAAACACTTAAAATGGACTAAACAATCCCACAAGCTTCCACATAAGAGCTGGAATTAGGTGAGGGTTCACTGATGGAGGTCCAATCAACCAACCTTAACAAAGTGGTGATCTTCAGGCTTCAACTTCAGGCTTTGTGACCATCAACCCTCGATTCTCACTTTCTGGTGGGACCGATTGCATTGGAAAACAACTCTATGATATTTGGATAGCGCTTCAAGACAGATGCAGCAGATTGATAATCTCCGCATGCTGCTGTTGTCGTGCCGAGCGGGACGTAGTCTGCCATATATTCAATGAACCAATCGGCAGTCGTCTCCAATGGGGAGGTTGCAGTTTGATAAGGATGTGATGGAATAACTAATGTGGGCTTAAAATCAACAAAAGCACTGTTCCATGAAGAGGGCAACATCTAAATCCTCGCTTCAAATGTGGAGGGAAAGAGCGACCGCTTATGGCGTCACGGAGTAGAGACACTGCATCACAGCCTCAAGGCCGTGCCTAGGATTAGCCTGACGCCTGTGGACAAGCTTTGGGAGGTTTTGACGTATGCGATATCTGTATATGATCAGTGTCGATCCATGGCATCTTGGTATACTTGACTCACCAGTCGATGGAATTGCCAACATTTTCCAGATAAAGGAGTTGTTTGCTGCAAATGGCCAGAAAACACCACATTAAATGTGCATGGAGGGTAGGAATGCTTTTAAATTCGCAAAACAAAGCTGAAACAGGTAGATGAACAGTATACATCCCTTGATGTAACCGTGAATAAGCGACGCCGATGATTGGATTTATGTCATCGGGGCCGATGTCGGAGTTGGTGGGGTTGAACTTGAAATTCACCCGCCTTTATATTCTGAAGCTCCCGACCTGGATAATTGAGTCAATCATTTCTCTTCATATTACTACATAATGTCTTCCTTCAACATCGTCGTCTTTGGTGGTGACCACTGCGGTCCTGAGGTATGTCCTTGAGAGCTCTGGTCGCGAAATTGAATACAGAACTGACAATTAGAGAATAGGTGACCGCTGAGGCTGTCAAGGTAATATTGCAAGCTGGCATTGCGCGAAATAGACGTACTGATTCAATCGCAGATCCTCCGCGTCATTGAGAAGTCCCGTGGTGTTACTTTCAACCTGCAGGATCACCTGCTCGGTGGTGTGAGTATACTCCACCCACGCGACGAAAGCTAAATGGCTAACAATTATAGGCCTCTATTGATGCTACCGGTTCGCCCTTGACCGACGAGGCCCTGAACGCCGCCAAGAACGCCGATGCTGTTCTCCTCGGTGCCATTGGAGGTCCCGTACGTCTACACTTCCCACCCCTCCATTCCCTCCCTCCCCGCACAAACACAAAACACAGAGAACAAGCCTACTCACACATTGCGTCCGACAGAAATGGGGAACCGGCGCCGTGCGCCCAGAACAGGGTATTCTCAAGCTGCGCAAGGAGATGGGCACATTCGGCAACCTGCGCCCCTGCAACTTCGCGGCGCCCTCGCTGGTCGAGAGCTCGCCGCTCAAGGCTGAGATCTGCCGCGGAGTCGACTTCAACATCATCCGTGAGCTGACGGGCGGTATCTACTTCGGCGAGCGCACGGAGGACGATGGTTCCGGATACGCCATGGACACTGAGCCCTACTCGCGCCACGAGATCGAGCGTATCATCCGTCTCGCCGCCAACCTCGCTCTGCAGCACAACCCGCCCCTGCCCGTGTGGAGCTTGGACAAGGCCAATGTCCTCGCTACCAGCCGTCTGTGGCGTAAGGTCGTCACGGAGATTATGGAGAAGGAGTACCCCCAGCTCACCATTGGTCACCACCTCATTGACTCAGCTGCTATGCTCATGATTAAGGACCCCCGTAAGCTGAACGGTATTGTTGTTACTAGCAACTTGTTCGGTGATATCATTAGCGACGAGGCTAGTGTCATCCCCGGTTCTCTGGGTCTGCTTCCCAGTGCCAGTTTGAGCGGTATTCCTGATGGCAAGAGCCGTGTCAACGGTATCTATGAGCCTATTCACGGTATGTGTTCTGTCCTCTTTATTGTTTCTACCAGTCTTGGTTCTGGTCATGGCTAATTGGTACTCACAGGCTCTGCCCCCGATATTGCTGGCAAGGGTATCGTTAACCCAGTCGCTACTATCCTTTCTGTGGCCATGATGATGCAGTACTCCTTCAACATGATCGACGTGGCTCGTGTGATTGAGCAGGCTGTGAGCAACGTCATCGAGGCTGGTGTCCGCACCGGCGACATTGGCGGCACAGCCAAGACTGCCGAGGTCGGCGATGCCGTCGCCGCCGAGCTGGAGAAGCTGCTCAAGTAGATACAAAGCAGCCTCTTCGATGTTTCTATATGAGATATGACTAGCATAGAAAACTAAAAATTTGAATACCCGTTTTAAGATGCAACATGTATTTCACTGGCGTAAAAATGCCTAATGATGTTCACTAGCCCACCCAAACCCACGCAGAAAAAAAGAATTGGAACTGGGTATCATGAAGACATTGAAACTCCGATAATAAAACCTCCGTTGGCATTTTGCAAGCCAAGCAACGCCGGTATTTTTGTTGTTCCTTAAAAAGCTCCTGCTTATCGAATCACTGGCTCACCCATCCAATCCGGCTCGTCTAGACCGGTAGTAGTAAATCCAGTATCAGCATCTTCACTTGCGGTACGTCCCCGAAGATCATGAGCCCCACGTAGGGACGGACGACGGCGCCGAGCGTCAGCAGAAGCCGAGGGAGCAGCAGCCATCCGACGGCGACTATCATCACAAGCAAACACCTGGAATCCACGAACATGAGTATCCTTGCCGTTCTGATGGTTCTCCATAATGCGCATCTGGATAACCATAGCCTTGAGCACATTCCCAGAATAGGGATCATCCTCATCGTCCTGGCTATCAGGCTCATCAATCTCATAAAACGGATCACACTCATCATCATGCTCATGGTCAGGGTCATCACAGTTCCGGTACACAATTGTCCGCCGACGCATACTCGTCGATCGGCGTTTCGACTTCCCAGGGTCGTTGCGCACCCACCCACCGTTTCTACCGCCGACACCCTCCAAAGGCACATCGACCCAGCCGCATGGACCGTCGCCTTCCCAAGTTGCGAACTCGACGAGGTCATTGCCGCCCATCCCGGCTGCGAAAATCATCTTCGTGGGCGTGTAGCTTTCGTCAAGCTCGAAATCGAGATATACGCGGATACGCACGACGGCTACCAGTTTGAAGAAGTGGAGGGTTAAGGTGTGTGGTTGTGGTCCGTCAGATTGCCAGTATTGTGCCGGGGAAGGGTTGCGGAGGGCCGCGACGCCGCAGCCCGGTTTGGAGGTGGAGACGGTCCAGGAAGCGAGCGATGAGATCTCGCGCAAGTTGGGCGGTAAGGGGGAGGGTGATTTTTCTGTAGCGTAAGAATATTAGCTCACAATCTTGAAGCGTAGCCATGAGGAAAGTATGGGAGCGGGAATCAGTACCTCGATCGTGCATCTCTTGGTCGGGGTCCTCTTCGTCATCGAATTGGTCCTCGACTTCTTCCTCCAGTTCTTCGCCATCAATATCGGAGTCATCAAATTGTTCTTCGATGGCCTGATCATCATCGAAGGAATCATCAAAGTCGAGTGGCCCGTCGTTCCCAAGCTCTTGCATGCTGTGCCCGCGCGGGTCGAAATCATCGTCAAAGTCGTCGTCATCCATCATTTGTGGTGGTGGTTGCTCTACCCTTGGTCTTCCAAATATCGTAAAGGGGTTTATTGGTGCCGCAGGATGTCCCGCCACAGCGACTGGGTCGGGTGTAAGAGCATTTGGACCGGTGGAGGGGGGTTGGTGTCGATGGATTGGGTTGGTGGGAGTGTGACGCGTTGGCGGGGTCTGGAATTGTGCCCGGAGGTCTCCTGGAGCATTGGGGTCTTGATTGGGTATTATGTCGCGTGGATTCGGTTGTCGGCGCAAGTGAGGCATGGTTATTCCCATAAGTTGCAGGAGTTGATGTTTACGCGCAAATCGAGGGAAGCTCCATTTCCTTTTGCGGTTAGCGCCATTTGGAAGCTATGAGGGCATTGTTTTGGCAGACAACAGCCTTTACAATTCCACCAAGCATTTGAATATTCCCAAGCAGAAATTCGTTTGTAGCATGTTTTACCATGTTGTAGCCAACCACTGGAATTATAGCATTTGTTGTATCGATGAATGCTTTTATTTACAGTTCGCAGTTTGATCTCTGCTCTTAGTGTCCATGAATTTGTATTGTACGGAATAGTGCTATACATCCATGGATACTACCTAACCATAGAGACAACATGTGAGCTGATATATGCAACAAGCCATTAATAGATCGGAAAGTCACAGTATGCCAATCGCCCACAGACATTCTTCAGTACATCTACCTCTAGTGACGCCTTTAGAGTAGTAAGAAGCTCCCATGAAATCCTCATATATCAGCAGGCATTAACTGGGTTGTTAGCGTGTTATCTACACATGCAGACTATCTACCTAGTTATATAACTCTCTATTAGCTGACAGCCTCTGGTGGCCACTTCTGGAGTTTTCTCCTACCTGCTTTCAATTGACAAGGATAGCGGCCAACTCAATTCCAGTTTTAAAATAGAAGGTCAATTCTGAAATTTAGCCTCGCCTGCCTTGCTTCTGTTATTCTCGCCCTTCCAGCTAGGAGATAAGAGGGGATATAAAAAAAGATGCCTTGAGAATGCACCTGCTTTCTCTCCGATTCTTAGTTCCAACTACATAATGCAGCCATAACCTCCTGAGGTGACATATATATCCCCTTCAGGTAATACTCCTCTAGCAGATCCACGACTAGTCCTAACTAGTACCTTAACACGACAATAGGCTGCATGATCCACTTGACAGCTAACTAGGGATCATAATACGACACGGATTTTGAACCGAAGACCGATCCAACAGTAGTCTCTTATTACAACAAAGTGGTATCCATTATGGCTCGCATTATTCACAGGCGCCAAGTTCCATTCCAACGCGTTCATCACATTGGTTTGTAGCATTTCGTAGTAAAAGCGGCGTATCTAGCAGCAGCACTCGCAGCACTCAAAGCAAGCAATACCAGCGCAGCTGTTGTAAAAATGTCAGCAATCTTCCATATTCTGCTTCGTTGAGTAAGGCTCCGAAGTAACCTTGGAAGACTCACATTCCACAGCAGATATCACCACCTTCACCGCCACCGCGAAGTTCCATCTTCATGCATTCGGGGCTCTAGAGGATCAATTAGTTGTGATCTCAGCAAATAATAATCGGAGAGCATACAGGCTGCTGGGCGACGACGTTGTTGGAAGACATGGCCTCGGCGTTGGGGGGCTGTTCCATGGCCATAGTGGCCGCATTCCAGGTAGGCTCCTGGGTGGGCTTGGACTCGTTGGAAGACTTGAACCAGCTGAACATTTTGGCGGATAATGTATAGGTTTGAAAAAAAAAGAGGGAGATGGATGAAGAAGATATTCAGGAAGAGGGGAAAGGTGAAAGATAAAGGGGAAGGTAAATAAGCCGGGATCAGCCATGTGTTTCTATTATTGAAATGAAAGGTACCTTGGTACATAGTATGTACTACGTAGTATTAAAACTCTTTTTCGGTACGTACTGGGCAGTCCACCAGCAGCCACCACACAGGCAGCCATATTATGGGCCTGTGGGGCTGAGGTCGGCACGAGAGGTATTGGCGGCTTATGGGTTGGCTTCCTTCAACAAGAGAGGCTATGATTAGCAGAATTAATTAAAAAGTCTCACTTCGGTGGCTTGCTCATTGTGCGTTGTTTTTTAATTTAATATGTACATAGGTACATGGATAGAAACATAAAAGCCAGGAAGTCCACGTGAAATCGAACCTAGGAATGGAGACACCAAGCTTTTAGTCAAGCTTTGCGAGATCTTGGCGCGTTTTCCCTTTCAGCCCTATTGTTTTATGACGTCTTCGCGTCGATATAGAGTATGTTTAATATTATGAATAATTATAAAATTAACGCCTTCATTTTCACGAGCCTATTATATTCCAAAACCTAACCGAATTTTATCGAACTCAAAAACACAGAGACTCGAGCATAAACGTACATAACCGAAAACCAAACAATCACCCTCACTTCAAAATAGAATCAACAGTCCCATGCAAACTCTCAGGTGCATCATATTTATCCATGTACAACTCAACAAGGCGTAAAGGGGGCGGATTCTTGTCGTCATAATGATCGGCGGGGCCAAACGACGGGTCATCGAGCAGCATATTCAGTTCAGCCCTAGTGCGAACAGCGTAAGTGCGAGCAGTGTTCGGAGCGGCCTGGAAGACAGCCGGTAAAAGCTTATAGTCCCATGGCTGGATATCATTATACTCCTCATCCATGCCATGGACCAAGCGTTCTATCGTATAGCCCTCGTTGCAGACAACGAACATGATAATGCCCAGTTTGTAGCGGACCATGGTGCTCACTTCTTGTGCGGTCATTTGGAGGCTACCGTCGCCCGTGAAGCAGATGGTCCGTCGGCGCTGAGCACCCTGGGACTGTTTCTCGTCTTCCCGCGCCGCGATGGCCGCCCCCACTGCTGCGCCGACGGCATATCCAATCGAAGACCAAAGGAACTGCACTAGTGGAACTGCTCCGCGCGGGTATCGTGACCATAATGTGCCAAAGGCCGAAGTTCCGAGGTCTGCGGATATGATATCATCTTCTTCGAGCCAGGAAGACATTCGCTGCCAGATCCAGTCTTGGGTTAAAGGTTGAGACTTGTCAGCAAAGTTACCCTCGAAATCCATAAACTCATCGCCGTCCACACTTTGCTTGGGCGAGTTTGAGGAAGGTGAGACTGTCCTGTGTATATCGGGTGTAGCACTAAGCCTGTGAGGGGATGTGGAGGCCGTGGAGACAGATCCTGATCGTTCTTTATCAAGGACATTGCTGAGCCTTTCGAGCACACCATTCATGCCGAGCCCTAGAATCCCATAAAATTGCATTTGGATTCTGTCACGTTCGAATTTGATGGTTTCGATGTGAGGTAAATCAGTCTTGAACCCGGCTGAGTTTAAGTCTGTTGGACGCGGCCCAACCTCTAGGATTAAATCGGAGGATTGGACCTGCTCAAAAACGGTAGGTTCCGAGACCTTTCCTGCGTACAAACCGCGAAAGTTTATCAAGCTCTCGTCGATGATGCCCTTGGCCATTGGCGTAATGAAGCAAGGGAATCCTGAGCTTTGTACGAATAACCTCGTTGTATTCAGGCTTTGCAGTTTTCCAGCCAGGCTATCGACAATGATTACCGGATTTTGAGCTGCTCTAATACGGCCGAGAATCAGATCCACAGCATATCCCTCATCCGCTATCGGATTGGGGCTAGGTTCTTCGAATCCCAGGGGATATTCAAGCGGAGATGGATCTACCTCTGCCTGGACAAGGTCCATTGGGAAGCCAATGTAGACAGGCTTGCTGGAACGGCAGCACTCGAGAATTGTCTCATCAATGAGCTTAGTCGCATATGACTTGTCTTTGAGAATGACAACGGCGCTTGAGATTTGAGCACTCATTTTGGCAAATCGCCCAAAGTCGCCATCTCCCAAAGTGTGGTGCACCGCGAGTCGCTTTTCCTGGACAGCTGTTGAGGGATATCCGACAATGTGGATGACTGGTACATGCTCGGCACATGAGCCTGCTAAGGCATTGATGGCTGACAGCTCCCCAACACCTAATGTAGTCATGACTACCCCTATTCCTTTGATGCGGGCATAACCATCCGCGGCATAGCCTATATGTATAAAATAATGAGACTCGTATGCTTCGGTCAAAGTGGAAAGTATGCCTATCTACTTACCACCGTTGAGCTCGTTCACATTACCGACCCAGTTGAGACCACATGGAGCAATGTAGTCGAGGCAGTTTAGACTGTAATCACCGGGGACTCCAAAGATGGATCGGACTCCAAGTTCGTGAATGCGGCGGAAAAGATACTACAATATAAGTAAATGTATTAGCCATATACAATAAATCGGGTTCGCATATTATTTTTATACCTCAGCAAGATGCATAGTGGCGTCGAAAATTTCCGAAAGAGTTCCGATATAAACTCCTACCGCTCGTTCGAAGTGGAATGTAAAACTCTTTTAGAATGTAGAATATTTTCCAGTGATGTTCGGTCCAAGGCTTTCTTTTATCGCATCCCCATCAACCACACCTAAGACACATTGCGCCATCATGATTCTGCTTCAGGTTGATCTATCTCCCGACCATTAAATGTGTCTTCTTCGCCTCTGAAATAGTAGAACACCTATTTGCAATAATTCATTATGCTCATTGGAGCTATGAAATGCACATCACACCCAAAGCGTGCCAAAATATTACTTGAAAGAGTGTCACACGCAAGATCTGCATAGCTGTACTACCCCATCGAACCAACATCGAGACCAAAACGTTCCTATGCCACAAATTTTAATTTAGATACATGTTTTAAAAACACACGGTTTGTCATATTTATTATCTTCTTCATTTGGAGTCGTGCTCGCATGTTCTAGCAGCATGGTATGACCATGAGTGAAACCCACCAGACCATATTCAGCATGTTGCACAATCTCCTGAGTATCGCGCGAATAAAATACCTGGATATCAAGGGGTATGATTGAGGGTATGCTTGAGGGTACCTAGGTACGCGTCCAAAGATTCTAGGCCACCACCTCAACTCCTAAGGCCGCGAGTAACCGTTGTAACCGAATTTGTGTATCCTGTTGTGTATCAATCATAACCTTGGAACCAATCAATCAAATATTCCAAGGTTATATATGGGAAAAGATTACGCCATGCTGTTGACTGCTCTAGTTTGGTTACGTTATTTATATTATACACTTAACTATGTAACGGCTAGTAGCTGGTTGAAAGAAGTTACTTTTACAGTTACTTTGTAAATCTTATTCTCACTAGATGGGCAACTTCCAAGGGTTTGGAATTAGCTTAACGTAATAGGATTATCAAGCTATGGCGTTCCTGCTCTAGTCCAGGATGGAATCATACCGAATGTTGACTCTAGGTACATCAGATACTCCGTAACTTGTCAGGAGAATTGGCTTAGAGATACAAATCTAGGTAGAAGCTACTATGTAAACATAAATGATGTTAAGCTGGGCCAAGCTCCTGCAAGCCACGTCCCTTCTCAGTCTTCACGACCAGAACACAAAACTCGCCATTCTTCGCTTCGTTCCAAATGGGCTCCCCTCGCGCATCAACAGGAATGTATTTTCGGCCTTCCGAATGCTTAAGCATTTGCCGTTGCATCTTCATAGTCTCCATCTTGTGTTTTGCCTTTCGAGCCTCGACTTCTGCAGGCGTGGGCGGAGGTTGTCGAAATGGAACCGGGTTAACCCCATATCTAGTACCATGATTCAACCTACCTAGGTATCCAAGGAAAATTCTTACTCTGCTTCTAGTTGTCGTCCAATGTCCTCCATACTAACCCCCGCGATCTGAGCCGCAGCCAAATAGTAGTCGAATAAACACTTCATCGGTCATGCGGTCGCCATCCCGAGACGATCCTTCTGCGTTTTCGGACGCCCGGCATTCTTCAGCCTATTGTGTGAAACATCTATCATGCTCATCCCGGAGACGGTCAAGGACCTTGGCACGACCGAGGTCAGGGTTACCGACGGATCTCACGTAGGACTGCGAGGAGGTCATCATTGGTGGGAAGTGAGAGATTATCCATGGTTGGCTTTTCGTAAGGGTCGAAGGAGTCGCGGCTATCTTGCTTTAGTTTTCGGGGGCCTTGTGGGGCCGGCTAGAAGGCTGGACTGCTAGGAACAGCGATGCTTGCTTCGGGTGCTTCAATCCAGTTATAAGAAGCCAAGTGCTTTACATCTGTAATGATTGCTTCTGCTAGATTGGAGGACTCCAGGCCGTGGTGGTAGATCTCCTCGAGCGCCCCAGTGAGTAGGTTGGGGTCTGGTATTTGATAGATGTAGTTCCCTGATACTAGAAGATATGGCAAGATCAGTTTACTTGAGCCTTAAAAGAGGAGCAGAAGCACATACCCAATAAGCCACCGATTCGTGAAGTCAACCCCAGGAGTTGATAGAACACTAGAAAAACGGGAAAATAGAACTACTTGGGCTGCTGCTAGCTATAAGAGAGAAGGAGAGAAAAGCTATACTTACAGGGAAAGAAGGACCTGGAAACGGAAGGAGCTAGCCTCGGGTCACCACTCTAAACAGGAGTATATCCGTGGAAAAAGAAAGTCCATTTTATAGTGTTAATTATTCTGCTCGGCCACTATCACACATAATCATTGGCCCAGGACCACCATAAGTAGTTGGACTGTCCATACAAGCATTGTGAGTCGCCGAATACATGTACGGTGCGAACTACGGGGACACTTCCATTCAAACTGAACTATAAGGTTGGATCTCACGAGACTGTATGTTGGTCTATATGTTAATAGTAATATTACTCGTAGACTGATGCATTATCCCAAAGGCCACTACCTAGGTATTGGCCCTTTCAGCTAGTACCTTAACCTACCTAATAAGTCGCTCTCATTCAACGTTAGCACCTGCACATCGCCACCATGTGAGATATGCTGATACTCGTGCGGCACCATAGGATCTCTCGAGGCTATCGTCTCTTCTGCGAGACATATTATTGATTCATCAGGTGCAGAGGGTGACCAGTGATGATGATTCGGGCACTGTATCAGAGAATAAGGCTGACATCTGGGGGGAGTAATGCAAGGGCTGGGAGAGTGTTGATCCCCCGCCGACGCTAACTAGAGGGCGGTGTTGGGGAAAGATTGACCATGTCCGCGTTTTTACCGCTCAGGGTCAAGGAGCTATTAGATATAGTAACTACATAATAAATTGAAACAGCTCGAGGATAAACTCCATGACACAATGAAGTGAATCTGATATACGAGACATTGAACATCCCCACATCTCCCCACTTTCTTATTTCCTTATATAGTTGTTCAATCAGCTCTCTAATTCTCTCTAGTTTTCTTTGGGATCAGTATGTACAACATAAGGCTTGGCCCTAGATCGTCTCGGCCAACACTGCACCGACAGTGGGTCAACGGGAAGACCACATTGGATACTTTACAAAGAGGGGTTGTTCCATCATTCTTTCAACCCTCAACCACTACACAAAATATACAAGATGTCTATGAGCATTGAAGACTGCGCTCAAACCAGGGAGGGCTTCCCTCGTCCATTCCCGGATACGCCTTCAAATGTTTTGGAGCAGTTTAAAATGAGCGGAAAGGTGGTCGTCGTTACGGGGGCTGCTGATGGGCTTGGCCATGCGATAGCACAGTCTATGGCCGAAGCTGGCGCTCATGTTGCCATGTGGTATAATTCGTGGGTTTTCCTTTATTCGATATCTATCTTATATGTAATCGGTTAACCATTATTCACAGAAATGACGCCGCTATTGAGAAAGCCCAGGTCCTAGCAAAGGAGCATGATATAAAGGCTTCCGCTTACAAGGTCGATGGTAAGCGGACAGTTGGAACCTTGGAAGTTCATGCCCACAAAAAAGAATTACCGAAATGCTAAGCTTTAATCTGCAGTTTCGGACTCCACTCAAGTATCAGAGACGATTACAAAGGTCGTGGCAGATTTCGGCAAGATTGATGTGTTCATTGCCAATGCAGGTTAGCTTCCCGCGGCAAATTTGATGTATGTCAGACAGCTGATTCAGAGAAGGCATGGCGATCTCGAAGCCTATCTTGGAACAGACTCTAGATGAGTACCGGAAGCAGATGTCCGTGAATGGTATGAAATCTGTACAAGTTCGACGAGATAATGGACCGTGGTATTAACCGAGAATTAGTTGACGGCATTGTGTATTGTGCTAAATATGCTGGCGAGGTATTCGCACGGCAGGGCAATGGCAATCTCATCATTACCTCAAGTATGAGCGCACACATTGTCAACGTTCCTACTGACCAGCCTGTCTACAATGCGACCAAAGCGTACGTCACTCACTTTGGAAAATCACTTGCTCGTGAATGGCGGGATTTTGCGCGGGTCAACATCGTCTCGCCAGGCTTCTTCGATACAAAGATGGGAGCTGGCCCGTCCGCCCTCAAGGAGGCATACCGCATGTCGTCATTGGGAAGGCAAGGCCACGTGAAGGAAATCAAGGGATTGTATCTGTACCTCGCCAGTGATGCATCTACCTTTATGACCGGAAGTGATGTACTTATCGACGGGGGATATGTCTTGCCATGAAGGTTGGGACACATTGGATGATAAGATTTAGACGCTCAAATCAAACGAATTTGCAATGAGAAGATCAATCACAACTCGGAGGCAATATGCAATTTATGTTGTTAGATGACGTTACTGTTCCAATAATAATAGAGTTGGCAATGAATATTCCGCTAAAGGGGATTTCAATGTCGGGCAAAAACCTCGAATGAGACACTGGGTGCCCGAAGGCGTTTTGCCCCGCTATGTCAAACCCCGGGGGTCTGTTTTCAGGTACAATTTCGATACCTTCATTTGTTCGGTCGCAATCGAAGCGATAGGTATACTGAGCGCAGTGCACTATGTATAGCAAAGTAGATTGACCAATAGAACCTTATCTCATCCCGGATCAGAGGAACGTGCTCCAGGTTAAGCTGTTTGCCCAACTTGGAAACAAGACCCCTAATTTTGTCGGGCTTCGGGGGATGGGACCGTTTATCCGAGCCAACAACCGGTCATGCCCGGGAGAACAGTGGAGTTGGATGAGTCAACGACTCACAGTGAAGCCCCGGGGTGCAGGGTCGGCGATGGCCGAGCGTACCGGATTGGCACGGTGATCTCAAAAAGGGTACTTTGGCTTCCAATGTCGTTTCACAACTGGGGTTGTCGGACCCGGGCAACATCTTGGCGTGGTCATTCGAATGGGCGTCAAAAGACATCGAAAACCGGCTAATTAGTGACAGGGATGCAGGCTGTCGTCAGCTACACAGGACCTCGGGAATGTCATATCAAATGATATAAGCCACTTTTTTTTAATCAAAAGACGGCAGACGAAGCGGACAAGACGGAGAAAACCTGCTTTTGACTGATTGGCGTCATGTGATTGGCTGGTGTAGCGGCCCGGTTGGAGATTTAATTCCCTCGATACACCCAATAGTAGAGAGAAAGCAAGTATAGTCAGAATAGATATGATGAAATAGAAAGAAGGAACTATCTGTAAATACATATCAAGAGAGAGAGGGAGAGAGAGAGAGAAGGAAAACATTAGAAGACAGAACATTGAATATACCAGAATATACCAGAATACACAATACAAACGGTATTGAAATCGGTTTTCCCCACGTTCTATCACGGCCCGAAGTGACTTCACATTGCGATTTCACCTACCATTTCTGCCCCTCGTTTCTCCTTCTGCCAGATCACCTTTTTCGCTTTCGCTTGTCGTCTTTGCTTTTGCTTGTTTTTCTATCATAGCGCCATCTGGTGCAGCCAAGTCCAAAACGGCATAATTACAGCAATTACACCGGCCATTGGTGTCGGCTCAACTTTCCCGATCGCCCACCTTCATCTCGCCATGGCTGATGAACGAGATTTCGCACCTGGGGCAGTCGCACCTGGGGCAGTCGCGCCTGAAGCCGATGCTCCCTCTCCCAGCGACCCCACGGCTCCTTCCTTTCCCCGACAGACGTCGAGTCCCGTTGTCCTCCCCCCCCGCGAATCTGTGGGAACCGGCTTATCTGCCTCATCCACACACCTGGGTCAGGTCAATGCGGCGCGGCGGGGTGTTGGGACTTCACCACACCCCAAGCCGTCGATGAGCGGACAAGGATCCGGTGGATTAAATCAAGACATTATGGCAAAAATGAAGGCATTCTCGTTATCCCGCCAAGGTGCTCCGCAGCCACATACTGCTGCTTCGACGGGGCATATCCCCACGGCTCAAGGAAGTGGTGCAGGCGGCGCACTTGCTGGCGGCATGCCCCAGAGTGCCGCACGGCCTAACCCTCAAAATTGGTCATCTTCCTCTTCCGTCCCCGCCGCTGGCCCTGGCCCTTTGTCGCCTCGGCCGGGAGGGCTAGCGGCGAAGCGCATGAAGCCGCGTCTCAAGCTATCGGATGTCACTGGTCCGACCACTCCTGCAGCAGGTACAGATAAAAAGCAGGGCGAACAAAATGGGGAGTCTGCCTTCAGCAAATACTCCGAATTCATCGACACGAAAGAGGGCACTCTCAACTTCAAAAATAAAGCCATTCTACACGGAGGTGGTGTCGAATTTTCGTCAGGTCACAGCTTCAAGATCTCACTGGATGAAGTGGATCGATTGGAAGAGTTGGGCAAGGGTAATTACGGAACAGTCTACAAGGTTCGGCACTCTCGTCCGCATCTACGAAAGCCAGGTCAGGGTTTGGGTGGCATTGTCAGCCGTCCTCCAGGCCACGACGAAACGAGTCCAGAATCTGGGTCGAACCAACTCTCAGGCGTGGTCATGGCGATGAAGGAGATTCGCCTGGAATTGGACGAAGCCAAGTTTGCACAAATCATTATGGAGTTGGACATTCTACACCGCTGTATATCTCCATTCATCATCGATTTCTACGGAGCCTTTTTCCAGGAAGGTGCCGTCTATATGTGTGTCGAGTTCATGGATGGCGGCTCGATCGACAAGCTCTACGAAGGCGGTGTTCCCGAGAACATTCTGCGGAAGGTGGCTCTGTCCACCATCATGGGATTGAAATCCCTGAAGGAGGACCACAATATTATTCACCGCGATGTGAAGCCAACCAACGTTCTTGTCAACAGCAAAGGCCAAGTAAAGATCTGCGACTTCGGTGTCAGCGGAAATCTAGTCTCTAGTATTGCGAAGACCAATATCGGTTGTCAGAGTTATATGGCACCTGAACGAATTTCGGGAGGCGGAATGCAACAGTCAGGAGCGCCGAGCGCTGGTACATACAGCGTGCAAAGCGATGTCTGGAGTTTAGGCTTGTCCATCATCGAATGTGCTATGGGCCGATACCCATACCCACCGGAAACATTCAACAACATTTTCAGCCAGTTACACGTGAGTTCTCTGACAACAGTTTTTCCAGGTTAAACATTCTAATCTTCTCCATTTTAGGCTATCGTCCACGGAGATCCCCCAACACTACCCGAAGGATTCTCTGAAGAAGCGCACGCATTCGTCCAGGCCTGTCTCGACAAGAACCCGAAAAATCGACCAACTTACAACATGCTACTCCGACACCCTTGGCTAGCCCCTCTAATGCAGCCACCAACCGAGTCAGGTGGCGACAACGCCCCACTACCCGAGGAGTCCGGCTCCGGCGATGCCGCTTCACCCGCCATCACAGCGGATGAAGAAGTGGCCGAGTGGGTACAAAAACAAATGAAACTTAAAGAAGATGGCCTGCTACATATTTCCGAGAAACCAGCACTTCACGCCGTCGCGCTGGATCAAGTCGCCACGGGCTCTTCCGAGTGTGATCCCCACGCTCCGTCACAAAATGACTGAGCTTGCCACCGGCTATTTCGAATATTGCATCCTCCTTTTCTCCGGGGGCACTTTCACGGCGCAGGCGCCGTTTACCACGACTTGCATCTCTATTGATTCCACCAGACCAATACGCCAATATTCTGGCGTTTGGGGTCCGTTGGAGCGTGGTCAGACCGTCGGCATGGTCATTTACCCGCGTGTGATTTGAGTCTATTTCAACAAATCATCCATCTGGATCTACGGGCATTTGGTTTTCTGAACTGAAGTAGGGATAATTTGCTGCGCCTGCCCTTCATATAACCGGGCGCAAGGAACACATTTTCATACATGTTACCTGGTGTTTCCGAATTTCTTGCATTTGAACTGTGATTTTCCTTCTGTGTCTCCGATGCAAGCGCTCCACTTGTAGGCATTCTGGATTGGGTATCATTCTCGCAGATGCAGTCATTGTAGTCTTATCAATCTTTCAATTGAAACAATCTCATTTTAATGCTTTGCTAGTAAGCTGTTCATAAGTACATATCAAAAGCCATGTTGAATACAGATCATACATATATACATACCCCTGGGGTTCTTATTCCTGTTGAAACTGGAAAAGAACTCATCTCTCAATCATCACCATCTCAAGCTTCTCCCCAAACCTCATCCGCAATCTCCCTCACCAGACTCAACTTTTTCTTCTGATGCTCAACAAGAAGAGGATACCCACTCTCATGAGTACTGAACCCACACTGAGGACTGATACAAACCCTCTTGAGCGCCTCCTCCCTAGTCTCCCCAGACCCTTCAGCAACAAAATCAGCAGCGGAATAAACACGCTCCTTCATAGCCTCCTTGTCCTCCAAATCACGCAATTTAGTACTAATAACCCCAACCACAACATTCTTGTTCTTCGGCAAGAACCTCAGTGGCTCAAAGCCTCCAGCCCGCTCAGTATCATACTCCAAATAGAAAGTATCAACATCCAAGTCCTCAAACAACTTTTTCGCAATAATATCATACGATCCCTCAGAGAAGTGTCGCCCACCAATAAAATTCCCCCGACAAAGATGAATACCCGTATGCATATCAGCAGGCAGTCCAACAAGTGAATCATTGTACAGCTTAATATAAGCATCCAGCAAATCTTCCACAGACCCCTCATTCTCAGCATCACTCTCCCACCCCTCGCGGAACGCCGTAGAGCAGAAATACGCCATGCCAGGATCATCGAACTGCACGTTCCGCAATCCAGCCACATACAGCGATGCCAGCTCAGCACGATACACCTTCGCGACGTCGGCGAAGTACTCCGCGTCGTTGGAATAGGCATCAGCCGTATATGCGCATCCTTGCTTGTAGCGCATGTGGAACCACGCAGGCGTGATCATCGTCAGCTTGATATTGGGCCATTCGCTCTGCGGCAGCGACGCCTGCACCAGCTGCAGCTCGTGTAGGTTGGACCTGGAGGCTGAGGCGCTGTGGGAGAGCTTGCTGGCTGCGATCACGGAGTCGCCGGGCATTACTTTGTGATCTTTTTCAATCAAGCTTACCACGTCTGGGTGGTAGAGTCTGAACATTGAGGATTCAGCATTTTGGAGTCGGATTGTTCCTGGGGTGTTTTTAGTTTTTGTTTTCTTTGCATCGTTGCTTGTTTGTACATATATATATATATATAGGTAGGTAGGTAAATATAGCTCGGCACTATTACACCACTTACCCTGGAACTCATCCCACATCAATCCCCAGAATCGGGTGCGGTTGTACTCGCCAGAAGTAACGGCCTTGAACCCGAGGTCTTGCTGCATCTTGACGACTTCGCGGACGGCTTCTTGTTCGATGGCCGGTAGTCCGGCGGCTTCTGCGGAAATCCCGGTGTTGGCAATCTTCTCGCGCGCCTCAAGCAGATTGTCTGGACGTAGTAGTGAGCCCAAGTGTTCGGCCCGGAAGGGTGGGGCACTATTAAGCTTGTTTGCCATGATGTTGTATAGTATGTTGGATAAAAAGCTATCCTTTCGATTCCAGGGGAGGTTGGGGAAATTCAAGCTTTCATAAATGGGACATCTCCAAACTCCTTTTTTTTTCCCAGCTCTTCTCCATGTGGGGATTCTTCCCATGCGGGGAAGCTAATGTGGTGCTAATAATGGGGCTCTTTAGGAGACTTGCGGGTGTCTATATTCTCTATTTTCGCTTTAAGGCTCTAAATATAGAGAGACTAGGCTGTCACCTGTCATCTGTCGGCTCGATATGTAGATACTCGATCTTCTCCCTATGATTTTATCCCCCTTGAACATCGACAAGACGACAACCTTAACCTTAATCTCAGCCTCAACAGCAGCCAAAAAAGCCCCACATGAGCTATAAATTTAGCACATGATATCCTTGCAGAACACTATCCATCTAACACTGCCAAATAAGAACTATAAAAAATAACGAAGTGATAAATATTCCATCCAAGTTCTAGATTCGCGCGTAGTGTAGATTGAACACCGACCGTCTATAATCACACGTGATTTCCCAATAGCAAAGTAGCATCATTGTATAGACAGGTAAAAAGCCCCACATCCCATCTCCATAACGAAGGACATGTAAAAGAAAAAAAAAATAGGTAGCTTCTCTTTGATTGAGCGTGTCATCCTTAGTGCAGGGGCCATGCTAATCTTCTCTGTATATTTTCATTTGACCATATGCCCCGAAGGGCGAGAGGATATTCTTAAAGTTCAATATAACCCCTAGTTGGGGGCAGAATTGTACCGCCTACTGGTTTGGACTGGCATGTGGGCGGTCATGTACATACATGACTTTGCCGGGGTCAGCAAGTTGTTTGGGTTGTGTACTGCTGATTGTCTGCTTGTTATGCGGTATCTGGCATGGCAATTGGCAGGTGATCTAGTTCAGACAAAAAAAAGAGTAGGGATGTGATCAGATGAAAAGGGCATAATCTTTTGTTAGCGGGGCATTTGTGTGGGATTACTCATCACGACGCTAGGTCAGATCCACCCGTGGACGGACAAGACCATAAATACAGCGTTATAGATAGGTAGGTAGAAAAAGGCCCGAGGTTGGCCCTCCTTTAGCTCACAGCATAGCTAATAGTCCATACTTTAACATTATCACCTCAAAATCATCCTTTAGGACTTATTTCGGTGCCGAGAACAGGAAATTGTTCTCACAACTTCATGATGTTGGGGCTAGTGATTAGGGACGTGACCACTTGTTTGCTTGTTGTGTTGTCCGGAGGGATGCCTAGCATAGTATTCTTCTAATTCTATGACCATACCAATTCCCCTCCGACCTTCAATCATCCCCTGAGATCGTGAAATTTTTGCACGGCCTAGATGGTGTCTATATGACTCTAAGTGAGCACCGGCTCGTGTAGGATCCTACCTGCGGTGTCTCCCTTGGCCAAGTTTGGGGGCATTGACAACGTTTAAAGGCAGCGAGGAGCACCGTGGAAGGGACTCATCTAGAGTTTCTCTAGAGGAAAGTGACAATGAAGCTGAGCTCCGAAGCGTCCCTGGGAGCGCGTCGAGCGTATCGCGTAATGAGGTTATGTCGACTTAAGGGCGATGCAAGTTGGATCCAGTAGTCTAGCAGCTGATGGCTCCTAAGGGATATCTTCGGTGGAGTTCATTAACGCCGAATCGCACAGACTTCTAGCATCCCTAGAGGATGAGACCTTACGACTTGTATCTTGTGTTATTCGGCATATCTTATACTTTGCACCGCCTCAAGATTCCGCAAATATGCCCGCCGTTGTCGAATTTCGAGATGTAAAAACAAGACTTTCCGCTCGCACTCCTAAGTTGAAGCGAAAAATCATAACTATCGATGATAGAGGCCTATGTTTATGAGAAGAATCCGGAGGCATATTCAACGTTCTAAAAAGCCGCGTGGCTATTTTGGAAGCCAAAAGGCAATTCCAGTGCCTAGAAAATGGCCAGCCGACTATTTCGGACAATAGCTTCGTATAAATGACTTGCGAGGCTCTGGTAGCTAGATTAGCTGATCCATTTAAGGAGCTGCAATCTAACAGGTACTACTCGGCTTTTTAACCATTTTCAAATTCGCCGTCACCGTGAAAGGTATGCTGACAATATAGCATAGAGTACTGATGATAAATGCTACGCAGCATTATATATGCTTCCTTGATTTTGAGATTAATGATGAATATCTCCAGGATTTCGAATCGGATGCGCCTACTTGTTTCCTGGATGTCAACTCAACACCGTGGTTTGACCTTAGCTCTAAAAGTGGCAGAGAGCAGGCGGTCATGAACCTATGCGGTATCATGCGCTGGGCGAGCACGAGGCTAAGGTTGAAACTTATTTTTGCTAGTAAGATATTGGGCATAGGCCTGGTACTCATGTCAGAACACGGGGATAATTCCCTGCAAGTTTAAAGTACCATTGTCTTTTAATTGGTGCTAAGAGCGATCTAATTCGTGGTGTCATAAGGTTGGGATGCAAAAGATGTATGGGTCTGTTTCCATTACAGGTTGGCGGCTAATCAGCAAGTCGGGTGGATATCTAGATTTTCTCTGTCCCGTTAAAGAGTGGTGGCATCGCCATGGATTATAGGTTAGTATGCGTAGTTTGGGTAAGTTCATCGATTCAATGCAGTCTTTTAACAAAATATAACTTGTTTCATTTCCGGGTCGAGCTATCATCTTCGCTGTTTCCGTAGGCGCCCGCTCTGATCTTATAATCTTCACTGCTTGGGCGAGGATACCCCTGCCCTATCTGTAAGTGAAAGCATCTCACGGACCCAGGCTGTATGCCATCAAATGGGAGGTGCCGCGGAAAAGCAGCCAGACAATCACTAGCCGCCCGTATAAAACGCGCCGGTGTGGAAGAGACTGAGCCATAACTAATCAAATAAAGTCCCCCGCTCTTGCGAAACTGTACCGTTGTCGTTGGCTAATTGAGGCCTTCCGTGTTTCAGACGAAGCAAGGGAATGATCGCGGGCGGCTATAGTAGTGATCACTATATAGAATTTAATGGCCTAGGCTAGACCGCGCTACGAATTTAGAATCCTATTGTTTATAACGTCGGTGGCTGAGTTTGAATACGGTTCCGTTCTGTCATACCGACCAATGCCGCTAATTTAGGGCGACTTTATAGCCACAATAGTTGATCAGGAGCTTAGCTGACCAATCGATTTAAGCTTAATACGAAAAAAAACGTAATTTCTATACACCACCGATCGATTGATCGGACTCATCTAGAATTAAGGAATCAAGCGTGCCACCTTGTACAACTCGCTAGGGCATGATTCATTCTTCCAAAGCTTATAAAGTTAGTACTGGATCCCGCCGCTTTGCAATCAGACTTTAAGGTATCCGATGGATGAATATATGATATGTCCTAGGCAATCTGCAACATGAGCAGGATTTACAGTAGTTGAAGCTTTACAGGGCTTGCGTAGAGCCGCCGGTAAATACTAAGGTTATGAAACGTATAAGAGCAATCTCAAGTCTCAAAATGCCTATCTCTCCTTCTAACACTATTCATTTACGAGAAGATACTAGGATAATCTAGCTCAGAACGAGCATTATAACTATTTTATCTCCTCTCTACAACTTACCTAGGGTCGTCTGATTCTCTATACGTCGTACCAAGGAACAATGGTTTCTATAGGAAGCCTAGCAAGGACTCTAAATTGAGATACCAAAAAGGTAGTCCCGACAACAACAAGTGGTCGAATTTAATCATCACTAAATCTAGATCAAACCAAGGACGTCATAGTATCTACGAGAGGTATATTTAAAATTTCTTTACGTCCTAGGATAGATAGTCTTATGAAATGAAAAATAAGTTGAACGCCCTCTGAGCACGATTTTATACGCAAAGCAACATTGAAAATGGCTATACGAAGAATTCTTGTGCTACTTACACTAGGTAAGATAATGACCGAAGAATTTAGTCAGCTCTACGGTCTGATATAGTCAAACTATCTAGCCTCCCCTATTTGGTCTCTGCCACAAAGTGCTGTGATCAAGCTTGCCCAGTGCACTACATGGTGTAATCAAAATTACCCGAACCCTGCAGTCACCTGTGTGCTCCCTGCTTTGCGTGGACAAGGCCCATGTTACGTTTGTGGCCCTTTTAAAACCACTCCGTCGCAGCAATTATGCAACGGCGCTTGCAGAGATACGAAGGCCGACATCAATAACTGCGGGCAGTGCAATAAACATGTAGGTTAATGTTCTATGTGCTTACTAGCTAGACTGGGCTTACTTCATTTTAGTGCACACCACCTATGATATGTCAGAATAGTCAATGCTGTGGCCTAGCAGGTTCCCCATGCACCGCTGATAATTTCCTACAAGTGTGCTGTCCGGGCCCAAGTGGCGGCAATGGGTGCAACTTCCCATCAGGAAGCTCGATTGGTTCCTGCGCGAGTTTTTGATTTGATTTGATTTGATTTGGTTTGACATTCTTATACCTGTTGCAGCTCTTCCTAGCGTCGGATGTGCTATGCAGGTCGGTGTGCCCTATCTAGCACCGGAGAACCTATCCTAACGCCGTTCCCAAAGTAATGACTGGCTAGACCCTCCCTTAGTGCTTTAAAGCGACTAGGTGCCCAATTTAGTTACAAAATGTATGTTATGAATTCGCTGTGACATACTGTATTCAGATGCAGGTAAGGCTGGCTAGCGTCACCTCTCGAAAACCAAAGCTGCCTTGGGCACGCCTGATTTACTTAAGTACGACCAGTCCTTCTCGCCCCTTTGATTTACTTGTTCGGTTTCACCGTTCCCCAACCTCATTCTGACCATTATTACCACCAGAAGCCGACGAGCGAAACGGGTTGATCTTTGCTGCGAGAGGCAATTTGGCCATATCAGCTGACCGTAATGTGTGATGTGATAGACCTCAACAGGACTATTATGGGCCGATGCAGAAGGAATGATGGATTATCCTTTCGATTTTCTGCCATGAAAGAGCCCTCCCCTATTGTGTTGAAGCAACCTTAAAAGGCAGACGACGAACTGAGGGCGATTTTACTGATAAAGATGCACAACGAAGTGTGACTTAGCATTTTGGATTCTTAATAAGTATGTAGAAATTCAGTTAGTAGCATTGTCGTGATAACGATGAATCCTCACTGGCATGAGTAATGTGTTGAATGTCATCACTTCTATAAGACTTTCCAAGCCCTACGTTCAAGTCCATCGGCAACGGGCTACCATTAATAGTGTGAAATGCTTTGATTTACTGTAGTTGTTTGCCCTACCACTTTGTTTCTCTACTGGTTGATTCTACATATACCTCCCTTGGTTCTTCCCTTTGTATATGGCATTCTAGTCGAACAGAAAGATGGAGAGTAGATGTACGACATCTTAGTATGTTATTATCTAGTTATGTAACTACTTCTTTCCTTTGCCTACATGTACATATGTATGAACTTGAGAATACACTACGCCATCTTCTTACTCTTTCAGGCAGTAGCCTGTGGGTATTTGACTCCTTTGAGAGATATAAGTAGCCCAAGAACAAAAGATTAAAATCGTATAAATATTGGAATGTTCTAGACAATTATTCACACATGTCTCTTCTTTTTCTCTATTTAAACAAAATTACCGCATAGTCACAAGCTCCTCGGCGCTAGTAGGGTGGATAGCAACACAGCTATCGAAGTCCTTCTTAGTAGCACCCATCTTGATAGCGACACCGAAGCCCTGCAGCATCTCACCGACACCAAGACCAAGGATGTGCAGACCAACAACCTTCTCCTGGGGACCGGCGCAGATGATCTTCATCTCGGTGGGGTTCTTCGCCTTCTCCTCGGGGGACAAGCCGACATCGTAGAACATGGCAGTAAACTTGGTGTGGTAAACCTTAATCTTGTCGTCGCCATAGCTATGGCGGGCTTCAGGCTCGGTAAGACCGACGCAGCCGACCTCGGGGTGCGAGAAGACGACGGTAGGAATGTTCTCGTAGGAGATCTTGGAGTGCTTCAGCTCGGGGGGCCGAAGAGGCGGCTTCCAAGTTGGCGGCCGGCAGCAATGGCAACTATGAAATTGAGTCAGTATATTTTCTCAGAGGAAAAGTGCAGATAGCGACTTACCAGGGGTCAGTTCAGCTTGGCCGGTCACATCACCGAGAGCGTAGACACCCTCAGCGGAGGTGTTCTGGTACTCGTCAACCACGACGTGGCCGCCAGCATTCAGCTTAACACCAGGAATATCCAAGTCCAGGTCTTCGACCTCGGGGGCACGGCCCACAGCCCAGAGAAGCTCGTTGACCTCGAGCTCAGAGCCATCATGGCCGATGAGCTTGAGCAGGCGATCCTTGCCCTTGCCATCGCGGATGAGTTGCACCTCCTTGAAACCACCGTGGCTGCGGTGAAGCTTGACGCCGGCAGCCTCGTAGCGATCAGTCATAGTCTTCTGGATCATAGGGTCGAACTTGCGCAGGAAGTTCTCGCCGCGGATGAACATGTGGGTCTCAACATCAACAGCGTTCATGACACCAGCAAGCTCAACAGCGATGTAGCCAGCACCGACAACGGCGATCTTCGGGGGGAGTTCTTCCAACTCGAAGAATCCGTCGCTAGTGATACCGTGCTCGGCGCCGGGCACGGAGGGGATGTTGGGTCGGCCACCGGTCGCCAACAGGATGTGGGGTGCGGTGTAGCGGGCAGTGCCGGAGCCGTCGGCCAGCTTGACCTCAATAGTGTGAGGCTCGACGAAGCCAGCACGACCTTGGACGAGGTCAATTCCTTCGCGACCCCAGTTGCGCTCGTAGGCGCCGTTCAACCGCTTGATGACTGCGTCGCGGGTGTTCTTGAAGTGGGTGTAGTTCATAGCAATGTTATCGGGGATGTCGTAGCCATAGCTCTTTCCAATGTGGAGCATCTCGTTGATGGTCGCAAAGTTCCAAGTCATCTTCTTAGGGACACATCTAAATGTTGTCAGACAAAAGTGTCAATCGAGTAGAACAGCATTACACCTTGTACTAACCCCACGTTGACACAGGTACCGCCAGACCGTCCGCTTTCCACGATTAGGGTCTTTTTGCCATACCAACCCGCTGCGCGGCGGGCGCTTCCACTGCCACCACTACCACCGCCGAGGACGATGTAGTCATACTGTTGTGTTTCAACGGGAGCCATATTGGATGATTGTTGGTTCTTAGGGGCGGGGGACGAAGAAAAGTGTCGAGAGATTGTAGAGAGACGAGAGTTGGCAGCAATTGAGTCCGCAGGGGTGAAGCGGGGAGAGTTGATGGTCGCCAGAGTTCGATTGGTCAAAAGACCAGGACGGATTTGTCCGACGGAAGACCAGGTCAGAGATGAAGAGGCTCGAAAGCTAATCCGGGATGATTGGATGGAGCGGGAGAGCATGGAGAGAGGGGAAGAGGGGAAGATGGAGCAATTATATACAGGCTGAGGGGAGAGGGGTCGGAAAAGACACAACCGCTGTGGTGACGATATCGGGGTTCGTTAATGCGCGTTGGTTCTTCCGTCACCACCGCGGGCGATTTCTCAGCAGTGATTACGTGATCCAATCTAGATCCGAAGCCCGAGGTCGATATGAACTTGATACTTTTGGTTTGCTTATTGAATGTGAGATCTACACTTTTTTTTTACACTGTTAAAATATAAGATATTGAATTCGTAGGTCGTATGTATGGGTATAGGAAATTCACGAAAGAGCGACAGGGAGTGACCAGCACTCCAGAATCAAACTCGAGGCAGCACAAAAGGAAATAATATCGATCAGACAACTCATAACTCAAGAGCCAGGGTTGAAGCACTGGAGGAAGTCAAGATTTGATTGAAACCAATAAAGGCCAATGAATGTTGAAAGATGTTTCAGATAGAAAATCTGAAGATGTTGGTTGGAGTATGATAGTAACAGGGAACAGGGTATCAAAATGCGACGAATGTAAAAAAAAGAAGCCACCAGATCCAAGCGTATATTGGCTCTATGTCACGGCATGCAATTGGAGTGACATAGCCAGTCGCTTGGGCGAAGGACCAGGGCGCAGTTGGGGGCGTGGTTGCAAGAAAGATGGTCCAATGGGGGTATCTGAATATTTGCGTGGAGAGAGATCAAGAATGTATCTTCTGATGACTTGCAGATCGTTCAACCCACACAAGGTTCTACCCTGCCGGTCACATTCTGATTGCGACGGAGGGGCAGTCTTCAGTGTTGAAGGTAGTGTGGGGACGACCGTAGGAGATTGACTTGTATGTTGTGTTAAGAGACGAGGAAACGAAGTCAGAGTGTTTCGGAAGGAGGAGAGGCATCCCAGACTCTAGAATCCAGGACCACGGCGGGGGATTCTTTCATCTTCGTCTGGGCGCTGTTGGGGCAGAATACTATCCTGGGCGGATAACTAGTGGGTATAGGCGATAACGGCAAAAGAGATGAGGCAGAAGCAGAGAGGAATGTAGACAGAGCGTTCCATATCGGCGGGTGTTGAGGAGTTGCGTTTCATGGTTTTTAAAGATGTACAATAGCACAGTAATGTGGTGATGTGTCTGGAGATCTGAAAAGGAGGGGGTCCGGGAGTATATGAGAGAGTTTAGGGAGGGGGGCGGTGTGGTTATCTTATCTGCTTAGGTAACCGCGTTGGGGCCTCAACAAAACATCACCTGACTCAACATTGGAAGGCATTTATTTGGGCAGTCAACAAATAGGAAGGAAGTATCCAGGTGCCCACAGTTCACTACATCATATTGACACGCTGGTCAGGCAACCATGAACATTAAAACCCGTGGGCTTTGATTGGCAAGTGAGAACATCTAAGTATTGCACGTGGTACAGTAAGCCTCGGTAGGTCCCGAGGTCCCGATTATAAAGTGGACTGGACATTTCCAAGTCGATGTTTGGGCTTTCCGATCGTTGATGCGATAATGCATCAGATCCCTCTAGGTATAGCCCTAAGGGGTTGCAATATAATGAGCATCATACAGGACAATAGGACAACCGCTCGTCCAGTGTGTCCCCAAACTCTCATACATCCCTTGACAGTACCCATTTGTCAAGGGTCGCGTAATGAGCTCACCAAGGCACCCAGCCGACCTCAACAGCAATGATCTACATTACTGCTTTACCCCTACATATGTATCTATACTTACCTACTCCCACACTTGCCGAAGAGCCCCTGTCCAGCGTAAATCATCACACTCCGAAACGTCCACATTCACGGAGAATGAAGAATGCAAGGAGATACCAAACCACGCCTCCTATCCACCAATGAAAGCAACTATGAGCGGCCTTCATACCTGGCCAGACAAACACAAACAAAATACAAACCAGGAACCCGCCTTGCTGGCCAATGGAGCAAGGCATCTGGCCGCTGATAGTCCTCCTTCGTAGTCCTGATTCATTAGAACAAATCTTGCTCTAGAATAATCCTCCCCTGGGGTATACATGAACCGATCTTCCCAAACACGTTCCCATCACCTCGATATCACGCCAACCGATCTTCCACTGGCTTCATATAATCACCGCCATAATGCGTGTTTCAGCTCTCGCCTTCGCTGCCATTCTGTCCCTGGTCTCGGCCAAAAAGATCAATATGCACTGTAACTTCGCCGAGGACCACACCGGCATGGTTCAGCAGCCCTTCTGCTGCCGTGATCTGGAACCTGCACGGGGAAACTCGAAGGCAAATGAGGCAACGGACTGTATGTATAACAGTCTCGTAATATTTGCTGGGTATTTGTCTAACGCTCTACTTTACAGGTGATCAACTGGATCGGCCTCAGATGTGTGAGGATCAGTCTCGGCCAGCTTGTTGCTATACTATTGTGAGTTTTGTTTCAGTCAATTTGGCTTTCGGATTTTGCTAATCTGATTTCTTCTACTTCTCTCAGGGCCAGAAGAAGATATGTACCAGCCATGTTATTTTCCAGGATGCACAAGATGTTTAGAGTGGAGAAGGGTACGAAGGCACATTTGAATACAATCACGTTATGACTTGGCGGGACGAGAAACTAGCTCAACCTTGCGTTTTGATGTCAATAATTTCAAGTGAATAGACATCGAACATATATCACATTTCGCTTCTGGTGCTTGGATGAATGACGATGTACTGTGACGTGGCAGCAATCTGGTACAATGTTTGTGACTAATATCTAAAAGACTGGACCTAGGAGATAACAGCATAGGTAAACCGGTCAAGGCCGTATAAAATTGCACGAATCAAGCAACACTAGAAGGACCACCAAACTCCATACCCCCGGCGCCGAAGATGCTATACACGGTCAACCTTTGATAAATGCAGCCACATCAATCGGAGGCTACCCCTAGCATCTCCTCGGTGTTCCTGCGAAACAGACGCTCCGCTAGCCCCGGCTTGGTCGCGCATAATTCCAAGCAACATTCAGTGAATGGACTGATATCGACACGGGAGAATCGAGTGTGGGGCCAATCAGTGGCATAGATGACCCGATCAGGTGCAACAGACAAGAACTCGCGTGCCATAGCCAGAAGGTCACGCATCTGGTTGTCTTTGCTGAGGCGATACGGCGCAGACACCTTGACATATGTTCTCCCAGCGCGAAGCAGAGAGATCAAGGACGAGAACCCTTGAAGGTTGTAGGGATTGAAAGCCGGACCATCACGGTCCCACGACGCGAGCTTGGGGCTGCCAAAATGGTCGATGCAGATGCGCACGCCTAGTCGTGGGAGGATCGACTTGACCATCGAGACCATATTGAGGGGAAGATATATCTCGATGATCCAGTTGCGAGGCCGGGCAAGCTCAGCATGCTGGAGTAAGGTCTCTTCCAGCTCGGTCTTATCCATCACTTTCCCTACAGACTGAAGGTTGACTCTCAGTCCACGGACTCCAAGGGTATGCCATTCGTTCAAAGTCTCCGGTTTAACGGTGGCAGGGTCAACCACGACAACCCCTCGGCCGCGCGACGGCCCAAGTCTTTTTAAGGCATCTAATAAACATGAATTGTCTGTGCCATAAACTGACGGTTGCACAAACACGAGGTTCTCAACACCCAGTCCGGACTCAAAGGCAAGAGCTTCGGGTAACGTATGTGCGGTAGGTTTATATACCGCCGTTGGAGAGACAGGAAACCGCTCAGGTTCCACAACATGCATGTGACTATCCCAGGAGTTTGGAGGGAGCCTCTGCTTCAGCGATACACTTGCAGACGAGGCATGTGTTGAACGCCGTTGCTCCAAACAGATAGAAAGGGCATCAAACGATATCGATCGAGGCCCGTGGAGTATATTGGTTTTGGGCTGAGTAGCGGTCAGCATCCCGAATAGATCATAAGGAAGTAGAGACGCCGGCGGGTTTCCAATAGTAAATGGGCAGGCAAAAGTACAGGGAAAAAAAAAGCCAAAATGAAGCAAGCCCTGGGGAGATACTCACAGAAGAGCAGCTCCAATAAGGTGATGTTAACCTAAGACAGGACCTAAGAAGAGCCATGCCAGTTTCACCGCTCAACATCTGTGGATGTTGATCCAAGTGCCTGCAATGCAGGGTTTTTCAATAAAAAGCACCCATCGGCCGTGTCTCAACAGCACAATATGTATGGATTACGATGTGCAGGCTTTGTACGACCCACCCCCTAATACACACATGCCTGTGACAAGGTGCAGAGAAAAATCGAGCTCGGAAGTTGTCCGTCAAGGAGGCCCTTCTAATCCTTAAACCGCAATTTGGGCCTGTTAAATGAGCTGAGTCGTCAAGCGGAGCCAAAAAGTGGATAGCTGCGGCGCGATCCGACATTGAAGAATGGAGTCACTTAAAAGTCATTTGCATTTCGAGAAAGCAATAAAGTGATATGCAGAATGGGTTATACATTGCAGGAAATGGTGCTCAAGTCCCAAGACATGGGAAACCCAAGACAAAACGAACCAAAGGACAAAGCTCGGATGTTGACCGAACCTCTATTTAGCTCGGGATCTCGGCACCCGGTCTTCCTCTCTTGTCCACTCCCTGGAGATCACACTTCATTTACCCCCGGATTTATTGTTATAGCCCCCGCTCGCTTACATTAGGGGCCATGCGATGGATCACGTCACGATGGTCGACCAATCCCTATTGCGCCCTAGTGATTGCTGTCATTGCCTGCGGCGGGATTCCGAAAGGTATGAACTACCCCTGTCCTCCCCACCACTAGACTCGCTTATCGGACAAGGATCTGCGATAATATAGTGATAAACATTTGCTAATTGTGTATTGTCCTCGACAGGTTATGACGAGGGTGGTTATAGCGCCAGCGTCTCCCTCCCCCTCATTCAAGTCCGACTACAACCTTACTAAACACCAGGGGTTCGGCGATACCGAGCTAGCTAATCGAAAAGCGAACATCTCCTCCTTCAACGTGCTAGGTGCAGCACTTGGTGCCCTGATAGTCCTCGATCTCAATGATCGACTCGGGCGCTTGGTGGCGTGGCGCCTAGCATGCATCGTGTGGGCAACCGGGACATTGATCCAAGTTTTCGCATCCGGTATATACGGACTGCTCTTGTTTAGTCGCATATGGGGCGGGTTAGGCGCGGGCGCTCTAACGGTGACTGCGCCAATGTATTTAACCGAAATAGCCCCTGCTAAGACGAGAGGTCTGGTGGTGGGGATATACATGGTATTCTTACTGACCTTTCTGGCCATGGGTAAGTTTTGACCCTCTATACATCGTACATTGTATACATATTCGGCCCCAAATCTGACTCGCTACGCTTTGTTGCAGGGTTCTTTGTCAACTATGGTGCTAGGGTCCACATGGCGACCACGCGAACCCAATACCGCCTAGTTCAGGCTGTGCCTTTAATTCCAGTCGGCATCGCATATGGTCTGTCGTACCTTTGTCCTGAGACTCCTCGGTACCTCGTTTCGAAGCAGCTTCATCGGGAAGGGCTGGAGGCTCTAGCACGGCTACGTGGCAGGGCTATCGATGATCCCGAAATCACAAAGGAGTTCGCGACTATCGATACGCGGGAGCGAGAGCGGGCGACAGATTTAGCATCTGTCTCTCATTGGGCTATCTTCAAAGAGACACAGACAAACCCGAACTACCGACAGCGCTTCTGGCTGCTAATGACTATGCAAACTATTGCCCAGTGGACCGGTGGGAACGGCATCACATACTACGTAACTAGCATATTCCAGGTACGTCAATCCCAACAAGGCAATTATCAGCTATAAGTAACAAAGTACTAACATATGCGAAACAGTACGCCGGCGTAAGCGGCGACGACAATTCCCTCGTCTCTTCCGGCGCTTACGGGATAGTCAAACTAATCTTCACGATGGCCTTCGCATGGGGTCTAATCGACTTCCTTGGTCGGCGCCGCTGCACTCTCGCCGGATTAAGCCTGCAGTTGTGCGCACACATCTACATGGGTATATACATGGGCCTGCGCCCAGGCTCAGCAGACAACAAAGACGCCTCCAATGCAGCCGTCGCCTCGGTTTTCGTATACGCCGTCGGCTGGTCCATCGGCCTCTGCACAGTGCCTTACCTGTACGGCACGGAGATCTTCCCCACGCGCATCCGCAACGTTAGTTACGCAATTAGTATGGCGCTGCACTGGTTCTTCCAGTTTGCTGTTGTGCGAGTTACCCCGAATTTGTTTGTCTCGCTTGATATCTGGGGTGCTTATCTCTTCTGGGCGCTTATTTGCTTTTCTGGACTTATTATCCTTGGTGTTTGGATGCCTGAGACGAAAGGTGTGCCTATTGAGCGGATGGGAGATCTGTTTGATGGGCCGTGGTATCTGCGGTGGCGGGCTAGCCCGAGGGAGTGGGATCTTGCTTCGCCGACTGATATGTCGCAGAAGGTTGCGGCGAAGGACGATCATGTCTTGAAGTCTAGTGATCCGGCCTTCTGATGGTTCTTTTCATTGTTTCACTGGCATCTCATTGATATATGTACATATACTTGTCATTAACTGATACCCCATTTTGCTATTGCTTGGCCCATGTTTGACTTTTATAGCGGTTCGATTTCTGTCCATTTTCGTGATCTCAAGATATCCAGTCTGTTTGGCATATCAACTAGAGCCTTTTCCACCTCACGGTATCTCGCCTCGGGACAACCCGGTTCACTTCCTCCATGAAGAAACAAAACTTGTTTCGGTTTGAGGTTGAGGGATACACAAAGTGTTTGAAAAGTTGTAGGGCTTACAATCAAGGGTGCAGGCCACGGACCGTTACATGCGGTGAAGCTTGCAAGGTTGCCTACATGGGCATACGCCTTAGAATACATGTGGTTATATCATTGGCTGCTGAAGCGATATATCTACTTCAGATTGACCCTGATTCTGGCAGACTGCTATATTGTATATGCATTTGGGAATCATGGAAACAAAACCAAGTCGGTGAGAAGAGGAGGGGAAAAAAAGAACCGCGCTTCAAAACCAGGTCCGAGTAGCACTATACAAGATCATTGAGAAGGTCCACCCCAGCCCTGCTCAAAGACAGGCGTCATGTTCGTCGTAATGGGCTGCGCATACGAGAATGCCTCATATACCTCAGGCGCGATTTCGTAGGATCCGGGGTCATCCATCGTCATGACGGCGTTTGGCATCCCGCCCAGCAAGTGCGTGGGCGGCAGCTGGGGCATTTCACCCGAGTGTGGCATGTTGAAACCTGCTTCTGGGTGCTGGAAGGTATTGTAGGTTCCCATCACGGGGGGGTTTTCAGGGCCGGTGGCTTGGACTTGCGTAGCTATCGATGCTTGTGGCTGGTGGTGATGCTGGCCTGGAGAGACGTGGGGGGATCGGTTGCTGCCTACTGATGGGGACTGGCTGTGCTGATGGTGGCGGGGGTGAGAGTGGTGTTGAGGTGAGGATTGGTGATGTTGGGGGTGTTCCTGTTCAGTCTCAGGCATGGGAGCAGGCATTGGTCCGTGGATGTTGATTTGGAGTCTTTGGAGCTCCAGGGATATGAGACTGAGCGCTGTTGTGATAACGGGGTTGGCGGCTTTGATTCTCTCAAGGGCGAAAATGCAGAACTTGAGTTTGTCTAGTGTTCCCGGTGCGGCGTATTTCAGGGCTTGGATCTCGAGCAGGAAAATCGATGCTGCTGTATAGATGCTGTATGCGAGAGAGAGGACGACGTGGCTGTCGCCGAATGTACGGCGGTATAGATCGAAGAGAGATAGGATTGATGTTGCTGATGCCATACACTGTACAAGATGGTTGGAGTCGTGTGCCTCGGGGCGGGCTCTGAGCAGCTCCCGAGAGCAGAGAATGGGTCGGTGGAGAAGGATGTTGATAGTGTGATATAGACAGCTAGAAAAAGTTGAGTTAGCACTGTGTTCTAGCGTACGCAGGATTGAGCACATACTTCAAAATCACGATATGGCTCGGTGGTGAGTATGGAGGAAGGTCTACCGCCACCAATTTCAAGTAGTCTGGTAGCTCATCCCACCAGTCACTCAAATTCTTGGCCTGCTCCTGAACACAATCAAAGAATTCCGAGTCAGTGCTTCGGCGGATTGGGTCGTATATGTGGATGAGAATCTGGTTCAAGATTTCCGCCAGACCGCACATCTTCATGAAACATGACGTTGAATGCGCCTGCGTCGGCGGGTAGTGAGCACCGTCAGTGAAGCTCACCCCATGAGGTGTCCATATTTCGATCTCAGCGGTGTCATCGAGAATCATGCGCGGCGGACTAACGCGAGAGTGCTGCATCGTCGGCGCCCGGCCGAAGTACAATGAAACCACTTTATCCCAGAAATAACAACTCCAAAATAGACGGTTCCGTATTTCAATATCCTCATCACTCAGATGAGCGGATCCTGAGTATTTCCGGCTGTCGATGGAGATACCCAAGTCGTCTAGCAGCCGGAAGGCCATCCCACTGTATAGCCAAGCTTGCGTCCGATTTCCACGGCCGCATTCCTGGGCACTGAGAAGGAGTAATGTCTGAATGGTAGGAATGCCTGCATAACCAACTTTGAGAGATTCGAACACCCCAGTCAATGCGCGATGGGAGAATTGTGCACCGCCGTCATAGGAGTCCAGCAGCGGCCCAACTTGAGGCTCGGCTTTGCACCAGCGTACCGAGTGAGAAAGAATGGCATTTAATAAGACGTCCGAGTAATAAGCCCCGTTAATTTTCATATCGCCTATTGGGGGAGGTCAGTGTCATATGTCTTCTGAAATGGCAAGGTCGAACAGACGTGTAAATGCAGGACGGTAGACGAAATTCCACAGCGGCTGGATCCAGCACCAATGCGAGTCGAGAAGATACTGGAAAGGCTCCTGCAGGGGTGTATCAGCATACGCATCCTTCAAACAATCCAATCCACCAGGACCCATACCGGCATAGCAGCCATTTGCTCGAATGCCCTCTCCCGCCATGCGCTATTAACAAGCCGCTCTTTGCGACCCTCCAATTCCTGCGCGTAATGTGAAGTCGACGCCGTTTCACTCACCACCCCACTGGGCAGCTGGAACAAACTAGTCGGCCCGTGAAATGAGACGCGACCGTCATTTTCCACATTGAGACCATCAAATGCTCGGGTGAGATCTTCAGCATCGGGATCGATCTTTATCTTCGGTCCGCTCGAGCTGGACTCAGCCGACGACGGCGATCTCGTCTTTCGCACCTCCTCCCCCTCACCGCGCTTCGATAAAGCATCTTCCAACTGCGCAACCCTAGCTTCAAGCTGTTTCGTGTACGATAATGTCGGGGCTCTTCGGGAGAGAAAACAATATCAGCGACTGCGACCGGGGAATAGAATAAAGAGGAGGGGGTCGATTCACAAGCTATACACACACTGCTCGCTGCGCGCAGCGCATCGCGAACACGACGGACTAGCGCCGTTACATTTAACCTGGAGAGCAGTTAGCTTAGAAATCTCGGGCTTCGTCCGAGGGGATCCGCATGCACCTTGCGTTTGCGACAGGCCTCGCATGAGAAGGCGCTCTTCCGGGGGAGACTAGTCTTGGGAGGCTCGGCCATTCCAGATGTCACCTTTTTAAGCTCCCAATTCGTGGAGATATACCCCCCAAAATGTTGGAAAGGAAAGGAAAAAGATAAAAATAGGAGAGAAGATTTTTGGGCCCTACGTGGGGCGCGGGGATCAAGTCGTTAGAAAATGAGATAGTATTGACGTCGAATCAGCTTGAGCTTGCCTTTAAAAGAATGGAGTAGGGCGAAGACGTTCATTGGTGGGAGATTTGGAGATTTGGAGATTCCAAGGTTTGGACCTCAGAGTGATCTTGGCTCCACTACTCCGTAGAGGTTATATAGGTTACATAGGTAGGTTGTAGTTAGAAGTTATACTCTACTTTGTATATATGTTTATAGCCAGTAAAGCCAATTAGATATGCTTCAAATGCTATTTGCATGGTATTCAATTGTATACACGATTCATAGATCCCTTATTTCTTCCCTTTCTTGAAACCCGGGCCCTTGCCCTTACCCTTGCCCTTCTTGGGCTCCTTTGCAGAATCCGCATCACCCTTGCCCTTTTTCCACCCGATATTACCATCGTGTCTCATCTGCGCATCATCGAGACGCTTCTTGTCCTTGTTGCTGAGTTTGACATTGCTCTTCTTGGTATTGGGACCGTTCAACTCGACGGCACCCAGCTTGCGAGAAACCTTCTTGTCCTTCTCGGTCTCGAACCACGTCCGCTTCGGCCGGGACATGATCTCGCTTCCGTGCTTCATGAGGTTCTCACCCTTGGTGAATTGCATCTCGGCTTGAGAGAACTGCTTCTCAGTCTTCTCCTCTTGCAAGACCTCGGCCACCTCGTCAGCCATATCCTCGGCCTTTTGCGCCCAGCTGTCTGCAATGGCTTGCTCGACCACACGACTGACGATCTTGGCACCTTGGGCCTTGCCTGCGCGGACGGCAAGCTTGACTACCTTGCGGTCGGGCTCGGCAGCAATCGTGCACGCACGACCGGAGCGGCCGGCACGGGCTGTACGTCCAACACGATGCAGGTAGATCTCATGGCTCTGGGGAGCCTCGTAGTTAATGACGGTCTCGACACCCTTGATATCCAGACCACGAGACGCAACATCGGTGGCGAGAAGGAAAGCAACCTTGCCATCTCGGAAGTTTTCGACGGATTTGATACGCTGTATGGAAAGTTAGTGTTTGTAGATATAGGACAAGAATTGTTGTAACATACCTGTTCTTGACTCAGACTACCGTGTAGCTCTGCTGCCTTCAAGCCCAATAGGCCGAAAATGATACGAACGCGGTGAGCTTCCTTCTTCTGTCGGAAGAAGATAATAACACGCTTTGAGTAGGCTTCTTTGCACAAGTACAGAAGGTAACCGAGACGCTTGTCCTCCCGTCCGGGGCGGAGACGCACAAACTCTTGAATAAGGGTGGATACAGTGTTCTTCTTGGCGTCAACCATCAAGCGCATTGGGCGGTTCATACCAACACGAATAAGCTTGTCGATTGAGTCTGTCATGGTCGCAGAGAACAGCATAGTCTGGCGAGACTTGGGAATCGTGGTGAGAATCTCGTTCAACTCATCGGCGAAACCGTCCTCAAGCATACGATCGGCCTCATCAAGAACCAGAATCTCCAGGGTATCGACTGTGAAACTGGGCGAGTTGCGCATGTGATCAATGAAACGACCGGGGGTGGCAATGATGACATCGGGGCGCTTCTTGAGCACGTTCTCCTGCTCGCGAAGACTGAAACCACCAACCAATTGACAGAATGTGACGTCTGTGAAGGTGGCCAGTTTGACGGAAACGTTGTAACACTGAACAGCCAACTCACGAGTGGGCATCAGAATCACAACACGACTTGTAGGGACCTTCCGGGGACGGAAGAGGAGACGTTCGAGGATAGGAACAATGAAAGCAGCGGTCTTTCCGGAACCAGTCACGGCACTACCGACGATATCCTTGCCCATCAGAGCAACGGGAATCGCCTTGCGCTGGATAGGAGTCGGGTCTGTGAATCCAACTGCGGCGAGACCTCGAAGGATGGGGCGGGAAAGATTGAATTCTTGGAAAGTCATCTTGGAGATGTTGGCTTTGGTGTCGACCTTTTCTTCGGGGGCAAAGAACGCTTTGCGCTTCTCTGCTTCCTCCTCGTCCACCTCGCTCTCTACATCGGACTCCCGGTCTGAGCCCATATCGTCGGGGTGACCAACGGGTGTGGCGACAGAGTCGTTGTCAGATGCAGCATCGTCATCGGAATCCTCATTCTCGTCCTTATCCTCGTCGTCCTCCTCGTCTTCATCCCCAGAGCCAGGCTCAGGGCCCTCAGCATCACTCTCCTCTTTACCGTCCGCGCCCATGCCGAAGGCGTCGTCAGCCATGAGCTCATCGTCATCGAAGTCAACGGGCATTTCGTCGCCCGATGCAACGTCATCCTCGGATGCGCTGGCGCTCTCTTCCTTCTCAGCAGCCTTCTTTTTCTGCTTCTTAGCAGCAGCCTCCTCCTTCTTGGCCTGCCTCCGCTCAATGATATCGTCAATGTCGACAGCCTTCTTGTCACCAGAGCGCTTCTTCTCATTGTCATCAATACCCCAGCCATCGAAGCCTTCGGTGACACCACGGTTCGCGATACCGCCGACATCGAACTCGAACTCGGGGTTCAAGACGCCGTCATCTTCTGTTGCATCCGCTGCAGCATCATCGTCCTCCTCCTCTTCCGACTCGGGTTCGGGTGCGGGCTCGGCATTCTTCTTGTTCTTCTTGGCGTTTTTCAATTGCTGCTTCTCCTGCTGCTTTTGCTTCTTGTTCTTGGGCTTGACTCCTTCGACCTCGCGCTTGCGCTTTTTGTTGTCTGCTGCCGGCGCATTATCACCCTGCATCTCGTTGTCGTCATCTTCTTCTTCGAAACGGGTTTCGTTTTCGTCGTCGGAGAGCGTGAATACAAAATCATCGTCTTTGGCGGAACTCCGCTTCGCCGATTGAGGAGCCATTTTGGAGGCTGGCGCAAATCCCAGTGTATATTTGGTAGCTGGATATCTTCCACACTCTCTCAAACAGTCTCAATTGAAAATTCAGGACCCCTGAACACTGTGCAAGCAACTCAATCTCGCAGAGAAGAAATGGATCAACATGCAAAAAAAAAGTTACCCGGGCGGTGACAAGAAAATTTCCGATGACATAATCAAACCGCTTCGAGCTCTCGATTGTCACCAACTCTACTCCTGGGCCGCTTCGCTGAATACATACATACCTTACGTTCATTTCCAAAGTTATCATTAGGAAAGAATTAGTATAACCATACATTTTCAATTAACTGCCTACCTAAGTAGGCATACATCCCCTGCTCAATATCCCCCGTATGCCCTTTCAACACATCGACCTTGTTTTTTCTGGTGGACATCCTGGATACAGACGATTTGTCTGTCATATTTGTCTCATTTTGTTTTCAACTTTTTTTTGGCTTTTGCTTTTTCTTCCAGACCGTCGTTCTCTCCCTGTCGCCAGATTTTCCGAAGATGCTCTCTGTCCACAGTTTCCACGTTATTCGTTCGCAGGCTCATCAGAGGTAGTTAAGTATAGCAGAGTGGGTACCACTCTCCTGGGGCTGGGCTTGAGCCTGGGGTCGGCCCTTGGCCCCATCACTCACATATGGGGCCCCAATGGGACGAGCCATGTAACGAAGGTCAAAACTAAGAATATGCGTCAGTAAATGCAATCCAAGCTGAAAGTGAAAAGAAAAGACAAGACCTACCTCTTGCCACTCTTCACTCTCGCATTCTCGAATACGCACTTGTCCTTGAAGCCAAAGTCCCTCTCTAACCACTTCTTGATCCAGGCATTCTCCTGGGCCTCCGCGGACGTTGCAATGGCGCAAACCATTGCTGTGAGGGGGCGGCCATAGCCCACACCATACTGCACTGTACCAGTTTGGTCAAACTCATAATCGTTGCTTTGTCCAGAGGTCACATCAAAACAAGAGAGGACCATGTCGACCAGTGCCCGTCCGATGTGCTGCTTCTTGCTGCCCTCTTGGACGAAGACATGCAGCTCACCGATGTGCTTGTCAGCGCTCTTGCCGGGCCGATGGAATTCCACATAGGCATAGCCAACCACAGGGTCGATCTGGTTGCGACACAAGCGCTCCGGCGGACGTCGGGCAGCGACGACAAAGGGGAAGTGGTTTTCTCGGCAAAATTGAAGAAGCTCCCCAATGTCATTCACCTCTATAGATCGGGTTTCACCGCTCAAGGCTGAGTTTTGTGCATACCAGTTCATAATTTCAAGGATAGAAGAAGCATCACACTGTTCCGCAGGACGCAGATAGATGCCGGGTGGAACAACTTTTGAATCTGGTGGTAATTCTAGCCAAGCACGGTAAGCCGCGGTACGACACAGGTGCTCTTGTTGTTCCTGTTCCTTCTTCCTTCGTCTTTGGTTGATCTTCCCCAGGTTGTATACGTAGCCTTCCGATGTCTCGTGCCAATGCAGGCGTGTAAGCTCGTCTTTCATGTTCCTAGGGGTGGGGGTATGCTTGATGTCAGGCAGAAACATAGAACACTGTCCATCGGGCATCGCGGTTCCGTCAAAGAAGGCAACATGATAGATGTCGACTTGGCGTCCTGCCGGAAGCTGATCCCACCAGCTGCGAAACTGCTTTCTCACACTCGCGTTGGGAAGATCAAACGATGAAATTCTGTATTTAAGTTCGTACCACTGATCATCTCCTTCGCGGATGTCCAAAGTCCAGTCATCAGGAAGAGATCCCTCTGGCTCATAAACAGCGTTGCTGTATTCCGATGTGAACGTGAGGATGCCATTTTGGACGATTGGGAAGATAGGGCGAGACTTTTCGTATGCCTTGGCTTGAATCTTCTGTCGGGCATCCCACTGGGTCCGAAGCTGCACATTGTTGGACCATTTGACCGTCTTTTCGATTTCTTCATATTCATCGTCGGGAATAAAGTCAGGTGGGTTAGCTGTTGCCCATGGCTCGGGTTCCTCGACACCTTCGACAATCCTGGGCTTTGTGAGCAACTCATACACACGGCTGCTCGGATCAACCCCAGGTCCATCCCTCGCTGCGGGAAGCATCTCAGGGCAAGAGTGACTCTCGTTTTCCATGCCGAGCAGAGGCAGCTGCACGGGCATTTTCATTCTCCTCTGTTTGTCAAACTGTTTCGTCAAATCCCAAGTTTGTGTCCAGCTCAGATTCTCTATGCTCTGTAGCAGCTTGTTTCTTTCCATCTCGTCCATGGATTCGAAAGCACGAAGCAAGGCTGAACTAGAGACATTTGGGAGCACCGTCGATTTTGGCTTGTTGAAGGTCTTGGGCGGCTTTGGATAGACAGCATTCCTACCGCGGAATGGCATAGATATTTCGACTTCTTCTGCCATTTTGATGTGACCTAGGTCATGCGGAATTGAATCAGAGTTTCTGGTAGATCTGTGCAAGTCAGCTGGGGTTCCTGAGCGTCACTATCATGATGCTTCTTTGGTCTGTTCTGAGTCATTCCCTCGCTTTTCTTTCCTGGCATGTGACATTGGCAAACGAGGAAGCAGTTGCGAAGCTCTGCGAACCCACTTGGGGCAGGGCTTGCAATTGTGACGGTTCCGCACATGTGTCACTTGGGGGTGGCTTTGTGTTTGTTGCTCAAAGGGTGCGGTGTAAAAATATTGTAACAAGCATACCTGAATGATTGGATGTGTTGCAGTCAGCTTCCTGACGAACGTTCTGTGTCGCGAATACGCGAACTGAGAAAATGAACGAACGAAGTGATGAAAGGTGGGAGAGATAAAGATGGGGGAGGGGGACAAAGAGAAAGAGAAGATGGGAAGGGAAGAGGGGAAGAGGGGAAGATGGAGAGAGAAAAAGAGAGAGAGAGAGAGAGAGAGAGAGAGAGAGAGGATCATAAAGGCTGGGGGACTGGGAAACCTCGAGCGTTTCTCTCGAAGTCGAACTTCAGGTCACCTTCACAACTTCCTGCTATCCGATTGCACACTTGTTCTTCCCTCTCATCCAAAAAATCAGCACAATAAAGCTTCATTCAAATACTGCTTTGAGTTGCGAAACCTGGATACTGGATACTTGAATAGACCTAGGAAGGTCAAGGAGACGTAGTCGATACGCATGATACAAAGTTTCGACGTGACAGCATGACCTCTGATCTTTTGTTTGCGGTACATATGTATACATATCCATGTACAAGAATAGTCGGCCGCTTATACGGCCTCTGTCCTTTACCACGTAAGACTTTAATCTTCTGATCCGTTTGAACCAAGATGGTATTACCGGTGTTATATCTAAGAACCTTCCGATGTGCTTTTTTGGATGTTCTTTTCATGTCTTTTTTGATGACTTCTTAGGTGTATACGAAGGCAGTAAAAATCATTAACCGTGCAGAGGACTTTTCTATGTATAACATTTGATACCTGAAGGTTTGTATTCAGATAAAATGATCCAAAGCCTTGAATTCTGGGATAGCCTTGCTACTAGTCGATGCAGTGGCCTGGACGCCGATACACCTGTTGAAGATCCCAACGACCAAAATATAGGGGGAACCTTGGAAATAAACCAGCATGACATTCAGATAGGCACATTTGAATAGAAAGTCAAGTTGTAGTAATGGGGAGAAATATATATTGGATGGTCCATAGGCATGGTCAAATCCCATCTTGAGCCTGGCAGCATTTTTCCCTTTCCAACTCCCACCAAAAAAACATAAAACAGGATATTTTTGCAACCATGTTGTCGATACTTCGAAAAGCCCGCTTAAAGGATAAAGAAATGCGTATATTGATGCTGTATGCACTCTCTGGCCAGTCGTTCAGACAGACCGAAATGCTAATGATTGCAGGGGTCTTGATAATGCCGGCAAGACGACCATTGTCAAGCGAATTATGAAGGAGGATGTCACGACAGTCAGTCCGACTCTAGGATTCATCATCAAAACGATTGACTTTATGGGGTAATTTCCCATAGATCCTATTGATATCTCGAGCTTTGCTAACTAGGCACAGATACAAACTCAACATATGTGAGCTAACCCGGGTCTCTGTGGGAACCGTACTGACAGCACTAGGGGATGTTGGAGGACAAAAAACACTCCGATCCTACTGGAAAAACTATTTTGAAAAGACGGACACGCTAGTCTGGGTCGTCGATGCTACAGATCGACTGCGGGTTGACGATTGCCGACAGGAGCTCTCGGGTCTGCTCCTTGAAGAGGTACGGATGACGTCCCCACCCGCAATCCGCAAATTTTGAAACCGTCAACTGAACCCATTCCACCAGCGCCTTACTGGAGCTAGTCTACTGGTATTTTTGAATAAGACAGATGTGGAACATTGCATGAGCGAGCAGGAAGTTCGAGAAGTAGGTCTAAGCTCTTCCTTTGGAGTTCGGTGAGGCCGTTTGCCGGACTTGGCTGATGTTTCTGCAGCGTCTTGACTTAGATTCAATCAAAACACACAAGTGGACTATCTTGCCATGCAGTGCAATGACGGGCAAGAATCTGAATGAAGGTCTAGAATGGGTGGTACAAGATGCCAAGGACCGACTGTTCCTTTACTAGTGAACTCGGGGGAAATCAGCCTGTGTCTTCTCTTGATATCCATTGCTTACAAGGTATCTAATATGTTAAGTTACCTTATTAAATTTCAGATTAATCTATTCATATAACCGGTCGGACTCTGTTGTCTCACCCGTTAGATTTAAACTAACGTGCCGTCAGTCATATCCTAAAAATCGTCAATGCGGTACATGTGATGCATTCCCTTCCAAGGTTTATAACACTGCTTACATATTCTAAAGGACCATCTAGTAACCTTGGGAATGTTCGAAGTAGCAAAGGAACCAGCTACTCATATCCGACAGGCTAGAGTCAAAGAACGGAAAGAAAGAGTTAAGAAAAGTAATGTTTCATTTCATCCAACTACTAAGTACTCCGTACAACCTAGCATATGCAAGGCACAAACTGATATATCCAAACGAAAATAGTCACATATGACCCAACTATAAGTTCAACGTAGGCCATTTAGCCCCTGAAATAAGGAAAAAACAAGAAAAACAAGAAAAACCAGAAAGAACGAGCAAAGCCATGGAACGAAGAGGAAAACTGCGGGGCCCATCGCTCCACATAAATAATGGGAGTAAACAAACTCTTATGTGTGACTGATTCAGGTTTGGTCTGTATAAATGCATCTATCCATCTCTATATAGAAAAAAAATATATTATAGTAAAAAAACCAGGATAAATTGTGTTAAAAATATTTAAGAAATAAAAAGTGATGTGTGAGCCAATGAATGTGTTGATCATCGCCAGTCCCGATTTAATTTAAACAGGGCGGAGAAACACAGCCCTTCTTCCACTCTACAACTCTTTCCCCCTCATTTGTTTCATTCTAGGAGGCGTGCATGAACGCCAGGAGTCCTAGACCATGACTGTCCCCAACGAGAGTTCCGAGGATGTCAATGATTTCCTTCAGCGCATCCGGGAACTAGGCGAGCGCCGCGACAAGGAAGATGACGAGCGCACCAAGAAACTAGAGGAGGAGATCCTGCAGGGTCGGAAGGAAAGGCAAGCCCGGAGAGCTGGTATATACTCCCTCTTCCCCTTCTCTGCAGGCAATGTCCGCATAGTCACGGCATTTGCTGCAGGTCGACAATGTGCTGATATCCGGATGACTCAAAATAGAGCGTGCACGATCACTGGCCCTTACCGACGATTCATCCACCCTCAATATCGCACGACTGAGCGCTTCATCTATCAGCGCCCGGTCTATCGACCCCCGGAACACCTCGAGCCAACACCGCAAACGCCGCAAACGCTAGAACCTGAGCCCCCAATCCCGAGCGCTGTGGATTCGAGTCAAGACATGGAGCCCTCCGATGCCGACAAGCGGCGCGGATCAATCCCGGATCTCGGAATGGATTCTCCCTCGCGGGCACGACCACCCTTGTCCCGCAGCCGTGCGGGGACTTTGTCATGGCAGCAACGTCCCTCCTCGCGAGATTTCGGCATGTCACCCGGTTCAACATCCCCAACTCGCTCCCCAACTCGCGCAAGCCACCTGAGAAATTTGTCTACAGCATCGGATGAAAATACACTATCTCGACTTCAATTTGGGTTCCCGCGGCCCTCGAAGGATGCTGTGCTCCCTCCATCACCGGACCGCGGGGCTGGGTCGGTAGCACACAGTGGGAAGGAGGAACAGACGGATAGCCAAACAGACGTGGGCGCGGGGCCTCAAGAGCCGGAAGTGGGTGAAGAATCAAGTACCGAACTAGATAAACTCGAGGCAGTAGAAGAGAGACCATCGTCGCCTCCGAGAACCGGTTCTCGCGATAGCAACATGAGCCATCGCTTCTCTGTATCATCGGTTTCGGCCACGGGGTTGGGGTCGCCAGTGCACCTGTCAGAGACTCCGAAGCTCGAGCCTCGACAGAATGATTCCTCCTTCGAGGAATCTGTGTCGCCCTCTCCAACCCAGCGGCGGATGTCACCAGAGCGAACGCGGTCGACCTCACCCACCAAGGGCCTGGGAGGCTTTGTTCAGAGTGCTATGATGAGAAGATCAGATAGTGTGTCAAAAAGGTGGAGTGCGCAAACTCCGCAGGGGCTCGGGCGGTCAAATTCCATTGTGTCAAATCGCAGCAGTGTGGCAGGTCCAAGTTTGACTGAAATGACCCCTCCAACCCTTGGGCGAATCGGTCGTGAACCTTCAACTCTCCTGCAACGACCAGGCTCCAGCCACAGTGAGGCACCCACCGAGACAACCGAACGACCAACCACACCTGCGGATAGAGACAGTGTGAATTTTGAAAGTCCAGCAAAATCATTCCGACCTGGTCACTCTCGTTCTGCTAGCTCTGCTACCGCAGAAGGCAGCGACGCTCAAAGTCCGTTTGTCTCAAAAACAATGGACCCCAGGCGCTGGAGCCCCAACAAGGCTTCTTGGTTGGAGAGTGCCCTCAACCGACCAGAGCTACCACGACAAACCACTAGACCCCCGTCGCAGCCCAACTGGGCCAAAGACCGGCAGTCGCGAGGTAGCGTGGATTTGGGACGAGTCAACAATTTCAAGGAAGTCACCCCTCTCGGTTTGATGCGAACACCCCCGCCAGGAACTCAAACGAAACTACCTGGTGTCTCTGGTCCATCGCTTCCTACAAGCCCTATTAAGGATGGTGTTCCTGAGTCTCCATTAGGGTTCCCTCTGAAGAAGATTGGTGTCTCTGGTCCATCGCTTCCTACGAGCCCTGCTAAGGATGGTGTTCCCGAGTCTCCATCAGGGTTCCCTCTGAAGAAAACCGGGATCTCTGGTCCATCGCTCCCTACAAGCCCTCTGAAGGAGGCAGTCCCTGAATCTCCGTCTGGATTCCCCTTCAAAAGGCCAAGCATTTCGGGTTCATCACTTCACAGGAACTCCGTCTCAGATCCTCCCTCGGAATTCCCTTTCAAAAGACCTGGTACCTCTGGAGGGTCAGTCAGCGGAAGCCCTGAAGGCAAGCTTAAAGAAACAGTACCCGAGTCTCCCTCGGGATTCCCTTTCAAAAAGCCCATCAGCTCGAGTTCATCACTCCACAGAAACTCCGTCTCAGAGCCGCCGGCGGAATTCCCACTCAAGAGGCCCAGTGTCTCTGGTTCCTCGGTTTCTGGAAGCCTTGCCAAGGAGACTGTTCCTGAATCTCCATCAGAGTTATCCGTCAAGAGACCCAGTATTTCTAGTCCCTCGATCCCTGGAACTCCCGAAGCCAAATTGAAGGAGGTAGTCCCACAATCTCCGTCAGTTCTCGGTAACCCTGACGCCGTACAAACAAAAGAGGAAACACCAGCTTCTCCATCACCTGTCGAGGAAGCTCTCAATGCTCTCTCAGGCGGCGCACCGGCGGAGGAACCCAAGTCTTCCTCTCCCGCTGAAATGGAGAATGAATCGCAAGAACTACCGGCATCTGAAGATTCCGAACCTCAATCTACTCCCACTCGCAGGGCCCCTCCCGACTCATTGAGCCCCAAACCAAACTTTTCCATCTCTACTTCCTCGCGGGGGCCCATTTCACCTAAGGCGAAGCCACAATCTCCTGTGCTGGACTTCCGAGCAAACCTACGAAAGCGCGAAGTCGTGAAAGATAACGGAGATAACAAAGAACCGGAATTTAAGAATGTATTTGGGCGCCTCAAAAAGACCGAAACTCGCAACTATGTTGCCCCTGATGAGCTCAAGGGCAATATCCTACGAGGCAAAGCTGCTTTGAACAACACCGGTGGACCAAAGAAGACCGAGCGAGTTGATGAATTTAGGAAGAGCCTTGTGTCACGCAAAGATGAAATGAAAGCCGGCGGAGGCTCCATCAGACGGAATACCGCTGGAGAGCAGGATGCGCCGCCAAAACCGACCGAGGTCGTGCCAGAAGCAATCGCTATGCGACAAAATATGACCCGAGCAAATAGCATTAAACAGCCACTTGTTGATGAGCCGATTTCGCCTGCTAAAAGCTTTGGTTCTCGAGCTTCGCAGGATAGACCACCATTGTCGTCTCCGACTTCATCTTTCAAAGGCATCGTTTCATCACGAGCTTCTCAGGAACAACAACCATTGTCGCCATCTCCTGCCAACGATGAGCCGGGCTGGCCCTTGAAAGATACCAGTGCCTCGCGAGCATCTCAAGAATCACAACCATTGTCACCGTTTCCTGCCGATGATTCCATCGATGAGGAGCCAGAGGAGGCAATTTTAGCGGCGAGCGACTACAAGCAAACTCCCGAGGTGGTAGCTTCCGCGAACCAGGAAGAAACCCGTGAAGCCGTGGCACCAGTCGAGCCCACCATAGTGAAGATGCAGGAGCCTTCAGTCAAGACACTCCGCCCAGTCCGTCAGTGGCCACCGGCACCTGCCGCAGAGGCTACTGCAACTCCAAGTCTGGCAGCTAAAAGCAAATTGGCGGGCCGAATCAACCCTGCGCTAGCTGGCCTGCTTTCTCGTGGCGCCCCTGCTGGCGACGGACCGAAGAAGCAGCTGCCAACCCCCGTCTCAGCGCAGAGTAACCCTGCTTCGCCATCTGCGCCTCTCACACACTTTACGAAGGGTCGTGCCAGAGGTCCGAAGAGACGACTTCCCCAGACAACTGATGTCTCGACCCCGTCCGCTCTGGATGATACTAAGGAGGTTGGTGCTATTTCATGCTCTGAAGCCACCCCGTCACAAACTCCTATAATCCCTATTGAATCCTTGGACATCGATTCGGAGTACCTGTCGCAGCCTGATGAAAACCCTGTTCCTGACATCAAAAACTCCCGTTCAGACAGCGCAGTCACCGAGCACGAGCAATTTCCGGAGGTAAACACTCCTCCCCAAGATACCCTCGAACGCGATACGCCCCAAAGTGGATTCCCGCAAGCACTTCAGACCCGTTCCCTAACAACGGATTTCGACATTTTCTCCTCTGCCAATCTTGAGGCGACACCCAGGGACCCCGAAAGCCCTGGAGAGGTGAGTCCATCAAGCGGACCACCTGTCCCGCCGAAGTCCGATTCTCCCACGTCCCCCTTGCCTGCAACGCCAAAGCCACAATGGGGCCAGCAAAACCGGTTTGCGTCCTCATCGCCGTCCCCTCTCCGAACAAGTCACAAAGAGAACCAAATGGATTTACCTATGAGCCAGGAGAAAAGCATCCCCGGTGTTACCGTCGAGTCAGCACGTAGTTCCGTCTCACGGCCCATGAGCCATCCCTCCCCGCCAGTACCCCCTAAAGACGGTGATGTTATGCTCCACAAGCCAACCGATCCGCGCAGACTTTCAAGAAAGATGTCTGCCCCATCACTGGTTGCGCAAGCTAGTGAGGCACGTGAGGTAATTGCGGGCTTCTTCAAGACATTGCCCGACGCTCGAAACCGGATGGACATTGATCCCCAGCTGATCTTGATGCGCAAGCCGGACGATGTAAAGATCAGGACCGTGAAGCTACAGATCTGGGAACTCACCGGTGATGGGAGGCGTCAAGAACTTCCTTCCCACCAGGAGTACATCCTATACCAAGGCAGCATGTATCTCTGCGTGCACACATTTGAGTCTGGACGAAGCAGCACTTCGGAAGTATACCTTTGGCGTGGAGATGATGTCCCTGACGCCTCGGTGGAGAATGAACAGCCCTTCGCACGCAAAGTTGCTCGTGAGAATAGCTCCAAGTTGCAAGTCATTCGGCAAGGCAATGAGCCCAAGCGGTTCATCCAAGCACTTGGTGGTATTATGATCACGCGTCGGGGATCCAGCTCTCGCCACAATTCATCGGCCCTCTACATGCTTTGTGGCCGGAAACACTTGGGCGAGATGACCTTCGATGAGGTGGATTACTCACTGCGCAATCTTTGTTCTGGTTTCCCTTACGTTGTCTCTGCTCCCTTTGGGAAGCTCTACCTATGGAAGGGCAAAGGCAGTGGCCCTGAAGAGACCGGTGCAGCTCGACTTATTGGCATGGATCTAGGTCTGACTGGGGAGTTTGAAGAAGTCACCGAGGGCGAAGAGCCCGAGGATTTCTTCGATGTCTTCGCAGGCCCCAGGGAGGCCGCACCGCACATGTGCCAATATCACTGGCAGCTCAAGCCGAAGTACAACCACTTCGGCACGCGACTTCTCCGGGTCGACCACGAACTGAACCCGCCAACTCGTTTCTGGAATATCCGCCGTCCGGGCTCAAGTTCACCAGTGGTCAAAGCCAACGATTGTATTCAAGAAATCGAGCCATTCTGCTACCGAGATATCACCGAGAAAGATGTTTATGTTCTGGACACCTTCTTTGAGATCTACGTGTAAGTACTACCCTACAACAACGCCCTCTCCTCGACTAACACTAATTCCTCTCACAGTATTATCGGCGACCAAGCCTCACAGAAGCCTGCCGATTTCGCCTCGGCAGTGGTCTTCGCGCATGAATATGGTATCCTTGCCACATCCCTCCAGGACCGGCCATTCATCCCAAAAAGTTTCGTGGCCCTCGGCGGCGTCCCCGACCGCTGCCAAAGCGCATTCCGCAAATGGAACCCACGTGCCCAGCATGCGCCTTTCGTGTTCTCTCTGGATGTCGTTATCGAGGCGATTCGATCACCAGAGGAGAATTGAGTGAGATCTTGTGTTTTTTTATCTGATTTTTTGCGGGCTTCTGCTTTGGATTTGTGCATATTTCGGTTTGTACAGGCTCTACAGAGCATTTCGGAGTCCTGTGTACTTGTGCCATATTTGCGCCATAGAGGAAACTGGAGCATCTGGGGAATCTGGGGATGTAGATAGGTGGTTTTCGCATTTGAGGGTGTATTTAGGCATGATTTTAAGAATTCAAGTTTCATACCGAGGTTGCCTATTTACCTAGGCTTATCTTTCTTTTTTTATAAATTACATATATAAATTAAAACATAAAACATCTGATTACTCGGACATTTCGGGCATCTAGTAGTGGTTTAGTATTCCGTATAGGATTTATCGACGGGAACGGAGCAACGGAGGGACGGAGATAATAAAAAAAAATCATCCGATCTGGAATGTCGCCATCTCCGATCTCTTGATTGGCGTTTGTAAACTTCTCCTTTCTTACATATGTACATTCTACTCTCCCTAATGGCAATGTGAATAGTTGAGCCATGGACCCCTCCATCCTTCGCGAGCTCTCGAAGCTCGACCCCGCGGTACCGTTCCGCTCATCGACCGATCATCTGCATCACACATGGGCCAAGACATTCTTCTCGCGCCCGGAGTTGTACATCCGCCCACAAACCATTCCAGAGATCCAACAGCTGGTGACTCTCGCCCGTCGCTGTCGTCGCCGCATCGTAACAGTCGGCAGCGGCCACTCGCCCTCCGATTTGACTTGCACCTCGTCATGGCTTGTCAACCTCGACAACTTCAATCGCATCCTCCACGTTGACCCGTCAACTGGCTCGGTAACCGTCGAAGCAGGCATCCGATTGAGCGAACTGGGCGCACAACTGGAGAAACATGGCCTGACACTTGAGAACCTGGGCAGCATCGACAGCCAATCCATAGCTGGCGTCATCGCCACTGGCACCCACGGCAGCTCCCTACGCCACGGCCTGGTGTCGGAATGCATCGACTCACTCGGCCTGGTACTCGCCAATGGCCAGCTAGTACGCTGCAGCCCGACAAACAACCCGGACCTGTTCCGCGCGGGACTGGTGTCGCTCGGAGCGCTCGGAATCGTCGTCGAGGTCACCTTCAAAGCGACGCGCACGTTCAATATCGCCTGGCGCCAGGAGCGGTATTCGCTAGCTCGCGTGCTGGACGAATGGTCGACGGGTCTGTGGACATCGCATGAGTTCGTGCGCGTTTGGTGGCTGCCTTATGAGAAAGGCGCTATTGTCTGGCGTGCTGATAAAACCGACCTCCCGCTGCGCGCTCCCCGAAAAACTTCTACGGCGACTCGCTAGGCTACCACATCTACCATAATCTGCTCGCGCTGTCCTTGTACGTCCCGCGCATCTTGCCGTGGGTCGAATGGTTCGTCTTTGGTATGCAGTACGGCTTCCGGGCTGGGTCGACCGTCACCGAGGCCGTTGAGCCCGCGCGCTCGGGATTGTTGATGAACTGCCTGTATTCGCAGTTCGTTAACGAATGGGCTCTCCCGCTGGAAAAGGGCCCCGAGGCCATCGGTCGGCTTTCGGCCTGGCTGCACGGCGACACTGAGACCGCGCGCATTCCCTTCTCATCCAAGGGGCTATACGTGCACTGTCCGGTAGAAGTACGAGTCTCCGATACCTCGCTGAACACCAAGCCCCGCCCATTCCTAGACCCGACGTGTCACGACGGCCCGACGCTCTACCTTAACGCAACGCTTTATCGTCCATATCTCCGCGACCCGCCGTGCAAATCACGCTACTACGAAGCCTTCGAATGGCTGATGCGGGAGATGGGTGCGAAGCCACACTGGGCGAAGAACTTCCACACATTGAACTCACACGAGCTGGGCACCGCGTACGGGTCAGACATGGAGTCGTGGATGAAAGTGCGTTCAGAGGTCGACGCGGCCGGGATGTTCGTGGGCGAATGGCATCGGCGCCACCTGCCGCTGGAGCTCGGGCAGGGAAGCGAAGCACCTGAGGGTGAGAGGCTGCCCCTCCTGGAGCGCGAGCACGAACGTCGCAGGGTAGACATGAGTGGCGTCGGGGATGGCGTCGAATGGGTAGGGGATCGCCGATGGCAGGTTCAGGTTAAGGCTCAGCGACACTCCCTTGATGCGCTGTATTTGGAGAAGAGCTTGTACTCATTACCGCCAGATCACTCGTCTAGTCCGTCTGGTACGGCGACCAGCGAGGAGAGCTTTGATTTGCTTGCCAGGGGTGAAGCGAGCATCGTGCTCCCCCCCCGATGGACCGGGAGAGTGAGAGGAGAGAAACCAGGCTCCCGTCGAAAGCAAACAACCTCTTGTTTTTCGGGTGCAAGAGTAGTCCTGATTCTTCCGTTTCTTTTGCACCTGCTGATCTGTTGGCGACTATTCTGACTGGTCCACTCCAGGGCTGTGTTGGTGCTTATTGGCTCTAGGAGCTAATTTGGTGATTTCCCGCATCACTTTCGTATTTCTTCTTTCTTTTTTCTTCTTTTCCCCTTTTTTGTTCCAAGCAATTTAGGGTTCATGGTTAATTCCATTGGGCAAATCTGACATCCGAGGATGTTCAGGCTTCGAATTCTTGACGCCAACTGTCTCCCAAAAGCGAGGGCTTTTTAGATCTCCTTCCTATACGGAGTAGATCGCTCTGATATTACACATTGCATTTTCCCCTGCTTTTACCCTTGTTTTGCCTTCTTTTTCACCCCCCATTTTCCACTTGCCATTCCCAAGGCAGAGAAATCTTATGGCCTCGTGGTCTCTACGCACTTGAAATTGGAATCTGTCGGTGAACGAGTGGAATGCATGCATGTTTGATGCAGGTGCTCGTACCAAGTCGTTCCATAGCGCTAACTTTGTATGTCTGCTTTTTTTTGGCTTTTGAAAATATGCATACAGCAATCAATAGTCGATAGTCGATAGTCCACTCCATTCTTGTACACACCGTGGCCAATTTTTACATGGAATCGTCCATATCTTGTTTTTATGAGATCGGGGAGAAAGAATCACACTGTGTCCATGTCTCTGTCCTTGTCCCTTGTCCCCTGTTCCCTGTTCCCTGTTCCCTGTCTTGTCGCAGCTGAGAGACCTTGAGATGGTCCATGTACGGAGTACTCGACAAACCAATCTTCGACGCATTGCACAGGTCCCATACAGCTCTATGAATTTTATTGCATTCCACGGTCTAGACAACTCGGTGGCAAACCCGAGATTCAGTATTGATGTTCTGTTCAGACAATATCGTGGGGGTTTGGGGTTGGGGGTGGAAAATGAAGAGAGAAGTACAGTCAAGTGTACTCCGTAGATCAGTGACACACTGTATGGTATTGCAGCTCGAGCTGAGCACTGTGCTGCCTGGTAGGTATACTTAGTATACACATATCACACATACTTACACCGCCACACACACAGTTAGTACAAAAAGGAAGTTGATCAATGCAAAGATCTAGCCTTGACAACTGTTCGGATTAGGGCTGCTTCTTCCTTGGGGATCTGATCATAGCACACTGGGTCTGATTCTGTGCGAGAATGCAGGCAGTACCAGGGTAATATTGTACGAAAGAAATAGAAGAGTGTCATGTAGGTAGAAAAGTAGAAAGGGTAGAAAGGGTAGAAAGGGGAGTAAAGGGGCCCTAATAGGATAGAAATGTTAATATCATCAACCCCGCTTTGTATCAGGAAAGAAAGTACTTCCTATTGTCGCTCTCCTCAGCCTCTTTTTAACTCCTTCAACTTCTTTCTCTTTTCAGAGGCTGAGGGAGGGAGCCACCTGACAGTGTAATTGTCTACATATTCTCTGGCATATCATGTTGTACCACGTTTCGGTGCAGCTGGCAAGGATGTCATATGTCCTTTTTCACCGACTTCTTTTTGGACTCTTTTATTTTTATCTCGCATTGACCTCTTCACAGCTGCAGGAGGAAAACGATTGGACATCATCTCATTACAAAATCTCGGAGTTGGCCTTTCCCAATCTCCAGGCACGTGTGTTGGGGGTCTCTCTGACGTGCAGTGTCAGCATTCGAGAGGAAAATCGTGTGACAAGGAACGTTACCTCCCTATGGGCTTGATCGTCTCTGTATTTTCCTGCCCAATGACTAGGGTGATCTGCCGAATTCATGGACTCACGGCTCGGACCGTGTCATTGTACTGATCTCTAGGTACCTAAACAGTCGCCTAAGTGACTGCCTACTTGTCTGCATGCCTACATGCCCTGGGATCAACCGCATGCCACCCTCGTCACCCTCGAACGCTTTGAACAGTCTCTCCACGTCACTATGGCCAAGGGCTTCTCTGCTGATGCGGGGGACAACTTCTCTGCACCTTTGATAATCATGATATCAACGTTTGGCCCTGGCGGCTGAAAGCCCGTTTCATTATCATCCACCCCACCTGCTCGATTCCTTTCTTTTTCTTCTGTTTTTCCTTTTTACTTTGCTGGTCAAAGCTCTCATTTTCTCTCTCCTTCCTGATCTTGAAATCTTGTTCTCTCTCTTCCTTTCTTTCTCCGCCATTTCTACTCTTGCATTGCAATATCTACCTCCCTTGCTTGGTTTCTAGTGGGGTTTCCAATATGATACAATCCACCATGTCGTGGCAGCCAAAGCTTCGCCCCAAGGGCTTCCCGCATAGCATTGACGACTTTGCGGCTGTGGCTTCGTTGTCGGAACTGGAGCATCGGGCCCGGACTGGCGAGGACAAGCGCGACCAACGCGTCTTCCGGGTCAAGCGTAAGCATGTTTTGAAGGCCTGTGATAGATGTCGCGTGAAGAAGACCAAGGTATGTCGACTGATATAGCATAAGGATTGCGATTTGACTAACCCATTCCAGTGTGATGGGAAACAGCCTTGCAACCGCTGCTCGGTATACAACCACCCTTGTCTATTCCGTGAAAGGAAGGCCACACAGACCAAAGTATACTCCCGAGGGTGAGTGCATGCACAGAATCTCAAGCCACGCATGTCCTCAGAATCTCATAGACAAACCACACATAGATTCGTCGAAATGCTCGAATCCCACCATTCCCTGGTCGTAAAAGCCCTCCAGAAACTCTACAAGTTCTGCATCAACAACGAAGGCTTCCCAGGAGATCCCCTCGCCGAAGCCCCAGACGGACACCCTCTAACACACGCAATCCTCGACCGCCTAGGGCTAATCAAACAAGCCGAAGAAAACGCCGACGAGCCAGACGAAGACTCAGAGGATCTGCGCTACCTACGACTGCTATCAACATCCACCGAATGCAGCGTCACAGCAGAGCCCTCACCAGAGCCAACAACACCCCCAGAGCCCTCGCCAACCCTCTCTCGTCCACCATGCCCAGTCCCAACACCCATATCCATGCCCAGCCGCACCACTACGGCCACAAGCTGGCAGTGGGATCTCCAGCCCGCCCACCAGACGAGCTACAGCTACCCAGAGGCAGGGTACCACGACCTAATGGCGCTGCAGCAACGGCCATCCATGAACGCGCCGGACATGGGCGCTGATATCGCGCCCCATGTTGATCTACCGTCTGCGTCTTCCGGGCTTCCGCATCATCCTCAACATGCGCATCACGAGCCGCCGTTCCCGTATGTCCTGAATGGATGCTGTGATGCCGGCACTCCCCAGCAGGATGTTAAGCCCGTGATGGCGAGGTTACCGCCCGGCATCATGGCTGAATCTCATACGCATCCCCACCATCTTGCTGGGAATCTCTCTGCGGAGATGATGGGTGATTTCAATTTCCTGGCGCATGACTCGACGTTTTATCCTGGGTTTACGCCCGGCTGGAATTTTCCTCAGCGGTAAATCTGGTAGTATGATATGATGGACTTGTCTCTCGTCTTTTGGAGATACAGTGCCTTTTTTTTCGGTTTTGGTTTTTGGTACAAGCTGTTGAGCAGCTGATTTCATTTCACTTCTTATCTATATTTCTTCTTACCATTTCGCTTTCTCTTTTCTCATTCTCGTCATGATGGCTTACATTCTTCTCCGGCTCTTTTTCATCTTTTTTTTTCACTTTATACCCCCCACATCTGAATTTGAACATCTTCATCGGAGCATGGAGCACGACATCCACGCAGGATTATAAGATTGGAAGATGTCTGGCACATTGAGCCCCAATCCTCCTTGATAGGTCGCTTTTTTCTCCCTCCCTTTTACTTCTCGCGTTCAGCCAGGTCTTTCTTTGAATCGTCATTATTGATCTTGGATTTGGATTTCCTTTTGATTCTGGTATCTAGTTGGAAAGAGTATCGCCCTATCAATTTAGGTACTAGTTCTTATGCCTTTGATCCTTTCCGTTTTTTTCTTAGCGCTAGTATTAGCTTTTAGGTAGACCCTGTTGTGTATACTAGAATGGGTTGGGGTGGTTACTTATAATGAGATATAAGATATACACGGTTTAGCATGGTATGATCATACTACAGATAAATCCCACGATGGAGATTATCTGGCATGAAAGGTCAGTCATACTTCCCAGTTATGGTTATATTCCAACAATACCAACGATTGTGGCCACAACAAGTTCCAATGAAATGCAAAGCAACCCGTACACGATACATCCCATCCCATCTGACCTACAACCAACCCCAACCCAACCCCACACAAAAGATAACACAGAAACCCCGAAAACTGCCTCACACCAGGTCTTGATCTCGCACCAAGTCATACAGTGGTACAATACATGCACCACCTGACACAGATTCATCTAGCATCAACCCAGAAAAGAAAGACAGCCGCCGCAGCAGATGTCTGAAAAGTGTTAGGAGCGCGCAGATCAAATAAGATCAGATCAGATCGTAGATCGTAGCAAGTGCGTGTGTCATCTTGCCTGTTCGGGCTGGGGGCTGGGGAGGGGAGGACTGGGTTGCGTGAGGAGGGTTTTCTGTGGAACTTGAGGACATGCGCTTCTGTCAGTGGCTGTTGGGGTTGTTTGTGTACCCTGGTGTATGTACTTTGGTGGATGTACCGGGATATATAGGGATGTAGATGTAGATAATAATCTACCGATGTATACATCTAGGAGTTGGAGATGTGGTGTGATATGGGACAGGGAATAACATGGGACATTGCATATAACATACATACCAAGTCAAATGCTGTATCATGCTATCTCCCTGTCATTCTTGGTGAAAATATGTTGTTCTCTTACAATCTTCTAATTTCCTTGGTCTATTATTCTATTATTTATGAGAAACAAAGAAATAAAATATACATATACACGCATATATATGTACCGGTTACAAAGAAAAACCAGCTCGAGAAGAGGAATTGAAACCGTTGAATAAACCAGAGAGCTCTTGTGTAGCTTGGCTGTGTTCTGTTCGTAGGCCCCTAGGGTCTTGTGTATGGAAAATGTACAAGATTTATAGGGGAACGCAAGGAATAAACAATAGCAAGAAACCTTCGACGGAGTAGACAGAAGTCAGTCAACCACTCTTATAAGCAAAAAAATAATGGAGACCTCATCATTTTCAACATAACCTCCAATCATGATTATGATGTCCATTTTGATACCACACTGGAGACGTTCGCACCTTCCTAATTTATGGATAGCTTCATGCCACCTTAGGCCACAACTTCTCAAAGAAGGACCTAGGGAGTTCGCTGAGCCAGATTTTGAACAGGACCTTATTGATGCCATTCTCATTTCCGTCTGATGTATTGTCGCCAACCGATATTCCGAACTTCTAAGTATTGAAACTGCCATGACTCGCAGCAAGAAGACTGTCGATTTCCTCACGGACATGAATGAGAATCGAAGCGAACATCTTTGACGGTTTTTGGCTCGTTATGAAGGAAAACATCATTGAAAGTGGCATGTCAATTACAACCCGTTCGACGGGAGAGTAAGAGGATCTACCATTGGTTACTTGACCAGTGTTACCTACTTGTCAGTTAGGTATAATTACGCTATAGATAGTCAAAAATATATCTAAGATAAGCTGGAACCAAATAGATCGAATATGAAAGTTCTCGTTACCTAAAAATAGAGGCTGTAGAAGGGCCGACTATGCAACCCCCCGGCTTCTTCCGCCTGCCAAGGGTTTGGCGCCAAGGGTTGGCGCCAAGGTGCGCTCCTGCCAGCGGAGTTTTGCTGCTTCCATGAGTGCTTTGGTTCCGTCTATTCGGTTGTTTTGGCAAGGGAACAATCAGCCCAGGGAAGTACGCAGACTTTTGCTTGACGAGACAAACTCACCGCACACTGATGGAGCAATATTGTGAAAGTGACACAAGCTTGGAATATTCTGCAACGTCCTGGATCTTGGCAATTCTGCGCTTGCGGATACTATGTAGTAATTCTTGGTATTCTAGGACCCAATATTCCAGTCATTGGATGAGCCCCGACCTGCGTCCGATGTCTAGCAAACGTGAGGTGACCAGCCTAATACCTTGGCGCCTGTCCATCAGCCCATCTCTTCCAATGAACCATCCAACGTGCATGGCTACCAAGAGATCAAACCTTGGAAGTCATGGGCCAAGACTCTGGGGCATCTCCACACTGTGTTTCTCACACGAGCAGAGTCTGAGCTATCGCTTGAAAACTAAAGAACTACTTTCCTCCCGCACAAAGAGCCACATTTTAGTCAACTATCCAGCCCGTGATTGCCTCGAACAAAAGAGTCAGACGGGCAAACAGCTCGGTAGTCATCATAGCAAGCTATCTACCAACCCAAGAACAATCTTCAATGCTAGAGGAGAAGCACGACATCGCCCCCGGCGACGGGTCGGGCGGCAGCCCACTAAGCCAGCCGGCTCATACGCTCCCTTATGAAGCCGTGATCAAGGAACTCAGCACTGGGCTGGACGAGGGTCTGGCTCCCGAAGAAGCAAGCCGTCGTCTGCAGCAATATGGTCCCAACAAACTGGATGAAGGCGAAGGTGTATCGTTGGTCAAGATTTTCGTGCGCCAGGTGGCCAACGCAATGATGCTAGTAAGGGCTCACTGTCCTTCGTGTTGATATCGCGAAACTCCTTGAAAGCTCTCAAAATCTAATACAATTTGTTTGTTGCAGGTGTTGATTCTGGCCATGGCGGTCAGTTTTGGAATTCAGTCGTGGATTGAGGGCGGAGTAATCTGTGCTGTCATTGTCTTGAATATCATTGTTGGATTCTTTCAGGAGTACGCCGCCGAAAAGACTATGGAGTCGTTGCATTCGCTGTCTTCCCCGACGGGAACTGTCTCGAGAGGTGGACAGACATTCTCGGTGCCGTCATCGGAAATCGTGCCGGGTGATATGGTCGAGCTTAGAACGGGAGATACTGTTCCAGCGGATATTCGGTGAGTTTCCTGTTATGGTGTAACTCCGATTTGGTGCCATTGGGGCAGTGGTTTGCAAAATTTCTGACACATATCAGCCTGGTTGAAGCAGTCAACTTCGAGACCGACGAAGCCCTCCTGACTGGCGAGTCTCTTCCCGTCCAGAAGGAATGCGACTCGACGTTCAAAGATGATACTGGCCCTGGAGACCGCCTTAATATTGCCTATAGTTCCAGCACTGTCACTCGTGGTCGTGGGCGTGGTGTGGTTGTCAGTACAGGCATGTTCACGGAAATCGGATCTATTGCCCTCGCATTGCGGGCCAGCGGCAATAAGCGTCGTCAGGTCAAGCGTGGTCCCAACGGTGAGACCAAGAAACGTTGGTACGTCCAGGCCTGGAGTCTCACCTGGGCGGATGCCGTGGGTCGATTCCTCGGTGTCAATATCGGAACGCCCTTGCAGAGGAAGCTGTCAAAGCTGGCCTGTTTACTATTTGGAATCGCCGTTGTGTTCGCCATTATTTGCATGGCTGCAAACAAATTTAGCAGCAACACTGAAGTCATCATGTATGCTGTTGCAACCGGTATCAGTATGATTCCGGCGTGCCTGGTGGTCGTGCTCACCATCACTATGGCAGTGGGTACCAAACGCATGGTCGAGCGGAACGTGATTGTTCGCAAATTAGACTCGCTAGAAGCGCTCGGTGCCGTCACAGATATTTGTTCCGATAAGACCGGTACATTGACTCAGGGCAAGATGGTTGTCCAAAAGGCATGGATTCCGTCTCGAGGGACGTATTCCGTCGGCCCATCCAACGATCCATTCAATCCTACCGTCGGAGATGTCACCTTCAGCCCTATATCTCCTTCGCAATTAGATCATGAGAATGAAAGTACCACTACGGAGAACGCCGAAGGCCTGGTCTCGGGAAACCGCCAGCTCGAAGACTTTCTGGACGTTGCCTCAATGGCCAATCTCTCTCATGTGTACAAGTCCGAAGAGGGCGAATGGAACGCGAGAGGTGAACCCACAGAAATTGCCATTCATGTTTTTGCATCGAGGTTCAATTGGAACCGCGACCGCTGGGTCAAGAAAGGCCAGGGTACAGTATGGCACCAACAGGCTGAATTCCCATTCGATTCAACTGTTAAGAAAATGTCTGTGATTTTCAGCAAGATCACTCCACAAGAGACCCGGACAATGGTGTTCACCAAGGGTGCGGTCGAGCGTATCGCAGCCTCATGCACCTCTATCATCTGGGACCAAGATTCGTTTACCCCCGTGCCAATGACCGACGACCACCGCGAAAAGATCATCCAGAACATGGAGGAACTCGCCAAACTGGGACTTCGGGTCTTGGCTCTGGCCCATCGACCGTACACTACTCAGACACAACTGCTCGAAGATGCCGACCTGAATCGTGAAGATGTAGAGAATGATCTATGCTTCCTAGGACTGATCGGTTTGTATGATCCTCCGCGCCCTGAGACGGCGGGCTCAATCCAGGCCTGCTACCGAGCTGGTATAGTTGTCCACATGGTCACTGGCGATCACCCTGGCACTGCCAAAGCGATTGCCCAGCAAGTAGGAATCCTTCCTACTAATTTCAATGCCGTGGCGGCTGATGTTGCGGACGCCATGGTCATGACTGCTAGTCAATTTGACAAACTCACTGATGAGGAAGTAGATTTACTTCCGACTCTGCCTTTGGTCATTGCACGCTGTGCCCCGCAGACCAAGGTGCGCATGATTGACGCACTTCATCGCCGTGGCCGCTTTGCAGCTATGACTGGAGACGGAGTTAATGATTCTCCTTCGCTTAAGCACGCCGATGTTGGTATCGCTATGGGACAGGCAGGTTCGGATGTGGCTAAAGATGCATCTGATATCATTCTCACGGATGATAACTTCGCCTCGATTCTCAATGCCGTCGAGGAAGGTCGTCGTATCTTTGATAATATTCAAAAATTCGTGCTTCATCTATTGTCAGAGAACATCGCTCAGGCCTGTACCCTACTTATCGGATTAGCTTTCAAAGATGCTGATAATCAATCCGTCTTCCCTCTTTCACCGGTCGAAATTCTCTGGATTATTATGATTACATCGGGTATGCCTGACATGGGCCTTGGAATGGAGGTGGCTGCCCCTGACATCATGAACCGTCCTCCCCAGAGTAAGCAAGGCATATTCACCTGGGAGGTAATCATCGACATCCTGGTATATGGTATCTGGACCGCAGCACTCTGCCTGGCGGCATTTTCTGTCCGCGTGTGGGGATTCGGCGACGGCAACCTGGCCCGTGGCTGCAACAAGGAGTGGTCAGAAGAGATCAAAGACTGCGAACTGGTCTTCCGAGCACGTGCCACGACGTTCGTGTGCTTGACTTGGTTTGCGCTTTTCCTAGCTTGGGAAATGGTCAACCTGCGCCGGTCGTTCTTCCGCATGCAACCAAAATCCAAGAAATACTTTACCCAGTGGATGTACGACGTCTGGCGGAACAAGTTCCTTTTCTGGTCCATCATGGCCGGATGGATCACGATGTTCCCTATCCTTTACATCCCCGTTTTGAACGATGTCGTCTTCAAACATAAGCCTATCACTTGGGAATGGGGCATCGTGGCGGTCGAGGCTGTCCTGTTCTTCATCGGTGTCGAAGCCTGGAAATGGGCTAAGCGAGTCTTCTTCCGTCGCAGAGCCCGAAAATATCCGCAGTTGACTCCGTTGGAAGAGATCCCTGAGCAACTCTAACAAATGCTTTCCCTGGCCCGACATCAAACGGGGCCGGGGAACAAACCGCCACATTGTCTTAGCACGCACACATCATGGGAACACACTTACTGGGAAAACTGGGACATCATTTTATGGGGATTGTGGATATCCGGAGGAGGTATTTGCAATGGATCGTGGGAAGTTTGGGCTCAGGGACTGCGCTGCCCCCAGGGGTTGCTTTTCTCGCCCACCAAACATGTACATAGTTCATCGACCAAGGTTTATTACCGGGTTTTTTTAACTAAGAATGGAAACAAGCACGATGTCAGTCTTGTAATGGATAAACCATACAATAATAAGATGGGGGGAAGTGAGGCGTAGCCTAAATAAAAAGAGAGCATTTCAATTGGTAATCCCCAGGGCCGGCATGTCAACGATCAAATCAGGGTTAATGGCATGTCAGTTAAGTACCCTTTTCGGGCAATTGGTCAAAATCAACGTAATTAAACCTATAATTCGGGCAATGCTACCTAACTGGTGGTCGGATGTGCGTCATTTAAAGTCCTCGTTAAGGATAGAGGCTGCATAAGGGGCCGACTATTCTTGCAGACGGGGTGAGAGGTGAGAGGATTGGCTCAAAAAGAGTAATACATTTATTCAATCCAGACTTGACTACTCTATTTTAGACCAAACTGAAAGTAATCCGGCTGATTAATCACTGTATCGCGATAATCGGGAAGACTTAGACTTACACAAGCTCATTGCCCAGAAGAGTAATGAGTTCGTAGACAGCGAAGTTGAATCACATCGCCATACCCAAGTCACTCCATAGCTACCCGATGAATAAAAGAATTTGATAAAAACCGAGAACGCCTTAGTAGCAATAGTAGGCCTAAGCCCGGGACATGGGCAAGGCCAAGGTCCAGGGTTCAGATCAAAGGCCAATGTCACACATACACATCACACAAGCTGTGAGTACAATCGATCAATCAATGCATGAGAAAGGGAATCAATCCTCGTCTTCCGTCTCTGTGTCGGTGTCGCTGGTATCACCCGCGTCGCCGTCGGTATCACTCTCGCTGGAGTCGTCGGAATCCTTAGACTTCTTCTTAGGTGCTTGGCCTGTCTTGATCGCCTGCATTTGGCCGGCGATTGAGTCTAAGAGGGAGGATTAGTAAAAGCGAAACAAGTAGTTTAGTGGGTAGTAGCTGAGAAAGACTTACCCTCGTCTGGCTCGCTGATGTCGTCTTCCTCTTCCACAGCGACTGCCTTGGCAGGGTCGTCAATGTGCAGCGTAATTTGAGCCGTGTTGTCAAGACCCAGGTAGCTGTCACAGATCATGTGGAGGATGAAGGTGAAGTCGCCGACCTGCGGGGGAGCCTGGAATTGCATCTTGAGAGTCTGGACGTCGAAGGTGGGCTTGCCGGCCTCGTCGAAGATCGGCTTGTCGAATGTTGTAAATGTGAACGGTGGCACGGCCATCTTGCCCTGCTTGCCGTCTGCTAGGAAGATGTTCCAGCGAGGGGAGTGGTCGCGTGCTAAGTACGGTGCGTGGGCCAGCGGCGGCTGGATGGTTTCAATCTTCGCCTCAACCTTCTTGCCATCCACCAGCTTGGTGGTGCGGTTCTTGGCTGGCTTGCGACCCATCAGGGCCTCCAGATCGTCCTCATCGGGGTCAACGTCCTCCAGGTCGAGCGGGTTCACTGGCGGCACGGATGTACTGCCTGGCGGGATGAAGCGGGCTTTTACTACCAGCTGTACCAGACTGCTGGGTGTGATCACCTTTTCTCCCATAACCTTGAAGAAGATCCGCTCGGGTTGGAGCATGGGGAGTTGCTTGGCAACGGACACGGCGTCGGTATATTGCTTATCAGAGAGAAGACCAGCACCGACAGTAAGTCTGCGTCGCTGAGCCTCTGGCAGTTCCATGTACCTTTGAACGGTGAGATGTTCCTTGGAGTCTTCGCCCTCTACGGACTTGACAATGGCATCGGTGAAGTTGGGAAGTTGCAGCAGTGGTGATGAGCCCGGGGACACGGCCTGAATCAGGTTCTGAGACGTTTTGAAGGCACCGACGATCGGTCCGAGGTTACCAAATGCAAGTGAAATAGCAGTGAAAGCTTCAGTGAGAGCAAGGGCGACTGGGGCCGCTTCATATTTTTCTGCGGAGGCTCAGTTAGTGGTATGTTTCAGAACATCATTGGGAATTTTCTTACCAGCATCCAGAGAGGCATCACCAAGATCAATTCGGCCAAGATAAGCCCATAACAAAGCCAAAGCCTTTCGACGAGAGGAGCTATCCAACTGCTTCAGCGCCTCACGGTCCTTGGCCGTAAGGAACAAGTTATCATCTGCCAACACGCGCTTCTCGAGCTTGGCCAGGCCAGACTCGGCCCGAGTACCCTTGAGCATATCATTGAATTCCTCGCCGGACGACAAAGCGCTGACAATTCCAGCTTCGGTAATATCGTCCTTGTACTCGCGGAAAATGTTTCCGGCACTGGCAACAAGAACACGCTCCTTTGTGTAGCGCTGAGATCCATACCACCACTTTCCGACGATATAAGGCAGAAGCACACCCAAGAGGGCACCATAGACCATTAAAACGTATTTGCCATTGCCATCCATAACAATGAACTTGGGAAGGGCAATACCGATGCTAAAGCTCTGCTTGCCGTCGGGGTGGCCAAATTGGAGGTAGTTGTTTCGCACCTCCTCGTCAGTGAGAGCTTTATAGGCCTTGGTGAGCTCCACGAAGCGCTCGTTGAGCATCTCGACAGTCTCATTCTTAGCGGGGTCGGGGCGAATTTTATCGGGGTGGAAGATCAAAGACATGCGCTTGTAATGTCTGGAGATAGCTTTCTCATCGGCGCTCTGTTTTCCGAGAAATTTAGTCAATTGAAATCCTCTGAGAGTATTAGGCGGGGACGCGCCGAACTAAATAACTCACCCTAGAGACACCCAAAATATCATAAGGGTCGTATGCCTTCACCACTGTCCTGGCGGTGACGAGAATTAAATAGACCATCCATGCCATTACGGCATATCCGAGGATGACCGTGATAATGCGCTTGATTCGGCGCTCTTTGCGCAGGCGCTTGCGCTTCTGCGCGTCGATGAGGTCCGCATGTTTAGGTTTGAAATCGGATTTGATGCGGGGAGCGGTATTCTCAAGCTCTGTAGATCACATAAAGCGGTTAGGGCCTAGAAATACATATGGTCTAGTCTTGCAAAAGCTCACCTTTGCTAGGTCGTAGGAGGTTATAGGTGAGAGGGAGAGTGACCAGGCCGGTCAAGGTGAGGATGAAGAAGGGGAAGAATTGTCCCTAAAAGCCAAAGTTAGTGCTACTACTTCTTTAACGGATCAAGTCCCATCCTTACCTGCTCATCATAGGTGTAGTCTGACGACATCCTGCGGCGGGTTCAGGGTACAGACAGCGGTGGCCGCTGGCCGCGGAATTTAAAGATCGTGTTGTACAGGGCTGTTGACGGTAGCCACTTTGAACGGTCAAGAGAACGCGTTTGGATCGTAGAATTGCAATAAGAGCCTACTTAGAGCCCAAAAGCCTGGCTCACAAGAAACAAAGGAGTGATGTAGGGTGAATCAATATCGCACTTCCTGATCTGGTGATGACCGTGTCCTCAAGCAGGGTCCACTCACCGCCTGCCTTAAGTGGGAGTCAATACATGGCAGTTTCTTTTGGGCGCTACAGGCGGTGAAAGGACAGAGTGGAGATCCACAGGCATATGATGTTTGCTACTACGTCTGTTGTATAGTATTGTGCACTGTTGGTCTATCTTACCTAGGGATGATACATGATAGCTTTCTAAGGTTTCTTTGAAGGTCAAGGTATTTTTCAAAATATGTTCATAATTTTTGGTGTGAATGAGCTCAAGGCTGCATATATACTGATTTTAAATACACTCTAAAAGAGCGACAGTGATGATCGAATATCCAATCAAAATCACATGCTCCAGCCTTAACCATTTACTTTCTGTTTAGAAGTATGACAGAACAAATCCATCGCACACAATTCTCCCCTCATAACAAAGATAACCGAGACCTCCCCAGTCTGCCCAGAAAAGGAGTTCAAGCATCAACGATTCGAGGTCGGACGCAAACTCAACCAATCTAGCCAAAGCATGGATACGAGGTATCAGCCAGAAAATGGCAATGACTCATCTTCTCATGTGTGCGATATAATCAGTGGACCAGAATCCACACGGCCGGGTAAAGAGGGACCAATCCAATACCTCGTGAGAGAGGCATCTTCATTGCTGCAAGTCGGGGACCCGGAATAATCCGTGTGATCTGGCGTTCTTGCCACTTCAGTATGGTGTAGGCGCATTTGCAGTGGCCGACAGAAGACGCAGTGCGTCGAGTTGTCGGTTGATTTTCGATGGAGTTTTTCTTTTGTTTTATTTGTCGAACGCGGATTCATCAACGTCGCAAATTCGTAAAATCGTTTTGGGGGTTTGTCTTTTTCGTTGACTGAAAAAAAGAGAGGCGAAACAACCAGTCAGGTTTAAGGTTCCAGACGTTGAAGTTCCCGTCTGAACCTTAAACATTCAATCTCCAAGGGCCTGGCCACTCGTTCTGAAAGAGATGTTAGGATTGGTGAAAGGAGACTGATCCATGGATACTCACGGGTCAATGTAGTCGAGTCCACCGAAGTACTCAAGCATCCGGTAACAGAGGCTCACATCGTCCCCCGGCTCTCCGCCAAACAGACGACACTGTGCTTCTTCCAGCCAACCTGATTCCAGCCGCGAGGAGCGCTCACGGGTCTGCCAGGCTGTATACCCATATTGCCATGATGGGGCGAGGGTAGCTGCCGGAGATCCACGTGAAATGCATGCGTCGGGAGAGTTGTCGGCAGACACAAGGGCGCAAAAGCTGTTCTGAGGTGTCCGAATAGGTGATTTGATTGCCACGGGCAAGGTCGGATGTTGAGCGAGAACAGTATGAGATATAGTGTTGTGATTGCTTGAACGACGAGTGCGGCGTCTATTATGCCTCTGGCCCATTCTCAGAAGTTGAAGAATATAGGCTCTAAGCAATGGGGAAAGAACTTTTGATATAGAGGGGAGCGACCATCACCTCCTGGAAAGGATGAGATGAGGTACTGAGAGAAAAAAACATGCAATATGCAGCAGGGGGTGACTCTTTATAGAGTATGCCAAGTGAGTCACTTAAAGGAGAAAAATGCAAGACCCACTTTTTCTCGGTGGGACCATCCCGAGAGAAGATCACCTTTGATCACCTTATGGCTTTAAAAAATGGCGCCAGCTCCAAGGTCCCTCCCCTAGGGAGTTCTAATTGGATTAAAGGGCGTGATATTCCTCATCAAATGACGGTTTTACCATCGCGTCATTCGAGGACCCCCAGAGTGAGTAATTATTAAACTTTAGGCATGCTATTTTTCAGATGAGGTGATTCTTAGAAATGAGTCTCAATATATGAGCCATAAGGTTAAATTGCAAAACAAAAAAATCGAAACAAAAAAAATTGAAACAAGAAAATTGAAACATAAAATGACGACTCCATACTGCTGTGTCATGGGGTGATTGGAAAATTAAGGGCCGATGCCCGATTTCCTAATTATTGCCGTGCGGACCGAACGGCGATCACATCAGGCAACAAAGAGCCTTGGAGCTTCCCGACTTTACCCTAAACTGCCCTAAACTGCCCTAAATCAGCCTATAAATGCACCCCAAATATTTGAGTCATGCAGGGTCCCGGAGGCTTCGTCATTCTCCGGTCTGTTTAGGCAATTTCTTGGGTAGCAAGGGATGTTTGAATTTTTACACCTTGCATCGAACAAACGCACGTGTGCAACGTGTTCAACGTGGAGAAAATTTCAGATGCCTCCAAGCCACAACCTTGGAAGGCAATAAAGTATTTGAGTCATTTAAGTATATTATTAATTTTTTTCTCGGGAATTCGGGAAGCTGAAAGAACCGCTTGACTATTGACTCAGATTTAATAATTAATGGAGTGCCTGATCTGTGAGGACTCTAAATATAGCCTTGAAGACTGAAACTTCAAGGTTCCCTAATGCTCCTTTGACTCCTTTGACTCGCCTGAGACAAAGAGAGAGCAAACAGAACAAACTCAACTAAACAAATGCAAACATCTTGATTTCTAGACTCTCCCTTGCAGCGAAGTCACTAAATTCTGGGTCAACAAACGCACTGTGCGGTACTGTGAATCCTCCCTCATCCACTTTGGAGCTATCGAATTGCGTAAAAATGAGAGGTTCATTGGGTTGTTGACCGCCGAGATAATACCATCTCTGACTCGGACTAAACGCATACCGCCCGAGTTCATTCCACCCATTTGGCAGCGTTAAACGAGTGGGGATACCCTCGTCTTGGATATTAACAGATCTCCAGTCACAAACCGTGAGGGGGTCTCTCTGGATGGCTTTCAATGGCCGCCAGACATTGATAATCAAGACTCGGCCAGCGAGGAGACGCTTACGCTCCCGCTTGTCCGGAACAAGCCTCTTTAGGTTGTGAAGTGCACCCCTAGTCGTGAAATCCGAGTGCACGCTGTGCGCCGGGGCGCGGTTGCTAGCGAGCAAGGCCCCATCTTCTGCGAGGAACCGAACCCGATGCGCAAATGTGACTGTCCTGGTAGCACCAGTTCTGGGACATTATTCAGCTTCTCGAATCAGACATGTTTGTTCCGAGATCGGTACTGACATTTTGCGAACTAACGATTCCGTCTGAGGGATGATCGTATCCTTAACATGCTCTTTGTCCGAGACCCTGGCGAGCTCAGGCATTTCATGCAACAGGTATACGAATCCGTTCTTGTCAAGGGTGTAGGACGATTCCTGCCCCCGGATATCTTGCACCTGCACCTTATGCATCTCAGCCAGCACCTGCATTTTCTTGAGCTTATCATCCGGTTTGCCCTTGGTAAGGTCGACTTGGACACCGTTGTCAACATCCAGGCGTCTCCAGAAGCAGAGGTCTGTGTCGATGTGCCTGGCTATGTATTCGGCGTGTTCTACCATATTGAATAAGGAATCTCGATATCGGAAGCGAGGATTGATAGGTTTGTCCGAAAATAGCACTACTCAGGGTTTATAGTGCGGAAATGCAGGCTTATAAGTACCTTCATTGTGGCGAGGGTGAACCATCAAGACAGTCCCGCGAGATCGGATTAATGCGCATAAACTGGGGGGGATGCATGGTGATCAACGTTGTGTACTATGTATAGGGCCCCTGTTGGGAGGGGTGTTATGATCGCTTCTAAGTTTATCGGCGCTCAATGGAGGTATGAATACGAGTACGAACCCGAAGTTACATCGTTAGCTTATGATTTTTTGAATGCGCAAATCTGTGATTCGTCGTCTTGTTCGTATAACACTCGTTCTGATGGTAATGTGGTTCAGATTTCGTTAATCGCTAGTCTATCTAGGACTTGTCTAATAACGTGAATATATACTAGCCATCGATGCTGGAACAGGAATAGCAAGGAATGATATACATACAACCAGTCTGTCTTGTAGGATATTTCAAGAAATGGAAACCTCATAATTGTACTAGGAACCGATCACTGATGCGTCACCAACACAAGACCTTCAGTGAACCCATAAGATAGAACAGGGTAAAGACAGGCCATGCCGAATTTTGGCGAGTAGTTCTAGAATGTGATATATATCTATCAGTCGTAGCTAGAAAGCCCCAGATGATGATAGAAAGAAAAATAAAACATTCCATCGAGTCGTGTAACTCTGGCGAATGAATTAGTTGGAGTAGGTAGACTCAACCCATCGCTCGGCCTTGGCCACCATCAGGACTCGCCGAGTTCCCCAGATATCACGGATACAGTGCGAGATGCCGTGCAACCAGGAAGTCAGTGCATTGTTCGTTGACTTGGAAATAGGGTTTAGTTAGAGTGATAGAAGTTAGAATTGGGGCTGATCTGGTGTGTATATAGAAAGAAAAAGGACTTGTTTGGTACAGGCTGACGATAAATATTCTAGCCCTGTAGGCGACATTATGTAAATTAGTATCCCAACCTTGGAAAGTTAGTAAGTTTAGGTTACTTAAAAGCTGTTTTACTATATAATATCATACTTGTTAGGAGCGAGGTATAAAACGGAGACGTTGAGGTGCATTACGGAATGCGAAAATGAGATTAGTTGACGAAGCCAGGATATGGGAGCTATAACAACCATGGGAAACCTCTTCTCCCTTCTCTTCCTCGCTCTTTTTCTTTCTCTCTGCATATGTATCCAACAGTTTCGCTCAGTCCATCCATGTTTTCCTTCCCTTTTGTCCGTGTTCTCAGAAATATATATTAATTGGTCCTAGACCACTCTGTCCTAGTGTCTGTCTCTAGGCCGCAAGGAAGACCCCTTCCCTGCCAACGAGAATACCGAGGGAAATACCGACCAGTGAGCCGTGTCCGAGTCCTCGAAGCGGCAGAGGAGCGCGAGGCCGAGGTCAATGAGGCCATCCCCATGATCCACGACGCGGACTGCGAGGGGATTCCCTTGAGGCTTTTTGGGCCGCTCAACTCCTGCACTCTGTCATCATTTAAATAGAAAGCACCAAATGCCCTGCGAGTCACGGGGTGGTTTGCAATTCCACACCAAAAAGGTGGCCCCTACAGTTGATATTTGTGGCCTTAAGCCGAAGGGCAACGACGACGACAGCCCAGCCATAGGGGCTGTCACTCTCACGGATGACGGATCTGTAAGCTCTAGTCTTAACCCTTTACCGAGTCTCTATATGGTCGCTAGTCCACTAAAGCTGTCACGATCCCGGGCCCTAAAGGCCTTCTACATGTCCATCAAGAGCGATGGGTTCCCTTGCAACTCTTGCAAGGAGCTAATATTAACCGGTAAGTTTCCGAGAGCTTAGTCTGCTACCCATTAGGTTATTGGCCTTCAATTGCTAATCACCTTAGTAGAAAAGGTTCGGCCTGGATTTCCACTTAGTGATAAATCTCCTAGCGTGACTCTACCGACACCCGAGGATCTCGATGCTGGACTGTAGGAGGCTCTTAAGGACTAAGCGCTTGAAGTTTTGTCGAAATACTCTCCGTTAAAAGGTAATGCAATACAAACGTGATCGCCCAGGGAAACCTGAATACACATTAATTGCTGCCTGCAGATTATAGCAAACAACCCTTTGCCTACATATGTATGCATTTACGACCCGAGGATCTTGAACCCAAAACAAGGACTTGAAAAGGCGCAATAGCTAAAATCAAAGGGACCAGTCTCTGTTAGGTAAAGGTCAACAACAAATCGGAAATATCAAGTATCGGAAGCAATATTCCACAGCTATCATTGACTAGGTCTTCCACCCAGTCATAACCAAAGTCAGATACAAGAGCAATGCATTAAATGATGTATAACGGCGTTAACAATGATGATAGACCGGCACAGGCAATGAGAACAAAAGAAGACAAGATTGAAGAACCAGGCCTTAGACACAGAGCCCGAAAAGCGAGAAGGAGAAAAGGTAAAGGGAAAGGAAGAAAAGCGAGGAGAAGAGTAAGAGAGAAGAAATGGCGAAAAAAAAAAGAAAAACACAACCCGCGTGTGTACTGTACAGGGTCCCAGAATCTGGACCATGCCTGGCCACCAAAAGAATCATTCCTGTCCAAGACGTTATGAATAGGATCCAACTACCTGACCAATCATTCCCCTGGGGAGGAAGGGACAGCTCCTAGCGCTGTCTGCTTGCACATCCCTGAAAACACAGACCGTAGCTCCAAAGACATGCATGACAAGTAGAAAGGAATTGGAAATCTCGACCAGCTACCGTGTAGCTTTAACGTAGTTCCAAACCTTTACTTCTTGCGGTTGGATCGGCGGGCAGCGAGATCACCCTCAGCGAGCCATTTGCTGGCGTTCACCATCTGGACGATGTTGACGAACTGCTTAAAGGCCATGATAGGGAACGAGATGCCGGTGATGATCCACGGCCAGGTGCTCTCGAGCTTGTTCGCACGCGCCATCTCGAGGGCACCGGCGCTCCAGGGACTGGCGAAGAGGCTGGCAGGCTCGGGGTGGGCGGGGTTTCCGGGCTGGGCGGAGGACAGCTGGGAGTCGGAGACGGGCTGCAGGAGCGAAGGGGACAGGGTCGGCGAGGAGAAAGACAGGAGGTACAGGCCGATGAAGAAGGCTTCGTTGGCGGTGCAGCAGATGAACAGAACGAGCTAATAAAATATTGCGGATAAGCTTGGGGAATGCAAGATCAGTTCGCTGCGGCGGGGTCTTACCTTGCTGGTGTAGTACTGGTACATAATCCAGCTACGGCTAGGATCGACCTTCTTATGGCTCTGGCTGGATCCGCCCATGCTTAGAGTAGCATACATGTGCATGTAGTGGCTGGCCATGTCCAAGCTGATGAGCCCTTGGAAGAGGATGGCCCACCGGGGCCAGGCGGAGCTCAGGAAGACTAGGAGACACGCAGTGGTGCAGCGGTCGGTCACCATGTCCAGCACTGCACCGAAGGTGGTGGATTGGTTGAAGTATCGTGCTGCATAACCGTCCAGGCCGTCCAGCAGACAGGACACCGTGTAGAGGAAGGAGCAGGTTCGGGGATGGAGGGGCATGTAGTATAGGGAGGCGAAGGTCAAAACGACTCGAGTGTATCCTGGAAACATGTTAAACCATATGAAAACTCGAAGCTTTGAGCCACATCAGCGGGGCATCCTACCGATAAGATTTGGGGTGAAAAGGAAGATGTTTTCCTTGCTTTCCTTGCTCTCTTCCCGTGCGGCGGATCTGGCCCTCTTCTTGGAAGAGGCGCGCTTTGAAGATGTCGACACAGAGCCATTGCCAGGTGAATCTTCGCTCTCCTCAGCAGCGAGGGAAGCCTTTTGTCGTCGTGTTCTTGCGCTCATTGTGATGTGAAAGGGATGTGACTGGCGAACTGTTTCTCGTATAGATCAGGGGGGACGTATGGATACCGGACAGTTGATCTAGGCGCTGTCAGCTTCGGGTTGTAATGCAGACGCAGCAGAGAGGGAAAACACACCGTGTCAGCGAGATAAGAATAAAGCGAATTCCGTCAGGATAAGGATAGGAGGTGTCCAGGTGGGAAGGAGAAATTTCAACGATAAGGGGAGATAAGGGCGCTTTGTTGACACGCACTTGAAACTTGCAAGGTTCTGAGGCGTAAAATGAAAGGAATAAAAAAATGAAGGGATGAAAGAAGAAAGATGGAAGGAAAGGAAATTGTGGAATGTCCTGCGGGTTACTCGGAACCTTGGACTTGAGCTTTCCCCACGCGGTCCACTTGGAGGTGGTCGTGATATTTGAAACATAATATAACTGGACTGGACTGGAAACATATGTATCAAGTGTCAAAAATTGACGAATATGTTTGTGACACTTCTAAAATATATTGGAGGCAGATTGTATCATACCTAGATATCTTTAGTGTGACCTATTATAATCTGGAATAACGTGCTTTATAGACACCATTGATTATATATGACCAGCCTATAGGCCTTTAAAAAAATATGTACAAAACATAACCCCCAAATATATGAAGTACAAGAAACCCATTCACGTCCGTGACCTGCGCGGATCAGTGGCATCCTGTCGACGCCACTCGCGAGACTCCCTAGTACCCATACTACCCACGCCGCCCTCCAGACGACGCTCCCAACCACCAAGGCGAATAACAAGACAGGTAGCATTGTCACCTTCCCTGGTGACCTCGGTCGAAAAATTGACCACATCACGCGCCCCCTGCTCCGGGGTCTTGGATTCCTTGACGATATCAACGATCTCCTGGTCAAGCAGTGTCCCGCTGATACCATCAGATACCAAAACCAAGAACGAGAACTCGGCCGGGCCAAGCTCTATGCGCTTCAGTTCGGGCTCGGCAGAGACTCCAATGCGCTTGGAGTGGACATCGCCGAAAGCGCGCGTGTTGGCTAGACCGCTCATGCGTTCTTCGCCGAAGGAGTCTGTTACAAAGGTTGTGGCGTACCGCCGGAGTCGGGTTGCCTCAATCGGCGAGGAGGGGTGGTGGTTTGATGTGATGGGGATGACTTCGCCAGTTTCAGTTGAGCATAGGAGCATGCGCGTGTCGCCGACATGGGCAACTAGGAGACTTGATGGAGCGATGGGGTGCCAAAAGGGGGTTGGCGTGGGAGTCGAGATCATGGCGACACTTCCGGTGCTGCCACCCTTGAACCGGGCGCTTCCGCCGATCTGGGGAGATCGGGTCATGCTTGGCCTGTGAAATATTTCATCTTCGTTCAGAGGTCTCTCAGCTCGGACTAGATCGTCGTCTCGCTTAGCCGCTTGAGCGTTGACAAAGTCCAGATCCGCACGCAGGAAGGCGTACTCCACGACTTCCTCGATGGAGATGTGGTTTTCAATACTCGGGTCGGTGGATTCGGTGCCATTGTAGGCGAAATGCGGCGGCTTGAATCTCTTGAAGTAGCCACCAACTACCCGTCTCCAGGTCTGCACAAGGTATTTCTCTAGGTCTCCGATTTTGCGTCGGTCACCCTCTTGCATCACAGGTAGTTCGCTAGTGGTGGGTGGCATTTCGGCACCAGGTCGTAGGCTGGACCGAAGTTCGATATCGAATGCCGCATTCTGGATATACTCGTGCAGATAGTCCCTCAAGAACGAACTACACTCGGATCCACCATGGCCATCAAAGACACCGAAGTAGAAGACTTGTGGGTCTCCACTAGCTGTTTCCGCACCGCGCGACTCCCGGGGGTGGGACAAAGGATCATTTTTATTAGATCGTCTAATCGTTAGCGAGGTTGGAGCTCGCTTCGCAAAGGCGGGGATGTCAATGACGCCGGCTTGGTACGTGTCTTCATTCGAGGGGCGGGTTCCACGGGAAGTGACGGCGCCGAAATGGTGCTTCGCGTTGCGGAGTGGAATCCGGACGACTGTTGTCTCACGATCTATTAAAGCTTGGAAGGCAGCTGGCGATTGTGGAGTATCTCCGGTGTGAGGTATAGAGGCGGAGCGAGGGAGCTTATGAAATGGCGAGGTCGGACCACGGGGGTCCGGATGAAGCGAAGACGAGGGCAGATGGGTGACAAAGTAATCGCGGAACTGTGGTTGCTTCCTAACTGTCGACCGGCCGGGTGGCACAGACTCGGTACTGTAGCATCGCACTCGATGGAGAGCGAAGCCTGAGTTGTGTTAGCTAGGAACTTCAAGGATCTTCATGGCTACAGATAAGCAGGTAGCTCTGGTCGCACATACTGTAACAGTCGGCCGAGGTCCAGACCCGGCCTGTTACTCGCCTCGCTGAAAGGAGAGTCATTGGCCCATCGAGTTATATATAAGGAAATAGCAGGGAGGAAAAGAGGGTTGAAAAGACTGGGCGTGGGGAGAACACATATGGCCCGAGCGTCGGCAGATAAGAAGACTCGGACCGGCACATTCTTTCCGTGGAATTAGCTCTTTAGTGCGGGTTCCACTCCAGGCCTATATACATTAGGTACTTATAAGGGGGCATATATTGACCGATATAATTGAAGCTATATACACAGGTTATGATACTTCAGAAAAGAAGTCTTTACATGATTACTGTGAAGATCTTTTAAAATGTGAAAGAGCGGATGGAAACATCTATGTTGTATACTAAGAAGTGGATATCTTTATCCTTGAGAGCTCCACTTAGACTACGTGGACTACAAGCAGGGCGAAGTATTCCATATTTGACATAATTCCATTGACAACTCAAACAAGGCAACAAGATGCTAAATCACGCTGCTAAAAACGATCATATCGGTAGCAAGGTCCAGTTCTCAACAAGTCCACAGAAGTGGCTGAAAGAAAGAGACAAACGGCACACGGGAGTGGCCGAACATCAAAAGCAAAAAAAAAAAACAACACACGCTGAAAGAGTGGCACCTACCGGGTAGCAGAGCCGTCCATAAAGTCCAAGCAAGACGTCAGGGGGATCTGCCTTCAGAGAATGTGCCAGGTTAGATTCGCAAGAAAAATGGATGTACTCGGGGATGAGCATTTAGATAGCCTTGGTCCGGGAGAAGAGACTGCTGTAAACGGCATCCACGACGGGTTGGGCGGTGATCTGCTTTCCGCCAAAGTATCGGCCATTGAGGCCCTTGATGGCATTCTCGCCACCTTGAACGCGGTCGAACTTCAGGTAGATATCTCCCTGGGAACTGACATCTAGTGAAATGTGAACAACGCGGCCATATTTCTCCTCACACTCCGAACGGACGTCCTCCTCAAGTTCTTTGATCCAGGCTTCACCGGTCTCTCTGTAAAGGAATTAGCGTTCATTCTCTCATGATGAAGTTAAGGAGACTTACTCGGCGGGGTCAAACATATTGCGAAGCAAAACACACCGACTAGCCATGTTGACATTGATGGGAAGCGGCTTAGTCTCGGTCTTGGGTCGGAGGAACTTCTGACGGTCGTCGACAGAAGGCTGGGGGTCATCTGTTCGTGCAAGCTTCCTCATCAATGCATCCCTAGAGTAGTTGTTGAAGTTCACACCAGCAACATCCGTGTCATCAAGTGCACTAGCACCGGCGCCCTTTTCGGTTTCCCTGCCGCCAGCACGGTCAAAGTTGTTGGAGCCTCCGGCTTGAACGCCACGACCTCCCTGACCGGAGAACGAAGAACCCTGGAAGCTTGATTGGTTTCCAGACGAAGCACCAGAGGGGCGATTGGCGTGCGAGTCGGGGGTGAACTTATCATTGCCGAGACCAACCCGAATAGCTCGTCCAGCAAGTTCAAATCCGTTCATCTTTTCCAAAGCGTCCCGAGCTTGTTCGGGGTTGGCGAATCTGGTCAAGTCAGTTAGTGGAAGCGCCAAGAACATGGAGGGACAACGTACTGAACGAAGGCATAACCCTTGCTTCTACCGGTTTCATCCTTTTGCAACTGAACAAACTCGAGTTCGCCGAATGGTTCGAAGACATTGGTGAGATCGTCCTCAGTAATGCTGAAATGAACGTTACCAACGTAAAGTCTGTGGAATGGCGCGGTGTTCTGATTGCCTGCAGTAGCCTCGGGGTTGCGAGCTTGGCGGTTCTTTTCCGCTTCAGTCAGTTGCGCAATGATGGGAATTCCTAGAAGCATCTGGCCCGTGAGTCGGATGGCGGCAGCAACAGACTCCTCGTTTTTAAACTCGACGTAACCGACACTATACAGATATTAGCAAGTGCTCGTAATGAGATAATCATGTGAAGACATACCCTTTCGAGCGTCCGCTAACACGATCCTTGACGATTTGAGCATCCTTAACGGGGCCGGCCTTTTCAAAGAAGGTAAACAGATCTTTGATTCTCAGACGGGCAGCAAGTTGCTGCACAAAGATAGTGCGTCTGTCACGTTCATCCTCATTAAGTTCTGGAGACTTGCGGCTGGGAGATCCACGGCGGGCATCATTATCACGGCGGGGGCGTCTTTCTTCCTCACGCTGGCGGCGATTGGGCCGGTAGTGGCGATCGTCATAGGGGGAACGGGAGCGGGAACGAGCGCGACCTCCACCACGATAGAAGTCACCGCTGGAGCGGTAGCCGTCACGGTCACGGCGAGGACGGCGTCGCTCAGATTCGGGACTCTTGCTCCTCTTTCGGCTTCTAAGGCTTCCGTTAGCACTAGCAGTGTCGCTTTTCATGACTTCATCGCCCTCAAGGTCTCGATCGGGGCGGCGGTCACGGCTGTGGTCGCGGCGACGGCGTCTGTCGCGGGAACGATCACGGCGCTCGCTGGGGTCCGGGCGGGAGTCGTCCTCACGGACTTCCGAAGTGGTTGGGGCCTCGGCAGGGACGGCCGCAGTAGACTCAAGGAGAGCCTCTACATCAAGTCCAGACATTTTGGGAGGTAGCCTGTCGTTGATCGGGGTAGAAATATTGATTGGGGTAGGGATATTGTCACT